GGAGGAGTTGGCGGAGAAGCTGAGGGGGATGAATGAGGAGTATGAGGGGAGGTTTCCGGGGTTGAGATTTGTGTATGTCTTTTTTTTTTTTTTTTCTTCTTCTTCTGCTAGTTCTTCTGCTTCTCCTTTTTATTTCTACTAATACTTCTGTGGGTAGAACATTCGTCAACGGTCGCAGTCGCGAGGTGATCATGGAGGAAATGCGCCAGCGGATTGACCGTGGGGATGCCGATCGCGAGGTTACAGAGACTATCCAGGTGAGTCTTCATCCTCGTAGAATCCATCGTCGCAGGATATTCATGAGGTGACAGGCTATGTGCGACATTGCGAAAGACCGAGCGCGCAAGCTGCAGTCTTGATGCTCTTCTACAGACCTTGGACATATGAGTGGTAGCGACCTGGTCGACTTCTTTATCATCTACGATACTAGATTAGTGCATCTATAATCTATCTGTAGGATTGTTCTAGGTCCCTTGCGCGTTGGTCCGCCACCGATACCCGTTTGGACGCGGCGACTGGCATAAGAAACCCTTTGTTTAGAAAGGAGAAAGATAGATTAATAAAGAAGAATGAAAGGGATAGAGATAGAACCAGGAAATCCACAGTAATAAACAATAATAAACAATGCCTTCGACCCTGGAATCTACTGCGATCGTTAAATATCAATTGATGTCATTTCGCCATCCGGGATTTGCCGCCAGATCAATCAATCCAGCTTCAGGATTTCTTCCACCCTAGTCTCTCCTTTTCCATCCTCCCTCTCTTTTCCCTCCCACTCTCCCCTCGGATTATATTTGCAAATTCTTTCTTCATACATCTCCATACATGTGCCCGTTCGGGCTTCGTGATTATGGCCGAGGGTTCGCCGACAAACGATGACCGGGGCGCCTCGCGCTCGTCCACCCTCCCCGCGATCGTCACCACCCAGCCTCAGTCGTCTCCCTCGCTGGACAATACTCCCACCAGTCCGATTGGCGCGCATCAGGGACTCCTGCGCACCTCCCAGTCCTTCCCTGTCGGTACGTCTTCCGAATTCAGCCGCATCTGACAGGTCGAGTCGCAATCCTCACCTTGTCCGACCTGCGCGCAGCCTTGCGCCCAATCAATTCGTTCCTCGCTGACTGGGTGATCTTTCTTCAATCGCTAGGATCCGTCACGTCCGAAGGTGCCTCCGCCTCGAGTGGGACGCAGAATAATCCGAGCCAGGATACGAAGCGAGCCTCGCGGCTTCTGCAGAGTTCCAGTCAGAATGCCGCGGTCGGTGCCAGCCGGAATTCGCTGTCCTCGCCGACCCTGTTCGAGTCCGCCGATTCCAGCGCCATAGATCCGTTGTCTCAGGTGCGCTATTCTTTCTGGACTTTATCAAAGAGTGGCATAGCTGACGGTTCGTTTCCAGCACATCATCAAGCGCACCAATACCCAGAAATCCATCCCTTTCAAACTCCTCGGACGAGCCTCTCACGAGGCTGAGGCCGGCGGCGCGGACCATGCCAGCCTCGTCGACCAGGGATCAGCTCGCGCGGACGCCGTGTCACAGCATAAGCCGACCAAGGAGAAGAAGTGAGTGTTGTTTTCCGTCAGCGAGTCTGACGTACCCCGCACGGTGGAGAATTGCATATCGTTGCTGGAAGTAGACCAAAACCTACTAACTTCTCTTTCTCTCACAGAAAAGGTGTCTCCTTCCTGAGTCGCATCATCCCGGGGAAGAAGAAGGACCAGTTTCTGGACGAGGATGATGTCTCCGAGCCGGATACCGCCCGCATGGATGCCGATGCCTCCGCGCAGCCGATCGGCTTCTTTCCTCGATTCCCGCGCCCCCCCAAGTACCTCCGCGTGAGGGTCCACTACAAGAAGCACAAGACGTTCGGCCGGGTGTTTGTCGCGCAGGAGCTCGAAGGCGCTGGCATTACGCCAGTGTCGCAGGAAGAGAGCGAGGAGCCCTCCGCCCATGGCCATGGCGGCGCCGGCAAGGCCATCTGGGCGCTGGTCTTCTCCAACGACGGGAAATATTTGGCGGCTGCCGGACAGGACAGCAAGGTGCGTGTCTGGTCCGTTGTCGGGTCTCCCGAGGATCGGGATAGTATCCAAACGATGGAAGACGATGGCGACGGACTGCCGCGACTGAACGCTCCGGTGTTCCGGTCGGAGCCGATCCAGGTGTACGAGGGCCATACCGGGAGCGTGTTGGATTTGAGCTGGAGCAAGGTATTACCTGATCTTTCCTTGGGCCCTGTGTCAATACTGATGGAACGGATTGATAGAACAACTTCCTCCTCTCCTCGTCGATGGATAAAACCGTTCGACTGTGGCACGTCACCCGTCCCGAGTGTCTCTGCTGCTTCAAGCACAGCGATTTCGTCACCTCGATCCAGTTCCACCCCCGCGACGACCGGTTCTTCCTCGCCGGGTCCCTCGACAGCCGACTGCGCTTGTGGAGCATCCCCGACAAGAGCGTCGCGTTCATGGCCTCCGTCCCCGACATGATCACCTCGGTCGCGTTCACGCCGGAAGGCCAGTACGCGATCGCCGGGTGTCTCAACGGCATGTGCAACATCTACCAGACCGACGGGCTGAAGATGGCCGGGCAGATCCACGTCCGGTCCGCGCGCGGCCGCAACGCCAAGGGCAGCAAGATCACCGGCATCGACACGATGCGTTTCCCGCGCGACGACCCCGACGGCGACGTCAAGCTGCTGATCACCAGCAACGACTCGCGCATCCGCCTGTACAACTTCCGCGACCGCGCCTTGGAGGCCAAGTACCGCGGCAACGAGAACACCTGCAGCCAGATCCGCGCCTCCTTCAGCGACGACGGCAAGCACATCATCTGCGGCAGCGAGGACCGCCGCACCTACCTCTGGCCGACGGGGCCCGTCGAGAAAGACGCGGACAAGCGGGCTGTCGAGGTTCTAGACCCCCAGTCCGCCATGGTCACAGCCGCTGTGCTGGCACCCGCCACAACAAAGCGCATCCTCGGCGCCTCGGAAGACCCCATCTACGACGTGTGCAACCCGCCGCCGGTCAACCTGAACGCCCACGCGCCCGAGAACGTCGCACAACACCGCCGGTCAGGCTCCAACAGAGTCGCCCCCGAGTCCCCAACCTACGCCAACCGCTCGCGCCATCCCGACGGGAACATCATCGTCATCGCCGACTACTCCGGCAAGATCAAAGTCCTGCGGCAAGACTGCGCGTACGACAAGCGCCGTTTCGAGAACTGGGACACGCACTCGACGCTCTCGCGGCGGATCCTACGCCGCTCCAACTCCGCCCGCCGCAGCATCGCCTCCTCCATCGGCAAGGAGTCCTCGCACAAAACCCCCTCCGAGCGCATCATCTCCTGGCGCAACTCCGTCATCGGCCACGCCAGGAACAGCGGCCGAGACAGTATCTCCTCACGCCAGGGGCCCCGCACCCGCAGCCCCTCCCCGCACCGCCACCACCTCTCGCGGTACTCCAGCCCGCGCGGCTGGGACTCCATCGGCGCCTCGCAGTCCACCGCGTCGCCACCCCCGTCAGCCTACAAATTCTCCCTCGACAGCAGCCGACGCTCCAGCGCCGAAGCGAACGCCACAGCCGCCGCCGCCGCCCGCCGCCGCGGCACCCTAAACGGCACCCCCGAGGAACGCGTCGCCTGGGCAGCCGCCCACGTCCAGGACAAGGACAACCCGCTCTGGCTGCAAGGCGATCACAGCTACGCTTACTACGGCAAGATCGCGCAGGATGCCCTCGCAGCCGCTACGGCGCGGCCTTCCCAAGCCACCACAGCGGCAGGAGATCCAAACCACCTGGCCGTCCCACAGCGCATGCCTAGCTCTGGCAGCGCCCTCAGCAGCGATTACACATCGTCTGCTGAAGGTGAGGGCGATGGCGCGACGACCGGCGACGAAGGCGACGTCATGCGGTGTGAGAACTGCCGCGGGACGAACTTCCGGGCGACGAAGGCGCGGAATGGGAAGCAGAGGTTGATTTGTGTGAGGTGTCATCGGCCGATTAGTTGATTCCTCCCCCGTCTTCTCTCTATATATGCCGCCATATACTTTGGTTTCATATTTGTTGTTTTTGTTTTGATATTGCATTGCTGATTTCATACGTTTGTTTTTATCATTACTGATTGATCATTGTTTATTGATTGATGGATTATGATGCATTGGGACTGGATTGGATTGGACATATTTGCTGACCTTGACTTTGAGGTGTGGACTGATTTATATATACGATTGATGTGCTTGCCTGTATTTAGTTATGTATAGTATATAGTTGGATGTGCTTAGCTTGGTGGTATATACCTAGGGTGATTGGATGGACATGGATATGATTCAATGTGGACATAACAGATCAAGCTTAAATATACGAGGTACATATACTTATCTATACCATCTCAATAACACAATATATGTCTAGTACCTATACAAGTATACAATCAATAAGTAGGTCAATACTCAGGCCACCCAGGATCAACAACCCGTCTATAAGCACGCAACCCCCCCATAACATCCACAATGCGCCTCCCCGAGCGGTCCAGTCCTAGCGCTTTCAACTTCTTGACCGCTACCTGGGAGTCGTTGCCTTGGCGGCAGATGACGTAGATGGGGGATGTTTCGGATGTGGTTATTTCTGATGGGAGCCAGGGGGGGAGGTCTTTTTGGTTTGCAGGGTCTGAGTTGCGGGATGAAGAGGAAGAAGATAAGATAGTCGAGATGGGAAGGTTGATGCTGTTGTTAAGACTGCAAATGTCGAATTGGACTTTCTCGCGGACGTCGATTGTTATTGCTGGTTCTTCGGTAGAGGAAGAGGAGGCCTGGTACTCCAGCGGGGAGATGCGCTCGTTGGGTCCGAGTGGCTCTTCCGGACTGACGCTGCCGCAGAAGAAGACGTAGTCCGTAGATCCAGATCGGAGAGTGTCCAGTGTGACGGTAGGCTGGGCGGAGCAGACGGCGCAGTTAGGACGGCGCGAGCGCAGCTTGATGGTCCTGAACAGCGGAGACGAGTACGCGGAGAAGATGTGCAGGGCTGGTGGGTTTGCCGGAGTGGTGAGCACTTTGATTGCCTCGAGGGCTTGGAGGACACCCATTGTGCCGACTACAGGCCCCACGATGCCTCCGTCGGCGCAGCTGAGGATGCTGGTTGGTGGGGGCGGACGAGGGAACACGCAGCGGTAGCAGGGTCCGCCGGAGGGGTCACCGGGTGGTTTGGGGGGATTGTTGAGAACCATGAGCTGGCCTTCGGTGCGGAGGGCGGATGCGGACACGAGGGGTTTATTGAGGAGAACGGCCGTGTCGGAGATGAGGTAGCGCGTGGCGGGGTTGTCCGTGCAGTCGAGGATGAGGTCGTAGGCGGCGAAGATGGAGGGGGCGTCTTGGGGGGTGAGGTGTGCGGGATGGGCGATGTAGGTAGGATGAGGGTTGAGTCTGTGTTGTAGTTAGGTTGTGTTTCTTCTTTTCAATCAGCCACGATTGAAGCCATACTCGCGCAAATACTCAATGGCACTGTCCACCTTCCGCTTGCCCACATTCGCTGTGCGATGCAGGACCTGCCGATGGAGATTGGAGACGTCCACCTCGTCACCGTCCACCAGTCCTAGCGTTCCTACACCAGCACCAGCAAGATACAGCGCCGCCGGACATCCCAGCCCACCAGCGCCGACAATCAACACCTTGGCGGATCGCAGTTTCAGCTGGCCTAGACGTGACTGGTCAGCGATCACGAACCCGACAGGAGTTCAAAGGATTGCCGATACGTACCCGGCAGCCCAACCTGCGGAACAATCATCTGCCGCCCATATCGAGCGTATTCCTCATCTTCCATCGGCCATCTCGTACTCTTCGTTTTCGCGGCGGTGGCGGCGCGTTCGGCGTCTTGGAGTTCCCCGCGGAGACGGGCGAGTTGGGCTTCCGTGTCGGCGATGCGCCGGCGCAGGGAAGCGCAGGTGTTATCTAGATTTTCCATGAGAATAGCAACTCCAAAAACGTTCAAAAAAAAGAAAGAAGGAAAGAGAAAGAGAAGAGAAAGAGGATGATGAAGAGGAGATGGCCCCCGCAGAGACAAGATCTTATCGGATCAGCGACCGACGCTAACCGGTTTGGGTTATCCGTTCGATCGCCTGTTTATCATTATCTTCTTCGATCTTCTTCGATCTTTCTTCGATCTTTATCAATCTATACAGTGGTTGTTATTGTTGTATTCAATCTTATCTGAAAGGCAATGTTAAAAGCATGCATCCCATCTAACTACATCATTGATATTACAAGCTACCTAACTACTAAACCCCCATCTACCCATCCTCACCTCCGTCCGTGGCTCAAGATACCTCTCCAACGACCCCCTCACCAGCGTCCGTTGCTCAAACGCATAGGCCATCCCAATCAACGCCTCCTCACTCCACTTGGGCCCCAGAAAACTAATTCCGAACGGCGCCCCAGGGGCAGCAGTTACCAGGTCTCCGCGCGGGTTGTACTGGACGGGCGTGCCGTCGGGAAATGCACCCAGAGGTACCGAGATAGCCGGGGTGCCGACTAAGGCGGGAATTTCGGCCGCGATGATCGTCGGGAGAATGACGGCGTCGAGATTGTCGCGGGCGAGAGCACCCAGTAGACCACCTTCGTCTCCGAAGAACAGACTCTCTTGGTAGAACGCCCAGAACTCTGGGGATTGGTTGTCGACGCCGGAGTCCAGCGCCAGGTCCCAGGTGTTGGTGTCGCGTGACGGGTAGTCCTCAAGGGCAGGGTGGCTGTGGACGAATTCGCGCACAGAGGAGAGTCCGTGTAGGTTGTTCGGGTTGCGGGTTAGCTGAGTGAGGTATGTGGACAGGCCGCTGACGAAGTCTGCGGCTATGACGATGGATGGCGACATGCTTTGCGTGTAGTCGATGTATGCGGTGAAGTTGGTGTTGTCAATGACGGTTGCGCCGGCACCTCCGATGGTCGCGACGGCGTTGTCGAAGGCTGTGCGGATTGCCTCGTTGGTCGGGTCCATCGCGTCGAGGACATTGCGGGGGATGCCGATCCGTTTGCCTTGTAAGCCGGCGAGGTTGCAGGCCGCTGCGTAGTCCGGGAGGTGGTCCCCAAAGGGCGAGGCCAGGGTGTAGTTGTCTTTAGGGTCCGGACCCGCAATGACTTGTAGCATTAGGGCTGCGTCTTTCACCGTCCTACTGATCGGGCCGATGGTGTCGGCGCGCTCGCTGATGGGCACGACCATGTAGCGAGAGGTGAGGCCGACGGTGGGTTTGATGCCGACGACGTTGTTCAGGCCGCTGGGGAGGAGGATGCTTCCGCTTGTCTGTCAGAATGTGTGGTTAGCATGGTGTCTATGTCTGGTTTAGGTGTCTGCGCCCACCTCCGATCCCAGCGTCACTGCGGCGAGTCCCAGATCTGTCGAGACGGCGCTGCCACTAGAGCTACCACTTGGGTCTTGCTTGGGATAATACGCTCCGTAAGTCTGGCCGCCGCGGGCGTTCCAGCCGTTGGAGGGATTGGATGAGCGGACGTTGGCCCACTCTGACAAGCTGGTTTTGCCCATGATGATCATACCTTGTTCGCGCAGTTTGGTGACGACGGTTGCATCTGCTGGGACTTGGGCGCCTACTAGAGCATATGATCCCACTAGACAAGGAGAGGTTAGTATGTCCGTTTATAGTAGGAGGGAAGGGGGATTTGAGGAGAAGGGAATCTACTAGCTGTCTGCATCTTGTCTTTTGTGCCAATGATATCCTTGATGAGGACCGGGATGCCGTGTAGGGGTCTATCTCAGCTGTTAGAAACGTTGTTTAGAAGATTATAGACGACATACCCCCGCGTGAGTCCACGTCTTCTCTCCATGTCCATGCGCATGGCGATGCCGTATACATCGGGGTTGGTTTCCAGGACGGTATGGAGGGTGGAATTGACTTCATAGATGCGTGACAGATAGGCCTATCTTGTCAGTATCCAATCAAAGGGTATGGTGAGAGATGCGAGACCAACCGTCACCAAGTCCACACTGTTGAAGCATCTCTGGCGGAGACCCTGTTGTAGCTGATCCACCGTGGCATCGACCAGTGGTACTGATGTGCAGTCTGCCGAGGGGTTGGGGAACCCAAAGGTTGCAGTGCAGGTCCCCAGTAGAATGGTGGTCACAGAGCAGATGTACTTGTAAAGCATGTTGAGAGGGGTTGATATCTGAATGAGGGAGTAGCGGCTGTGGTTGAGGTTATATACAACCCTAATCGCAGTTGACCTTGCAGTTGCAGCTGCAGTAACAGTGATGGTAATGAAATAATAGAATTATTTCAATAATCCCTGCAAGGAATACAGCTGAAGTCTCCGATCGATCTCTCCTTCCAGCTCTGTCAAAACTGAACGACTCAGCCTGATAAAACTAAGCCCTAAACGGGTCTCAATAAAACTTCACTCCACCCACGAATTGGTAACAACCTCAATTTCCCCTGCTGTGACACAGTCCGAGACATCAGACATTCTTTCCTCCTGTCTGGGATTAGTGACATTCCTCAGCTGGATGATTACACTGCGTCTTGTTGTTCTAGAATAGTCCTGTAATTTCCGCTGTTCTACAGCCCTGCATAATGTCTTAGTCTTCTATATCTCTACATCTATATATATAACAGTAACACAATTGTTAATGGAACAACCCAGTCCCTAGGGAGTCACACGAATCCAACCAACTTGCCAACGCTGCAATGTAATCTACGCTTACGTGCATAGCATGGGACTCGCCGTAATGGAATTAGTTGCACGAGGGGGTGTGCTCGTTATTCGAGGTCTCTCTCATCTCCTAGGACTTGGATAGGTCAGTGTGTGGCAGGTATGAGATACTACCTATACACCTTGTACATACTATACTTCAAGACAATCTATCTTTGATCTAATCTATATTGCGACACATGGTGAAAGATGTCTGAGTTTCTGATGTACAATAATTGTCATACTGTCTAGAACCAGAACAACCAACGCAGGGTTACTGATACATTCATTTACTCCAAACTCTTTGTGGCGGGTGGAACAGAAGTATACTGGTGTTACTCTGTTACTATTCTTACTCACTACACAGGGTGTTTATCAGTTTTAATCAATATCAGGTAAAATTAAATGAATATTTTCAGTCAATCTAGCTGTATGTGTACATTTGAGGAAGTATGAACAAGGCTCGCGTCATGCCGAACGTACATCTGCAGTCTCAAAAATTCAAACAACAGAGAGAAAAATGTACAACAGGGAAGATTAAAAGAAAAGAAAACCAGAAAAGACAAAGAAACGCCCATCAATCATGAATCATAATCATACCGCAATCCACTATTCATAAAGATCCATATCTCCTCCCTCATCCTCCATCTCCGCCAGCGCGTCATCCTCATCGTCTAGCATATCCTGGTCTTCGACCTGCACGTCGTGGTTCGGCAGCACATCGATATGTCCATCGCGCATGATGACCTGCGCATCCTCGTTTTCGCGGATGTTCCCGCGCAGGATGAGCACCGCCAGCCGGTTGAGCACCTCGCGCTCGATGATCCGCGCCAGCGGCCGGGCACCGTAGGCAGGCGAGTATCCCGCCTCGCCAAGGTAATCCTTGACCTCCTCGGTGCACTTGATCTGCACCTTGCGTCCGTTCTCGTCCAGCCGGTGCTGCACCTCGCTGAGGCGCAGGTCGACGATCTTGCGGATTTCACGCTTCGTCAGACGGTTGAACACGATGGTACTGGAGATACGGTTGAGGAATTCTGGCAGGAAGTAGTCGCGCAGGGCACCCATGACGAGCTCACGCGTCTGCGGGTCGATCTGGCCTGTCTTGGTTGTCGGGCGCGCGAGGTATTCGGCGCCTAGGTTGGACGTCATGACCACGATGCAGTTGCGCGCGTCGACGATGCGCCCCTGGCCGTCGGTGATGCGCCCGTCGTCCATGAGCTGCAGCAGGACGGTGAGCACCTCCTTGGCGGCCTTCTCGACCTCGTCGAAAAGCAGGATCGAGAAGGGCCGGCGGCGAAGGCTCTCGGTGAGTTGGCCGCCCGCGTCATGACCCACGTAGCCGGGAGGCGCGCCGATCATCCGGCTGAGGGAGTGGCGTTCTTGATATTCCGACATGTCGAACCGGATCATCGCCTTGGGGTCGTCGAAGAGGAACTCCGCCAGGGCCTTGGTGAGCAGGGTCTTACCCGTACCTGACGGGCCGCAGAACAGGAAGCTGGGCGGCGAGTTCGGATTGCTCAATCCCGATCGCTGGAGACGGATGGCGTTCGACACCGACGTGACGGCTTCCTTCTGGCCCACGACCTGCTTCGCCAGATACCGCTCCATGTTCAACAGCTTGTCCTTCTCAGTGGTCTTCAGCCGGGTGACCGGGATGCCCGTCCACCGGGCCACGATCTCGTTGATCTGATCCGGACCGACGGCGTCGGCGAGCAGGGCCTCGCCTGCCTCGCCCGCCCGCGCCCGGTTCTCGGCATCCGCCTTGGCACGGTCGGCTTCCAGCCGCTCGATGAGGGTCTTGGTCTCGGGGATGGCGTAGTACCCGATGTCGGCGGCCGTTACGGTGTCGCCGGACCGCTCGGCCTCGTCGCGCTTGACCTTCAGGCTGTCAAGCTTGATCTTGGCGTCTTGGATGGACCGGCTGCGGCTCTTCTCGCTCTCGTACTTCTCCCGCATGGGGCGTAGCTCCTCGGAGACATTGGCGGCTTCCTGCTTGGCCGCCTCCAAACGAGCCTTGGAGGCATCGTCCTTTTCGCGCTCGAGCGCGTGAATTTCGATCTGAAGCTGGCGCAGTCTTCGTTCCAGGGTGTCCAGAGCCTCGGGCTCGGACTCGCGGGTGACCCGCACGGCGGCCGCGGCCTCGTCGATCAGATCGACGGCGGAATCGGGAAGTCGACGGGCCGTGAGATATCGCGCCGCCAACGTGGCTGCCGCGACGATGGCGGAGTCGAGGATGTTCACACCGTGGTGCACTTCGTATCGCTCTTTCAAACCACGGAGAATCGAGACCGTCTCAGACACGGTGGGCTCTTTGACGAGAACCTGTTGGAAGCGGCGCTCGAAGGCCTGGTCCTTCTCAATGTACTTGCGATATTCGCCCAAGGTGGTTGCACCGATACAGTGCAGCTGACCTCGCGCGAGCATGGGCTTCAGCAGGTTCGCGGCATCCATGCCGCCCTCACCGGTGGTACCGGCGCCCATGAGGAGGTGAATCTCATCGACGAAGAGAACGATCATGTCCTTGGAGTCCTCAATTTCCTTGAGGACGCCCTTCATGCGCTCTTCGAATTCACCGCGGTATTTGCTGCCCGCGACCAGCGATCCGACGTCCAGGGAGAGGAGTTTGCATTGTGCCAGGTTGGCCGGGACGTCGGCGTTCACCATGCGACGGGCCAGCCCTTCGACGATGGTCGTCTTTCCGACACCCGGTTCGCCGATGAGGACGGGGTTGTTCTTTGTCCGACGGCTAAGAATTCGGATGACCCGCCGGATCTCCTCCTCACGACCGATGACGGGATCGATCTTACCCTCGCGGGCCAACGACGTCATGTCAATTGTGAACTTTTTCAGATTCTCATTTTCGGCCTCCGAGTCCGCCGTCTTCGAGTCCACCCGTTTTGTGCCACGGATCTGTTGGACCGCGTTTTCGATGAGTTTCACGTTCGGGATATTCGAGTCGGCCAAGCATCGCTGGACCTGCGAGTCCTGGGCGGTCGCCAAGATGAGGTGGTCTACGGCCACGTAGCTATCCTTCTGGGTTTTGGACAACTCCGTAGCCGATCGTAGGACCTTGGCGAGGGCGGGCGACACCCCGACGGTTTCGGGGGGAGGATCTTGGCTGGGGAAACGGACGAGCTGCTTCATCAGCGCCCGTTCCAGGAGTTGGGGGTCCCCATGGGCACGCTCAATGACCTGACGGAAGAGGGAGGCGCTGGCGGACTCGTGAGAGGAATGGACTGTGGTTTGTTGATCTTTCGACTCGTCGGGCGATGGGTCTAGTAATGCCACTGCCAGATGGATCGGGAGAATCTGAGAATGAGAGTATTGCTCGGCCAGACCACTGGAGTCCAGCAGAGCCTTGTTGGCTCTATCAGTGAACTGAGCGCCGTTCATGATGAAACGACGATTGTGGAATTCACGAGGAGTGATTTTGTGCTCAAGTCTGTTGTGTGAGATGTGTGATTATGGAATAGTTTTGATGTGTAAGGTTGTAAAGTATTTCTTCGATAAAGAGTCTGCAGATTGACCAGGATGGAGGACGAGACAGCAAGATATAGGCAAGATTGGGCAGCGTAGAAAAGACTCGAGAAGGCGGATGACGACACGAGTGTCTTCCACCGCCTTCCAGAATCCCCGCGGCCTTTCGAGATCACGTGAGCGGGTTCGCGCTCCATCTCGATATACCATGATGATCACTGTTCTACAGTAGCTGCTTCGTTTGTACGCTTCATACATCATGGAGGACAATAACAGTAGCATCATCAACTATGCAACGATCAAAGCACGAGGGGGGAAATTATGGGAAGAAACGCCGCCTCATGCTCCTCAGGCGGTCATGATAGATCGGGCAGAATCGCCCCGGTCGGCCTGACCGTTATGGCATGACTCGCTATGATGTCAACCGTCAACAGGTCTCCATGTCATGAATCTCGTCTCCGATCGGGGATGACAGCCATCGTGGATCGACTTGTTTTCATACTCGTTCCTCCTATGATTCGTTGACTAGTCGCCCCCGATTCGGATCTCTGGTGTGGGTCTGAGCGTTATGGATCAGGATATCTGACAACACTATGGAGCACTCCGTACTAATATACTAGCAGGCTAGCAGCCTTGCTCCCCCCACCACTCGTATCCAGCGATGCAGTAAGATCGCAAACCGGCCCTGTTCCTTATCTCTTCGGTCTGCCGCTTGTCCACCACTGGAGTATCAGGCAGGATGAACCCAGAGAATTCAATAGGCAGATGGGGCTCTTTGGATCTTGGCGACTGTTCTACAAGTCGCAAATCCAAAGGCAAATGCGGGGTTGAGATTGCACGCATGGAGGGGCAGGGAAGGGGTACACAGTCAAAGTAAAGAAAAAGAAAAACTCCGTCACAGTTCATCCTTCCATCCATCCACAAGCATCGGTAAATGGCCTTTCCCCATTCAGTGTCCGGATCGGACCACTGCATTGTGCAGGCCACTGCAAGGATGTTCCAATTGTTTTGTTGATTTTTGATTTTTGTCTTGTTCTCTGTCCGCCTATCGTCTTCCCTTATTTTGCCTGGTGCAGGGACCGGCAGCGTCCCTCTGATCGAACGGAATGTACAGCAGCCCCATTATCGACGCCATGCGTCTCGGGTTTTCGGGTTTCGAGTTCGTCGGTGGTCAAACACCTTTTGAATCTGATGTATCATCTTCGGGTTGCGAATGGGCTGAGCCCCCTTGCTGAGGTTGATCCCGACTGGGAGTGTCATGCAGTTGCGCCATCGTACCCTTGTAGTTTTCCCCAGATTGTCTCTTCCTGACGACCGTGGTTCGTTCCTGACCATCCCTTACCGCCGGAGAATCCCCATTTATCCACCGACCTTATCATGAAAGAGGGGGTGTTCGTCTAAGCGAGTGGCCGGTCCATCATCCTCGGGTCTTTGCAAGGGATCGCCGGTGTTGGGCAGAAAAACGGAAAGATCAGGGGTTCACAATAAGTATATCTATTATATATAGAGAGAGACATGATGTATAGATTGTGAGAAGAAGAAAAAGATTAAGATATAAAGAAAGGAGGAGGAAGACGAAGAGAATGTAAAGTGGATGAATTTCGGGCGGATACTGCGTCATCCCCTTCAGCCTGAGGCTCCTAACCGAACCATCGTGACTTTTTCTGCTTCTTCTTTTTTCTCTTTGTGACTTCAACTTCATCACTTTTCTCCTTCCTTTCCCCCTCTCTGTCTTCCCCCTTTCGATATTGCTTCCCTGGTTTCAAGTGTTCCACAATCAATCAAGCATTCTCGGGTGGTCTTAACCCCTCTAATCCTGGACCCTCTCGGCAAGCGGTGATCAACTGGCGTGGCAAACCTGTTCCTCCGACTAGTTCCATCCCTGTCCAGTCTGACCGTTTGCTTTCGCTCGGTCCCTCGTTTAGCTCGATTATTTGCATGATTCTTGCAGCCTTCCTTTTCTCCGCCTTGCTCCAACGAATCTCCTCTCTCCCCACTTCGAACCACGCTTCAGAGCCTGTCATTCGGAGCCCCAAGTTGACCGCCTCTTGCTCCAAACCCCTGGTACGGCGCGAACGTCTGAGTGCCCGACGCCTTGTGATCCGGCATTTCGCATTGCTGACCTCATCTTGTTCCTTTTCACTCTTTTTTTTCTGTTTCTCAATTTTGATATCTCGTATTTCTAATCCAGAGACTTATCTTTTCTGTTGCGCATCATCTAACCCAGTGCGTCAGGTGGTCTCAATTGCACCCAATATAAAAAATCGTCTCGATCCACTTCTGTTCCCCGACGATCTGATTGGCATGAGTTCGGCCTGAGTCTGGCAAGGCCAAGCGCCACCGTTTCCTGGTACGATCAGAAACCCTGTGCTGGGCGTCTTTTCTAGATCTGGGGACCCTCTCCCGCTAAACGCGATCGGGTTGGAGGATTATCTCTCCGTTAGCCTTCTGCCGGGTCGTTTCTTCCACCGTTTCTGCTTGGAGGAAGGTGTTTCCAGAAGGTTGAATGCATCAGCTGAGCCTGACCGTCAGAGATTCCATAAATTCCGTCATCGTCACCTTGGATATCCGACGGAGTGGTTCGGAAGACCGTACCGGAGCGAATTGACTAAAATTTGAGAACGCTTCCATCGCACTTTTTCTTTTCTTTTCTTTTTTTTTTTTTTTATCTTTCCATTCTTCTCTTCGCTACTTTTTTCTTTGATTTTCTTCCGATTTCTTTCTTTTCCTGATCCCTTTTTAGGAAAGGGAGAGAAAAAATCTTGAAGGAAAAGAAGAGAGAAGAAAAGAACAACAGAACGAAGGGGAAAAGGAAAAGGAAAAAAAAAAAAAAAAAGAAATCCTTATCAAACACCCCCGACATCCAGTCCGGCTAGTGTTTGGGTTTCATACATTCTTTCAGGCCTGTCCAACGATCTACATCCTCGCGCATGGAAAATCGTTTTTTGCTTTTTCACAATCAGCTCCACGCGCTGCCCGCCCCATCGCACTATTTAATGAACGCCCAGCTCTCGTGCTCATCGGCGAGAATTCATACATCGCAGGACGTCGATCTGCTTGGTCAAAGCGTCCCGAGGTCAACCCTACGGTCGCTCGTCTCGAACCAGCAGGGAGTCGTCGTGCCGGCCATGATTCTTTTCGTCGAACATCTATCTCCAATATTTTCATTGACGACTTGAACGGATGACCAAATCGAATTCCCTCGAGCTCCCCGTCGGGGCTCGACTCGTCTACCTGGCGGAGGGCGGCGCCAACATCATTTACCGCATCGTGGCGCCACTCGCGAACGGAACCTACGGGCCCAAGAATGGGATCTCGGGGAGGGGGCACGTGGCCGGCGCCTTCGAGTCGCATGCTGTCCCGAAGGAGTTGAGGGGAAAGCTGCTGCGTCTCCGAAAGGACACCCCGTCCGGGGTTCCGTACCAGGAGATCTCCCGGAATTTCGATCGCAACATTCGGCCTCTTTTTAAATCGGAGGAGCTCGTGGACCAGGAGCTGATCCGCCTTCCCCTAGGCTTGGTTTCGTGGTGCAACGAGCAGCTACGTCTCGCGGAGGTGAACGGCCGACGACCGAAACGACGCCATGGGGTGTATCTTTCCCTTAACGAGCCCTTTGGGCTGCTGGTCACAGATATGACGCCGTTCGGCGACCCGCGGACGGTGCTGGCCGAGTTCAAACCCAAGTGGCTACTACAGTCGCCAACGGCGCCGGGAAATGCGCGCCGGTGTCGCACCTGCGCGTTGCGGGAACTCAAAAACCACGACGATCGGAGACGCGGGGGCCAAGATGAACCCTCCTTCTGCCCGCTCGACTTGATCTCCGACAAGTTCGAAAATGTCCTCCGGGCCACCCGGTTCATCAAAGGCTGCAAAGACCAACGGCGCCTGGCACGGATCCTACACCGAAACCACACGCTACACAGACTCGTGGCGCACCAAGTCGCCATGGGCGATGTGGGACTCCACGGTCCCGCCGCGCACTCCCGGGACAAATCCCTCGCCATGACCCTGCGGGACTGCACCATGTTCATCAAGGTAAGGCAACGATGACGTCATGGAAAGATGACCGCGTCACTGACGGAACTCGGCCAGATGTCACGGGACGAAGACGGTCCTGTCGAAGTGCGACTGGGAGATTTAGATTTGAAGACGGGAGCCGGCGGGAAAGCCAAGTACTGGCAAGATCTGGAACGGCAACTGATTGGCGATGGATGGTACATGGGGCATCACAGCGGGATGCATGCCAGCGAATGCGCATTGCAAGGGCCGCGAGGATGTCCCCAGCCATCGATATAGACTTTTATTTCTTTTTTTCTCCTTCATTTCTCCCTCTTCTTTTCCCTTCTTCTCTCCTTCTTCCCTCTTTATCCTTCTTCTTCTTCCTCTGACTTTTTCTTACACCTCTTTTTATTTCCCCCCTTTTTCCTCTATATTTTTTATTCGATATATACCTACCCTTCATCGGAATGTTTCCGCGTCCGTGCGACTTACGAGGCTAAACGGCATGGCGAATGGGATTCGGCAGCCCCATTCCTTGGATGCACGTGGCCCTTGCACTGGTCTCCTATTTTCTCTTCTCACTTCTCTCTTCTCTTTTCTTATTTTCCTCGGTCATGGTTGGTGGGTTCTGTTTCAGCGTGGCAATCGGATATCCCTAGCATTGTGGTTCTGGTTACGGTATGGAGTTCGGTTTGGACGGTCTACATGAGGACTTGTCAAGTTCATTCTAGCATACCCATTATACTTAGTGTTTACAATATTATTCCACGAGCATTGATTCTCATTTCTCCGTTGATTATAAGCGATGGATAGTCACTTGGCAGGTCGAGTGCGTAGGGACAATGCGAGATATGAGCCTAATGTCATGGTTGGGGGTGTCTGCATACCAGTGCATACCATCAAGGACTTGGAAGCTATACAGCGGTTGAGATATCTGGAGTATATGTTGACTATCAAGTCGTGAAGCCCTAGACAACAATATAGTATACCATAGTATAACACTAAGAAACCCCCCAATACAACGCCCCAACAATAACCACCACCATAAACATCGTGAAAACAGCTGCCCCGAAGCGATCCGCCCCGGTCACTCTCACTCTTCCCTTTCCACTTCCACCATTCCCATTCCCATCCCCATCCCAATCCCAATCCCAATCTTCACCATTCTTCCCTTCATTACCCCCTCCACCTCCACCTCCACCACCAGCAGGCCCCTTCCCACCCCCAGTACTAATCCCCCCCTTCCCAGCCGTAACCCTCCCAGTCATCCCCCCACTCAGTAAACCCTGAAACACCTCCAGCGCAGCCATCTGCTCCCCCACCCCAACACTCCCATCAAATACCACCCCACTCGTCCAGCACAACCCACACACGCCCCCAGGCCCACTACACTGCCTCGCCGCAGCAGCTGCCGAAGCGCGCAGTTTGGGCAGGAGCAGCGGGCGCGTGAACGGCGCGATCTGCATCGTGTGGGCCATGAAGCGCGCGAGGTACGCTTTGAAGGAGCGTTGGTCGGTGTTGCAGGTGTGTGTTGGTTCGCAGGTGATTTCGCTCATTATGTTGGATTGGGCGAAGAAAGTTGTATCTAGGCTGTGGATTATTTGCGTGATGCGCGTTTGCCAGAGGGGGGAGTTGCCTGTCTGTGGATAGCACAGGTTGGTAAGTAGAGTCGGTAGGAGTGTGGATGTAGGGAGGGGAGAAGAGAAGAGACACACAAATTGATACATATGCGCCGCCCCGAGCAAATACAACCCCGCATTATAAGTCCACTGCAGCGTATTGAACACCGTACAATTACTGCGCTCATCCGTCCCATCGCGGAAATGGAACTCCCCATCAACAAGCCCAACAGCAACAGTCCAATCCCACACCCTCTCCGCCCAGTCCGCGTACCCCTCCCTCCCGGTATAAACCGCCAGCCGCGCAGCAAGATTAAAGAAACACCCATTCGACACCGTATTCTTATACGTGAAGCCGTTATTGAAGGGGAAAACCTGCCACTTGAGCCCGCCCCCACAGGAGGTGTTATCCCACCGGGCTACCTGCGAGTGAAAGACAGCTTGCGCGAGGGCGAGCCATTGAGGCTTGTCCGGGGGTGGGTTTGGGTACTTGGTTTCTGCGGCGGACATGGCGGCGAAGGCCCAGAAGGCTTGGTCGTCGTTTCCGAGGGTGCGGGATTGGTTGGGCGGCATGTAGTTGTTTTCGGGGCCGGTTTGGTGGAGGAGAGCTTGGGTGGTGAGATTGTTGTAGGTGTCGTCGCCGGTGTAGTACCAGTATTCGACTAGGGCGCCGAACATTGCTCCGGCTGACTCGTTAGTAGGTATTGTATTTGTTTGATAGGGAAGACTACCTTCCCACCAATAGTAGGGCTCCGGTAGATTCCCTGGGATGTTTCCTGGTTGGTGACCGTTGTAGTATGCCATCATGCCAGAGGCTGCCTGTTTAGCTGCTTTTTTGATAGATTCTATTTCGCGGGGGAGTCAGTCTAGAAAATTTCAGGAAGAGTGCAAGAAAAGGGGGTGTCTGACCGGGTGAATCAAGGTCCAGCTGGATGGACTGCGCTGTCTGGGCCAGCAGGAGTGTGGCCCATATGAGCGAGCATCCTAGCGATGTGGAAGTCTCGAAGAACCACATGAGTATATAAATGTAAGTGCAGTAGGCTATAGAGTGACAAGTCGGCGGTTCATTAGATATAGGCGGATGGGACAGTGGTAGCCAAGTTAGGGTTTAATGACCGAATGATTTGTGAATTTGAGCCCTAATCAGGGCAGGATGATGACAGACAAGATTCAACATTTTTTGGGAAGTATAAAGTTGAATTCAAACATGGATACGTAAAAACCATGCTTGTTTGTCAATTCAGACTTCCGACTAGCTGTATGGTATATTCCAATCAGAGGTACCACTACAACTGACGAGATGGACAGATAGAGGACTTGTCTTGTATGCAGCTAACTCAATGCGTATCACAGTCATAGAAATCCAATCAGTACCACAGCCTAAAGAAGCACACTACCTATCTAGTTAACTGCTACCGCTTTCCCCATCTCTCCATAACCGTCTCTACAATCTTCACCAGCCCCTCCATCTCCTCTTCAACCGTCAATTCGAGGGCGGTGGCATCGATGCTACACCCCACATACACAGGGACCCCCATACGACGAGCCAGGATCTTAGCGATCCGCGTCGTGTATTCCACCGAGGCCGCGGTATAGATGGTGGTGGAAATCGCCGCGCGCGGATTGGTGCGCTGTACTTGTCAGGCATCATATTCACTAGGTACCATGGTCGAGTCTCCAGCGACCATGCATGCCATTTGGCAGATCGGTCGGACGGGCACTTACATCCGGCATCGCATACACGAAACTACCCATCGAGGCTACGGAGCCAGCCGAGTCCCCTGGGGTGGTCGTGGAGAGGAAAACCATCGCGCAGGTCTCCAGGAAGGTGAGATGGACGTGTGCGGTGGTGTGGAGTGCCTTGGGCAGCGGAAATGATATCTCCTGTGGTTTGAGCTGCGGCGTAAGGTCCGTTGGGGACTGCTCTGGGGCCTGTGTTGTGGCCATTTTGCTTGTTTGTAAATGTAGATAGGTCGGATGTACTGTTGATGATGGAGAAGCTGTGGAGACAAAGGCCGACATCCCACCTGGTCACGTGCCAGGAACGTATATTTAGATCGCGTCTGCTTGACACTTTTGATTACAACTTCATCACAAGCTAATGATATGGAAAATCATCATACAGCTTCCGACCAAAAGGTCTGCACTATCAAGTCATGGAGTTATTAAGATCCGATCAAAAGAGCTTCCGTTGATATATATTGGCCATACTTGACATCAACCGACATCTTTGTCTACGCGTATCCACAGGATTGGTCTCAAATGGGTCACTCTTGCTTTATTCTTGTACCCCATCGGCGAGTCGATTTAAGCAGACTGGTGGGGGTTTTATTTGAGCTCTTACCGCCGTACTATTCTCCCAAGCAGCGTGGACTTGACAGCGTCATCTCAGGACTCTTCATGAAAGAACACATCCAAGTGGTGATAGAACACTACCACTGAGCGACACTGGATTCAAGTGCCCGTCTAAATCAAGGTAATTCTTGATTAGCAGCTTGGTGTTAAACGATGTGAGCACGAACTCAAGTAATGCCGGATTCGATCCGATTCGGTGGCGCCCAAGCCGCATCATCCTGAGATCATGAATACGTCCCCGCACAAGATGTCATGAGAATTTGTATTTGACAGCTCTATCCGTCTCCATCTACAATTGTACTTTATTAGTTTATCCAAACCTCATCGTTAGTACTCCAAACACCATATGTCAATGGTATCTCGAGTCCCCTTTCAGCTCTCTGGTCGGTATGCAGAGCCCAATCGGTGGGAACTCATCAACGGCCCCGGCGACTCGCGCGTAACGGGAAGCCAAGTCATCGAAGATGAGTGTCTAGCCGACCGTTGGACCGACAAGGTGGTGCTGATCACCGGCGTTTCCTCTGGAGTCGGTGTAGAGACTGTGCGTGTATTGGCATCTACCGGTGCCACTATCTTTGGTACAGCCCGGAATCTCCAAAAGGCGAAGGAGGCTTTGGGTTCTTTGCTTGATACTGAGTGTGTGAAGCTCCTATTGATGAACCAGACGGACCTTTCGAGTGTTCGAACGTGTGTCGCGGACTTTCTTAAGCAAAGTTCTAAGCTGAATGTTCTTATTAACAATGCGGGTGTGAGATTGCTTTCCGTTCCTTTTCTTTTTCAATATCTCACGTCATATAGGTGATGAATACTCCAGAAAGTCGTACCAAGGATGGGTTTGAACTTCAGTTTGGAACAAACCACCTGTCGCATTTCCTCCTCTTCTATCTACTAAAAGACGTCCTCCTGGAAACGGCCCACGCCACGCCAAACTTCCACTCCCGTGTCATCAACATCGGTTCATCAGGCCATCGCTACAGCCCCATCCCTTTCGACAACGTCAATTTCGAAGGAAACTACAACGGCTGGCTTGCTTACGGATCCAGTAAAACAGCCAATATCTACATGGCCAACCATATCGAGCGCCTCTACGGAGCTCATGGCCTCCACGGCTACAGCCTACACCCTGGGGCTTTCGTGAGCCCCAACCTCCAAAAATACTCGCAGGAGAAGATGAAGGCGGCGATGCAAGACAAGCGCACACAAGCGTATCTGTCCAGTCTCGGACAAGCCTGCGCGACTACTGTGTACGCCGCTGCCTCGAGCGAGCTGGAGGGGAAAGGTGGTTTATATTTGGAAGGGGCTTCTGTGGTAGTCCATCCGGCCCCTTCAAATGGGGATGGGCTTGAATATGGATATGCCAGTTGGGCATTTGATGAGACTAAGGAAATGGAACTGTGGAGGTTGAGCAAGTCATTGGTAGGGGTGGAGTAAACTAAGATCTATTCTTATATACGTTTTATTCGACCCATGATTTCGGCCCTTTTAACTCTCACCTCATCAATTGTTTTGGGCAGAACAGTCTGGCCTTTTAGTACCAAAAGTGATGATCCATAAAGGCATAATAGCTTCAATCTTGTAAATTAGACGGACTGTCTAATACTTTGCTGATCCTTACTAGATATACGTGTCGGAAATGTCAACGAAATGAAATGTTGACACTAAAATACAGTAGAAAATAGTGTGACGTATTATCGAAGGCGGTCAATAAGGGAGCAGATCTGCCAGATTTTGGAGGCGGTCTGGCGGTCATCTATCGCGTCTTTTGTGATGGGTTTGAACAATCCCTCCTCTCAATATCAACCACTATATATCCTCGCAATCGGTGTGCTCTGGACACATCGCTGCTTCAATAAGATAATCTGGCAAAGTTGAAGCGAATTGCAGTGCTCTCACTATCTACAGTGTGATCATTCATCCTCATCATGACTGTCTATCCCCCCACCGACGACTCGGAAACTCGTAGCTGGGCTGGGGATTATGATCCATTGTCCGATCCAGAGGACCGGCGAGTGCTCTTTGCGGCTCTAGATTCATTCAGGTGTGTGAGTTTATAAGAATGAGTGGTTACTGGCGGTGGAGGATCTCCCATCAATTTTATGTCCTCCATGGTACCCCGCGGTGGGGTTGCCGTTGTGCTTGTTCCATACATTTACATACTACAACGTGGTTCATGATTCTGTCCTGCTTCTGTCCCTTGCGTATTTGAATGTCTACTTTCCACCCATAATAGAGCTTTCTACCACACTGCCAATCCGTCACCTCTGTGAGTGGTCGCCCGCTGACGCTCTCAGGCAATACCGGAGAACAGCCCACGCCAACACCACCCACCGGCGACGCCAGGCGTTCTATGCACTCCCGCCTGCACACTTGCAAATGCTGTCAGAGCCGCCGTTCTCCCTGCTGGACAAATTCAACCGCGTGGATGAGGCCATCGATGTGAATGCCGATATTGCAGACGCCATTCTCGCCACGGGCCTCGCCTCCTTTGAGATCGAGGAGAGTAGTGACCCTACCGATGGTAGTCGGAAGTGGCGGGAAACTGCCACATCTTCGGACGTCAACAAGGCATATTCGACCATTCGTCAATTCTACCGGGACTGGAGCGCCGAGGGGGCAGTGGAACGCGAGATCTGCTACGGCCCGGTGCTCCGCGACCTTAAGGAGGAATTCGCCAAGGAAAATGCCACGGAGGAAGAGATCAAGGTCTTAGTGCCTGGTGCCGGTCTCGGGAGATTGGTCTTTGAGATCTGTTGCGCGGGGTTTGCCGCGGAGGGCAATGAAATCTCGTACCATCAATTGCTGGCCAGCAGCTGGGTCTTAAACCACACGTCCGGCCCGCAACAACATACGCTGTATCCCTTTGCGCTGCAATTTTCCAACCTCCAGTCGCGCGAACAACAACTCCAAACGGTGCAGATCCCGGACATCCATCCTGGAGCGGCAATGTATGAATCCCTCCAAGAAGGTGGGCAATTCGGGACGATGAGCATGTCTGCGGCCGACTTTGTGGTGCTCTACAGCAGCCCATCCAACAAAGAACAATACGACGCCGTCGCCACCGTCTTTTTCATCGACACCGCACCCAACCTCATCCGCTACGTCGAGACTATCCACCACTGCCTGAAGCCGAACGGCCTCTGGGTCAACGTGGGTCCCCTCCTGTGGCATTTCGAGGACGTCGACCACCGCGTGAACCAATCCTCCCCGCCCGAGGGGAAACCCCAGGGGATCGAGGAGCCCGGGAGGGTGGAGCTCACCGAAGAGGAAGTGTTTGCTTTGATTGAGCGCATGGGATTTGTGATTGAAAAACGGCAGCCGGAAGATGAGCGACCGCTATGTGGGTACATCCAGGATCCCCGTAGTATGCGGCAGAGCCTCTATCGGCCGTCCCACTGGACAGCGCGGAAGAAATGAATAAACCTGTCTCCCTTTCTTTTCTATTATGAACGCATCCTGCGATGACCCATCACGTCTATCAAACAGCATCATATCAAGCCTTTCCAACATGTTTTATCTCATTTGTCCACCAGCATCACGTGAAGATATTCTTTTCCTACTTGTGAGGTATTTTGAAGCGGATCCTTCGATCCTGTTCTTCTTTCTTGGTCTACCTGTATCACTCCGAAGTTTACAGCATGTACTACCTATTGGCAGGCTATAGTTAGTTACACACACAAAGACATTGGGGCTATATGGTCACACATTATGCTTCGCCGAGTCGAATGTTATATATAATTTATATATAGTTCCACCATGATAATCGTCGTCTATTATAAGAAGATCGACCATTCAAGTCTAACATAAAAACTTGGACGGACCTTATACTACAAAAAAGTGACATGATCAAGATTGTTAGGGCATCGGATCGTCACTCTAGAGCCCAAAGTGGACCACCAACATCTAAACACTAACAAACTAGACATGCACGATCATACAAAGTACAGACCGATGATCAGTAATATAACCTGCTAATTACAAAAATGATTCCAACAATCTCCATCAGTTAATATATATCACCCGCTCTGATTGCTCCATCCACAATCATCTGACAGCCACAGGTCCCGATGACGTCGGTCAACCGCGCGATGACGTAGCCCTGTCAATTCCTTACAATGTCAATTCATTTCGATCTCCATTTATATCCATGGGTCAGTCTCCCGTCCGGTTCGGTCATGCCGTTGCCACAGCGTTGGCTTGATTTATATGGATAAGAGGAGACTTTTCAACTACTCACTAGAGGTGTATTTACCACCATCAGTTCGTACAGTCTGATCGACATCTTAGTACCAGTGTGAAACAACATGGCCACTATATCCATCAACGCCCCCGGAGCCAGCGGCTTCCTCTACAACAATGCCTCCAACGTCGCCCGACTATGCATCTCAGCCGAAACCCCTGACTTCGACGCCGTCTTTCTGCGCGAGTGGCAAGACGAGGGCTTCGAGGTCGTATATATCCCTTATAACGGGGGCGGCAAGGAATACGAGCAGCAGTTACGCTCTGTGAAGGAGGGTTTGGGCGTGGGGGAGAATTACGCTGTTCTGGGTGCGTTCCCCGTCCACTGCACTCTTGCGTCCTAGCTTCTCCGGTGATAATGATCAACTAACGCAAGAGGTGTAATACAGCCTTCGGCGACGCAGCAAGCTACTGCCTCGACTACTACCTTAAGCCCACAGCGTCCAGCCGCCTCTGCGCCCTAATAGCCTACTACCCGACCGCGATCCCAGACACGCGCTCACGGTTCGCGCCCTCCCTGCGCGTCCTCGTCCACCTAGCCGGTACAACCGTCGACGTAGTCACCACGCCGACTGCGCTAGGTCTCCAGGGTAAAAAGCGGCGCGCGACCCGCGAGATCAACCCCGGTATTGGAACCGGCGAGCGTCTGAACTTCGGGTATCCGGCCTATACGTATGAGGTTGAGCCTGGGTTTGCGGAGCATGACCTCGATGAGTTCGATCGGTTGGCGGCGAGTCTGGCGTGGTCGCGGTCGTTGGGGGTTTTGAGGAAGGCGTTCAATAAGGATTTGGATCTTGAGGCGAGGTGGGAGGAGCATTTGGATGGTGTGTTTCCCCCCTCCTCCTCCATTCTCCCCTTTTTCATCATGTGTCCATTTGCGTGGATGGGGAAAGCATCTTGAATTCAGGTAGACTAACAAGATTCTAGCAAAATTCTTTTCCATGAAAATCTCCTCCACAATGGAACCCTACGTCAACCACCTCACCCCCACAACAACATACACGCCCACGCTGAGCGGTGGAATCGGCGCCCACGCTCTCCGCCGCTTCTACGAGCACCACTTCCTGCGCCAGCTACCTCCCTCCATGCACCTACGGCTAATTTCACGCACGATCGGCGCGGACCGTGTCGTCGACGAGCTGTACACGTCTTTCGAGCACACGCAGGAGATTCCGTGGCTGCTACCTGGTGTCGCGCCGACAGGTAAACGCGTTGAGATCGTGCTTGTCAGTATTGTCAGTGTGCGCGGGGGAAGGCTTTACTCTGAGCATGTGTACTGGGATCAGGCGAGCGTGTTAGTTCAGGTAGGATTGCTGGATCCGAAGCTGCTGCCGCGCGAGGCGCAGGATAAGACGGATCGGATGCCTGTTGTTGGGAGGGAGGCTGCGAGGCGGGTCTTGGAGGAGAATCCGGAGGAGGAGGGGCAAGGGCGTCGCGATTATCATAACCGGTTGATTCGGAGGGCCAGGGCGAAGAAGCATCAGCGTGAGGGTGGTGGTGGTTCGGCGGTGGCTACGCCGGGCGTGGAGGAGTCTGGGACGGAGCTGGGTGGGAAGGACGATAATGTGGATCATGGGAAGGGGAAGGTTGTGCAGCGGGAGGGGAAGAAGCCGGGGCCGGAGGTCGGTAATGCTAATGGTGGGGAGGAGTCTACTGGTAGTGGAGGAGGAGGAGGAGGAGCACAGTCCAAGGCGACGGTGGAGGACGCGCAGAATGAAGATTGACAGACTACTAAGAGTCCGAACCACGAAATGTATACCCTATCGTCTATGATGTTTCTCGTCGCGGTGTGGTGGTTGGGACTGTGCTGTGCTGGTCTTTTCCTTTGTCTAGAGTATTGGTATCTGCGGTTGAAGGGCTGCTTTCGTTTTATATCTGTGTTCAGGAGGAGATCTACCACCCCTTCCACGGCACCCACGTCTCGCGCACCACGTCGTTTTCGTCTACGACGTAGTACGCAAAGTGCTGAGCAGCTGTGATGCACGCGTGCTGACAGCGCAGCAGCACTTTCTGACCTACATGGAATGAGTCCTCGATCTTCTCGGATGCCGATCCGTCGATCAGACCCAGGATGCCATGCTCCTGCGACATGCGCACAATCTTCCACTGCGGACGGTCGGCCACGTGCCCGAAGCCAGGGAAGTCGCTCGTCTCCTTGGAGAGGGCGACCGTGCCGGCGTTGATGAGCGCCTCGTTGCGCTCGGGGTACACACTGCAGACTTCGGCGAGGACGCGCACCGCCTGCTGAGACTCGCTGACGAGGCCGGTGCTGACCTGCTGGAGGTCGTTGCACGGGTAGTTTCCTGCGCGGTACTTTGTTAGTGATAGACCATTGGTGAAAGAGTCGCCACTCTGTACGGGGCTTACCGGCGTGCAGTTCCAGCTCCATGCTCTCCGGAAGGTTCTTCTTCAGTGTGTTCACCACGTGCGCCGTGGGCGTCGACCCTACGGACAGGACGATCTTCCCGTCCCCGGGAGCAGTCAGGTGTTTCGATGCTTCAATCACTCCCGCGACTTCGGTCTCCAGGACCTCGACTGCCGCCTCCTGCGATCGACACCCGTACGAGTGGCCCGCGTGGCAGTAGAGGCCATCCACCGTGGCGGCGGGAGAGCGCTCAACGCGCTGGATCAGCTTGGGTAATAGCGGTGAGGCATTCTCCATGCCGGCGCGGCGGGAACCGACGTCGATTTTGATAAAGACGGGCCAGGGTGCGGGGGCGGGAGACACAGATTGGGCGTATTTTTCGAGAACGTCGACCTGTTGCTCGTTGTCGATCATGAGAACGATGCGTAGGGATTTGGCGATCTCGGTGAGGCGAGGGAGGGCGCTGGGGTAGATGGGGATGCCATAGAGACACTGTTTTGTCAGACCTGTTCTTGATCATGATTGATTGTTCATTGAAATAGAGGGTATAGTACCTCGTCCAAGATTCCCTCTTTGGCTAGGGTAAGAGCACCTTTAATTTCGGCCAGTGTCGAGGCCACGATCTTCCGGTGGACACCATTGCCGAGCATCATGCGCGTCACCTCTGTTGACTGTTTGAGTCAGTTGTGGGTTACAGTTTATGGGTATATATTTTGTAATTCTTACCTTTAATGTCTTCACATGGGGTCTAAATGCAATGTCTAAATCTTTCACATCTTGCAGGAGAGCTCCAGTGTTTCGTTCCAGGACCGGCTTGCTCAAAACGAGGGACGGGGTGGGCAGGTCAGTGGCCGGACGGCCAATGTACGACTGGTGATTCTCCAGGGAAAAGTCCATGATAATAGTGTCTCTGCAGATGTGCTAGAAATCAGCCGGAAAGGAGGCAATTGGGGGAATCAATGTTTGTCGGTTGTGGAGTTGGAGATGGAGACAGATGGAGACAAGATGGAGGGGAAGCTTATCGGGTTGGTGCCTCAGGCTGTCACGCTTATCGATAAGATCTGTTTTTCTGCAGTCATTCTGGGGTAAATGGTTCATTCTCCATTTCATCATGCACTTTACAACAAATGAGATAGCAATGATTGGTTCAATTGGTATGATATTCCTTGGCAATTCTTCATAAAAACCGTGATCTGACAAAATATCTAGCATAGTGAAAAAAACATGCTGGAAACAGCGCAAACCAATCGATGTCTTCGGAGCTGACACCAGTCCGTCCAACAGTCCGACAAAGCTTCATTTGATCATCCACCACGGAGCTCCCCAAGGCAATAGGGAGAACTATTGCCAGTGAGGGGATTGAGGCGTCATTACGATAGCTTTTCTCCAGTCACACTTTACCAGCTTTTCCATCCTCACGCGCCGTTCTTGTAGCATCTCCTCCAGTATTTCCATCTCGATATTGACCCGATTTTTCTCATCCAACCCTTGAACAGATTTGGCTGGATCGAGTTGACTCTCCTTTGGCGCTTTCTTGTCTTTCGTCTCTTCGGGATCTGGAATTATCCCCAGCAGAAGTCCACAGAACATCACGATTCCTCCGAGGAGGAAAACGGCAACAAGCGCCGGAATTATGAATTCAACCAAAAGCTCGGCGAAAAACCAGACCATTATAAAGAAGCGTCTGTAAAAGGGATCCTCATCGTCTGGTAACCGAAAGAGCATTGTTACAAGCAAGACGGATACTGAGCAATTTGCTTATAGGGAACCTGTGGAATTGAGGAATTGGATAACCCAGAGGAGAAGATGGACGATGACCCTAATCAAGTTTAGGGACACTAAAATCTGATAGTCCTGCGGCAGCCTGCATACAACATCCCGATGATTCGATGAATCGCTGCGGAGAGGTTGACTTAGTCTCTTTGTTCCGCGCGAAGACCCATTATTGCGTGATGCCTCTGATTTGCTGGCTATCCGCTGGAAGCCTGTTTCCGATGTTGCGGAATTAACTGGATGTTAACATGCTCGAGCATATGCTTTGTTGAGGGTCTCTGCCAGGTGCTAGAGTGCCTTGGGATAAAAGGCGCAGGCATCCCCACAACCCGATTAGTGTACGACACTTCAACCATTCATTAAGCTGCCAAAAAGCCCTCTTAATGGGGCTTTTCTCTTGAGCTTTGTGCCTCGACCGAACATGTTTATCTCGAAGTCGATCCTCTGCACCGTCGGCATCATGGCCACTGCAGTCACTGGTTACAAGCTTGCGTTCCATAGCAGCGCATTGGGTCAGTGTAGGGGGCAGTTTCTGGGTTCTTGGTCCGGCGGTCCCGACGCAGGATGTCGCACGGACTATGTGGGCGTGGCCCAAGAAGTTGTTGTCACGAACGACCGCGGCGGGGACCATGACAATACCGTGGTTTTCTTTAGCTCGGATGACTGTAATGACGCGAATGCCATTGTCATGAGCCAAGGTGGCTGCATGACGATTGACTCCGATGTCTCAAGCTACAGCTCCTTCAAGGTACTCGAAGAGACCACGAGAGGGACCCGAGGTAATACCGAAAAGCTTGGGTCGCACGACGCTGATGTATCCCCCGCCCATCACGGAGACGCCTTCGAGTACGATAATGCAATTTTTCGTTGGCACCAACTAGCCCAGGGAGTCTGGTCCGGCGTTCTGGCTGACGAATGGGATGACAATATCCATGTCGCGAGTAACGATGTGTCGGATAATCCCGAGCCTACCCATTTGGCGATGTGATTTCGATGATCTTTCGCCCACTTTCTTTCTAGGTGTATGTATGCTGGGGCTGCTGGCGTCAAGAATCTCGGGGCCGCTCTCGTGGATTAAGCTGCATTTTATGCACTAAAGTTCGGCAAAACTGTTCGGGAATTCCCAAATACGCCGCTTATCGTAACATCTGTTGGCGGGTTCTCGTGAACTACCGTCACAGTAATCGACAACAAGTGGTCGCCTGGGGAAGAGGAGCCAGGTCAATGTTGGGGTCTTGGAAATGGGGCCGACGTTCTCAAGGGGCCTATTAAGAGAGCAACCTATTTTACAGATCTCGAGGCCGTAGAGCTTGTGCTCACTCTGCAAGATGGGAGGACCTCGACCATTTCTATTGCGGTCACCAAAACCGGAAACAAGTCTGAGTGTGACGTTCCTGCAACTGGAGACAAGGCCTGATTGCCCGGCCGTGTGTGGAAAGGAATGCATTGCGGATGAGTCCCAACAAGGAAGATCTATACCTATGATAGGCTGCTGCCATACGATCACTAATGAGGCCAGTTTCACTCTATATATATCATGAATATTTTTCCAAAGAGACCCACTACCAAGGCACTAGAAGAATACCATCTCTAGTAGTCGGGAAGCCTGATAGTCGGTGGATCTATTATAGGATACAAGCAATGCAGATTCAACAGTTATATATTTATGTTGTAACCTGTATGTATCAGAAATTTTTCTCATTTCTTTCAAGAAATAGTTTCTAGCCAGTAAACATACACGGATTCTTGCCAAAAGCATCCTACCTACGTAAATGCGAAGAACTCGGTTGCATATGCATAAGACGGCTTTATCCATATCACCGAGGCTATACAGCCGTTGGCCTCAGGCCGCTCCCCGGTCTCGGACATGACCCCAACTTCATCCCCGCACAACTAACCCTCCTCCTCACACCACCACTGCTGTGCGCCCTTCCATCCTACGGGCCAGTTGCACTTGTTTTGGCTGTTATATATATTCGAGAATGGCAAGGCTATGCTCTCTTCCCGCGCGGGCGCGGAATTTCCCTATAAACCAACCCTCTAGCCGCCCGTTGAGTCGCTTCTCCACCTCGTCGCGACGATCAAACTACGCCGATACGCTTCCCAATCTCAAAATCGGTGCTCATACCAGGGTTCTGTTTCAAGGATTTACTGGTTGGTATCTCAACATTGCCTCAATTGCATGTTGCTCTGCTAACGTGCCCTGCAGGGAGACAGGTATTGAGCCTCGGTTCCCGTTGACGGATAAAGCTGATACTCTCAGGCCACGGCCAATGTCAAGGAGTCGCTGGCATGGGGCACGAGGATTGTAGGGGGCGTCAAACCGGGTGTGGAAGGTGAACACTTAGGTCTTCCTATATTCCCATCTGTGCGGACGGTATGGTCTTGTGGAGGCGTAAATGCCTGGTCTGCGTACTGACGGGATGTAGGCCCAAGAGAAGGCGAGGCCGGACGCCTCTGCTATCTATGTTCCCGGGAACCAGACTGCCCAGGCCATTGAAGAAGCCATCGCAGCTGAGATTCCTTTAGTGGTAGCTGTTGCAGAGCATGTTCCCATCCATGATATTTTGCGGGTACGTTCTATCATGTCTGCGAAGTATCCGGTTCCTTACAGATACATCCATGCAGATCCACTCCATGCTACAGACTCAGTCTAAAACAAGGCTTGTCGGCGCCAACGTGCCCGGTATCATTTCGGCGATCGGAAAGTGCCGTATCGGCTTCCAGCCGTTGCCCTGCTTTGCGCCCGGTAACGTAGGCATTATCGCCAAATCGGGCACACTGAGTTACGAAACCGTCGCCTCGATCACGAGAGCCGGGCTCGGTCAGAGTTTGTGCATTAGCATGGGCGGTGACTCTCTAGCCGGGACGAATTTTGTCGACGCTCTAACGGTTTTCGAAAATGACACCGATACGGAGGGCATTGTCCTAGTTGGTGAGGTTGGTGGGATCGCGGAGATCGAGGCTGCGGATTGGATCAATGACTATCGTCGCCGAACTACAAATCCTAAGTATAGATCCCGACTCCCTATATATCCAGTGCTCAAACTAATCCTACCGAAGGCCGATTATGGGCCTAGTTGGTGGTCTGCAGGCTCCGCCTGGACGGGTTATGGGTCATGCGGGGGCTTGGGCAGCGCCTGGTGAACCGGACGCAAAGACCAAGTATCAGGCGCTGGAGCGTGCTGGGACGGTCATGGTCAACCACCCCGAGAAGTTCGGAGAGGGAATGAAGACTCTTTTGAGCAGCCGCCCTCGTGTCGGTTCAACAGTGCGTCTTGGACCTTATAACCAACTGGTGAAATGCTAACTTCTATATAGTCTGCTATTTCGGGAAATCAGAAGAGGGGTCTGCATACAATGCGGCGTGTTAGGCCCAAAACCACAACCCGGACGCCGACGAAGCAGACCAGGTCTCTCTACGTCAAACAGTTCCAGGCCCTTGACATGCTGAAGGAAAAGTCGATTGCAGTCCGTGAGACTGCGCCCTCAAAAGGGGACTTCTTCGTGACTCTCACCGTCGATAGGACATCATTATCTCCTTCCATTCTTGCGTCCTCAACAGCGGACTTTGAACCCTCTCTCACAGGCCGGTTCCCATTTCCCTACGCCAATCCGAATCTAGGCGCCGGATCTTCGTTGTTGAAAGCTGTCGGGGCTCACCTTCACACCCCAGATGAGGCCTTTGAGAATCTGGCTCAGCTGATTCAGAGTTTATGGCAGATATTCAAAGAAAAGGAGGGTTTTCTACTAGAAGTCCGCGCGAACCTCTCGACCAATGGCCTGGAAGTCCGAGGAGCGCGATTTGGGTTTGATGATGCAGCTTACAAGAGCTCAGGGCGTCAAGAAGCACTTCATAAACTGAGAAACAAGGCAGAAGAAGTTCCCGAAGAAGTGGAAGCAGAGAAGGATGGAATCGTCTACGTGAAGTATGTGTCCCGAATTCTTACCATGGCCACCGCTGACAGCTTCATCGAAATTCAGGTTGGACGGTGAAGGCAGCATTGGTACACTAGGTAAGACACCCTGGAACCGCGAGATCTTAACCATCACGCTAACCCTTACAGTGAACGGTGCCGGCCTAGCGATGAACACAGTCGACGCCCTCACCATCCACGGAGGGCACTGCGCGAACTTCCTCGACACCGGTGGCAAGGCGACTTCGGAGACCGTCAAGTCCTCTTTCCGGATCATCTGCTCTGACCCCCGGGTCAAAGCAATCTTTGTCAACATTTTCGGGGGGCTGACACGGTGTGACATGATCGCGGAGGGCATCATCCTCGCTTTCCGTGATCTGCACATGCAGGTACCGGTCGTGGTGCGACTGAGAGGAACAAACGAAGAAGCAGGGCAGAAGATGGTTCGTATCTACTCGTGATTTACCCATTTCTGCAATTAGTGCTAACGCGACATATAGATCGCTGAGAGTGGACTGCCTCTGCACGCCTTTGATGGTTTCGAGCCCGCTGCCAAGAAGGTGATCAGTCTGGCTAAAGAGGTATGAGATGTTACGTATACGAATGTCGAGCACATGTCTAGATAGAGGATACATTGCCGTCATCAAATAGAGTCAATAAGGCCACAAGGCCATAGACTTGGATAGACGAAAAATACAGTCAATACCATACACGATAAGAGAAATCCGTAATTTTCATCCGGCTATCTAATCGGGTCATCACTTCTCCGATCCGGTTATCAGCTTCCCACGTGATGCAGATTTTCTTTCCTTCTTGTCAACACCACCAGAAGCCCAACATCCTCTGCCATCGACCCATCATCATGGCTTTTCGAATTAGGTCGCTGGCTGTCCTTCGTTGGGGCCTTGGTTCGCGATTGCGCACATCGGCAGTCAGTCGCGGGCTGGCCACCGTTTCCGACAACTCGCGGTAAGTACAGCGTGCATCGTCAATTTTCCGCATCACTTCCTGGGCTATGCACTAATCATTATTACTTGGAAATCACCAGACCATACGATGTCGTCGTCATCGGAGGCGGCCATGCCGGCTCAGAGGCATGCGCCGCGGCAGCTCGTTCCGGCGCTCGCACCGCACTGGTAACGCCCTCCCTATCCAACATCGGCGTTTGCTCGTGTAATCCGAGCTTTGGCGGTATCGGCAAAGGCACGATGATCCGCGAGGTCGACGCGATGGACGGCGTGGCAGGACGGACAATCGACAAGGCGGGCGTCATGTTCAGGACGCTGAACAGATCCAAGGGCCCTGCGGTTTGGGGACCCCGCGCGCAGATTGACCGCGATCTGTACAGGAGGTACATGCAGGAGGAGCTGCTCGGGACGGAGGGGTTGAGTATTGTAGAGGGGAAGGTCGCGGATATCGTGGTGTCAAAGGAAGGCGTGGAAGATGATCCGGTGGCGCAGGGCAAGATCGTGGGCGTCAGACTTGAGTCTGGAGACGTGATCCCCACCGGGAGGGTGGTCATCACGACGGGGACCTTCCTGGGGGGTGAAATCCATATTGGACTCGACGTGTTTCCGTCCGGTCGGATGGGTGAAGCCGCTACTTTTGGACTGAGCAAGTCGCTCCGTGAAGCTGGGTTCCAGCTGGGTCGCCTGAAGACGGGTACTCCGCCCCGGCTGGACGCGAAGACGATCGACTTCAAGGGGTTGGAGGTCCAGCATGCCGATTCGCCGCCGCAGCCTTTTTCGTATGTCAACGACACCGTGCAGGTGGGAGATAAAGAGCAGTTGAACTGCTGGATGACTTACACGAACGACGCCGCCCACGGCATCATCCGCGAGAACCTGGAGAACTCGATCCACATCCGCGAAACCGTCAAGGGACCGAGGTATTGCCCTTCGTTGGAGTCGAAAATCATCCGCTTTACGGACAAGCCGAGACACACGATCTGGTTGGAGCCGGAGGGCTTTGCTCCAAACGATGTTATCTACCCCAACGGCATCTCGATGACGGTCCCTGCTGACGCGCAATACGAAATGCTCCGGACAATCGAAGGCCTGGAGAACGTGACGATGCTACAGCCCGGCTACGGAGTGGAATACGACTACATCGACCCTCGCAACCTAAAACCGACCCTCGAGACCAAGTTAATCAGCGGCCTCTACCTCGCAGGCCAGATCAACGGGACAACGGGCTACGAAGAAGCCGCCGGACAAGGCATCATCGCCGGCATCAACGCCGGCCTGTCCGCCCAAGACCGCCAGCCACTCACCCTCCGCCGCTCTGACGGCTTCATCGGTATCATGATCGACGACCTCATCACGAAGGGCGTCTCCGAGCCCTACCGCATGTTCACCACGCGCAGCGAATACCGCATCACCACACGCGCCGACAACGCCGACCAGCGTCTGACCCGCATGGCGCGCGAAGCGGGCCTCGTCTCCGACAAGCGCTGGCAGCGCTTCAACGACACACAGGCTCAGATCGCCGAACTCCAGACCCTCCTCAACAATACCAAGCTTTCCTCCAGCGCCTGGGCCCGCAAGGGCTTCCGCGCCCGCACAGACACCTCCAAGCGCTCGGCGCTCGACCTCCTCTGTCTCGAAAAGGTCGATATCGACGCCATCATCCCCCACATCGACTCCCCAACAGGCACAACCTACACGGCGAACTCCTTCGCAGAGGACATCAAGACCCGCGTCTCGATCGACCGCCGCTACGCAGCCCAGTACGTCTGGCAGGAAGCCGAGGCGCGCAAGTTCCTCAAAGACGAGAACCTCCTCCTCCCGGCGGATCTGCGATACGCCCAGGTCCACGGCCTCAGCAACGAGGAGATCCAGGCGCTGGAGCTCGTCCGCCCTGAAAGCATCGGCATGGCCAGACGCACGGAGGGCGTCACCCCGGCTGGTGTTCTCAGGTTACTCCGCTACGTTCGCAAGAACGCTACCACCGTCGCGGCGGATACCCTGGACGAGGGGCAGCAGCCTCCTGATCAGACTTTGCAGTCGGCTGCTTCTTGAGCGGGCGTCTCCGTTTGTATACCATACTATACCACCCCATACCATACCCCTGAAACATGTATCATAGACTTTGCTTTTTTAATTTAGCAGCAGCAGCAGCAGATAACGGCGCTAGGACACGGCGCACTTGATCATTGACTCATGATTGTCCTACTTTTCTTTCTGTATCCATACTTGGCTCTGATAATACATATCTACATTATAGACAAACTCTATCAACCTAACAACAATAATCGTATGTATCGTATTCTTGAAACGATCTTAGGGTAATTCTATCGACAAAATAAACAACAAGGGAGTTTTTGAGAAACAACAAAAAAATATCTTCACATAATCTTTTCGTCAACATGAAAAAGTCCCAGGTATTCACAACAAAGCAATCCAGCCTCTATCCATGTATGCATAATGTGTATTTGTATGTAGAAGTGAAATAGTAAGAGAGAGATTATTAGTTCCTCACTGCAGCTCCTTCTCGACTTCCGCCTTCACCAGCTCGCGCACGCCCTGCCAGCCAGCACCGGCGGGGACGGGAGTGGTCCGGCTCTCCTTCTGCTCCAGACCGACGAACTCCTTCGGCAGGACCTCGCTGAAGTCGTAGCCGTCCGCTTCGCGTAGGGCCGTGTCGACAGAGCTGGCGAACTTGGCCGGGTGAGCCGTGGAGAGGGAGATGTGGTGGATGTCGGGGTTGCGGTCGATGGAGCGCAGGGAGGCGCCGACGCCGACGGCGGAGTGGGGGTCGAGGATGTAGCCGCCGGTCTTGGAGCTGGTGGCGCTGCCGGGGGTCAGGTTGGCGGGGAAGGACGAGGAGTAGGTGGCGCGAATCTGGGCGATGGTCTGGTCGTTGCTGACACGCTCGCTCTCGAAGTCGGCCTTGGCGCCATCAACGACAGCCTGAGGCACGCGGAACCCACCCTGCGTCTTGAGCTGGTTCAGCCAGTCGCTGACGTTTTCGCAGGCGTGCTTGCGTCGCTCGTCGGCGGAGGCGGCGCTGTCGGTCTGGAAGGCCATGAACCACAGCAGACGCTCGAAGTTGCTGCTGACCAGGATGTCCATGGCCGGGCTGTGGGTCTCCTTGACGGCGGCGGCGCCGGAGTTGTCCTTGGTGTAGTGACCGCCGCTGCGGAAGAAACGGTCGAGAATGTCGTTCTCGTTGGTCGCGATGACGAGTCTCTCGGCGGGGAGACCCATGCTCTTGGCGAACCAGCCCGCGAGGATATCGCCGAAGTTGCCGGAGGGAACGACGAAGCGCATCTTCGAATCCTTGTTGTAGCCGGGGGTCTTGGTCAGGGAGAAGTACGAGTAGAAGTAGTAGGTGATCTGGGCCAGGATGCGCGCCCAGTTGATGGAGTTGATGGCGGCGAGGTTGTGGGTGGAGTTGAGCTCGGGGTCCGCGAAGAGGGCCTTGACGATATCCTGGCAGTCGTCGAAGGAGCCCTGAACAGTCAGGTTGTGGACGTTAGGGTCGAGGACGGTGGTCATCTGCGCCTGTTGGATGGGCGACACGCGCCCGTCGGGGAACAGAATGAAGATGGAGACATCCTTCTTGCCTCGCAGGCCGTAGATGGCCGCGGACCCGGTGTCTCCGCTCGTCGCACCGATGACGGTGAGGTGATGACGGTCCTTGCCCTCCTTGCCCTCGTTCTTGCGGATGAGGAAGTATTCGAACAGGTTACCGAGAAATTGGAGCGCCACGTCCTTGAAGGCAAAGGTCGGTCCGTGGAACAGCTCAAGCAGATGCAGGTGCTTCTTGGCGTCCAATTCGACCAGAGGGGTGCGCTCCGGATGACGGAAAGTAGAATAGGAGCGTTTGATGATATCCTTCAGATCTTCGGAGGGGATTTCGGACGAGGAGACGTATAAGGACATGATCTCGAAAGCGAGGTCTTCGAAGCTGAGATCCCGCCACTCGGACTCCCAGTTGGCGGGGAGGGAGGGGATTTCCTCAGGGATGAAGAGGCCCCCATCGGAAGCCAGACCCTTCAAGACGACATCCTCAAAGGACAGCTAAATTATATGGAAGATCAGCGATGAGGTCGAATCTGGATAGTGGCAAAAGAGGGATTTCTTACCCCGTACGAAGCACCCCGCGTGCTAAGATATTTCTGCGAAAGCGTGTGGGACATGACTGGGGTGTATATGTAGTAGCAGTCAATAAGTACTCGACTGACAAAAGATCAATCAACAAGACGTGATCTAAACGAGACGACAATGCCAACTTGAAAGTAGAGACGGAGGAGGAGAAAAAGACGGCGGGGTGAATCATCGCCATCGGTTCCTGAGGCACTCCGCCAATCCTAAATGGGATTAGCGTCTCCGATCGCGGCCAGGGAACCCCGTGACCCTTATCGTTATCGCACGTGTTGCCCTCTTATCTCATCGTCATTTTCATCCATTCCATACGTCCATCCAGCCAGAATGAACGAATGGATCAGTCTACTCTAGAATCGAGGATTGTCGCCTCAAATGGCTTAGGGGATTATGATTGATAAACGCCCTCTTGCCTTAAGGGAACCATTCCTCCGCTGCTCTTGATTCCATGATCGACTCTAGAATTTCTGTGATTACTTTGATCCAGCCAATTCAGCAGACCTTGCCCCAATCCTCAATTCCAAAATGTTTGGATGCGGTATCTACGGCGAAGAATATTATGACCTAGAGAACACGGACGATCATATAAAGTACTATAATCATTGGTACAAGTGCCAGACCTGTGATCGCCATTCCCGGAACAATCGTGCTGGCATCCAGCATATGAATGCGGTAGATCACTGGGCCCCTACCTACGATTGCGAGACTCGTCCCAAAGAATTCCGGTCCTGGCACGCGGCGTGCCAGCACATGAGCTCCACGAATTATTGGCGGCCGAAGGTACCGTGTGATATATGCAACGCGATGTTCCGTACACAAGACGCAGCAGATAAGCACATGGCCGCCAAGGGCCACTACAAGAACTATTGCCAGGAGTGTAGGAGACATTCAACAACGAAAATCACCTGAAAATGGTGAGGTTTGGGTATAAATCCCTCGCAGGCGCTTCTGTAGCCTAACACACCCTGTAGCATCTCAAGTCGAAGATCCATCGGGGTTCGAGCCTATCCTGCCTCTTCTGCAACACCAGTTATACCACTGCCACCGGAATGGCTCACCACCTGGAGACCGAATCCTGTTCCCGAGTTCCCAGGATGAATCGCGAGACAATCCATCGCATGATCCGCGAGCAGGACCAGAACGGTTTCATCACCGTCCAGCAGTTCGAATGGCACGAGAGCGAGTGCTACCTGTGCCACCGGTGGTTCCGCGCTTTGTCCGGATTAAACCAACATCTCAATTCGCCCGTTCACAAGCAAAAGGCGTACCACTGTCCAGATCGGAGGGACAGGTGTATAAAGGACTTTATTGTTGGCTGGGCTGTTCAATCATCTCGAGAGCGAGACTTATGGGTTCACTAGATTCGAACAAGTATAGCAACAGGTACATGGTGTTTTCCAGGGAGGGAATCTCCTTGCTTTCTAGACTGAACGTGTAGAGGAACAGGTGTACTCGGATATTGCATTTCGGAGGGAACTTAAATTAGACACACTCAGATGACAATCCGATATTATACCTACAGTTCTATACTCTCAGTACAGCAATCTGACGCTGGAGTAGTTAGAAACTACAGCCAACCCCACAAATACATGCGGGCGGCAAAGCGGGCGCGATAAGATCATCCCGGCTTAACTCCATCCACCAAATCTTAACTCCACCTCCAAACATCTACTCTGTATTCGATAATTAAAAAAAAAAACATCACACAATGCTTTCCATCTTAAGAAAAGCCCGATTAAAGGACAAGGAAATGCGGATCCTAATGCTGTACCGTCTATTCCAATACCCCACCTAGACGTCCACCACAACATGCATACTGACAAGGCTGCAGCGGTCTCGACAATGCGGGCAAAACAACCATCGTCAAACAGATCATGAACGAGGACGTCACGACCGTCAGTCCGACGCTAGGGTTTATTATCAAGACGATAGATTTTGAGGGGTGGGTGTTTTCTTTTCATTCTCGCCCTCTGTCAAGGACGGACTCGCTAACCTCGCCATACAGGTACCGATTGAATATCTGTAAGAGTCACCCCTTCCAGATTGAACAAACCTAAGATTTTGTTTTCCAGGGGACGTAGGAGGCCAGCGCACTCTCCGATCGTACTGGAAGAATTACTTTGAGAAGACAGACACGCTGGTCTGGGTGGTGGACGCCACGGACCGGCTTCGGGTTGACGACTGTCGCGATGAACTGGCTGGTTTGCTGTTAGAGGAGGTATTTTCTCTCTAACATTTTCTTTTTCTCTTTAATTCTCTTCCCTCTGTGGCGGATGTGTCGAAACGACGAGCTAATCGATACTTTACAGCGCCTAACGGGCGCAAGTCTCTTGATCTTTCTGAATAAAACCGACGTTACAGGATGCATGACAGAAAGTGAAGTCCAAGAGGTGTGTTCCCTTTTTTCAATCATCTCCAACTCAATACCTATCGGATAATACTTACTGTCGCCTTAGCGCCTCGGTCTAGACGCGATCAAAACGCACAAATGGACCATCTTACCCTGCAGCGCCATGACCGGGAAGAATCTCCGGGAAGGTCTCGAGTGGGTGGTGCAGGATGCGAAGGATAGGCTGTTTCTGTATTAATTCAACTGAACTGAATTGTTTGTCGCATTCCGTGGGGTAGTAAATAGTACTCCGGAGTATATTGCCATGTCTATCTACCTTAAATATCGTGTATACCAATAGCAGAGAGGTTCGTTCTATCAGTACATATTATACAATCGTTACAAGGGACCAAAGATCCCATATCTATAATACAGTTGTGCGTGAAAATCAGCCTCCCCTGTCAGGCTACAGCAATCGCCAGGCTCGATCCACTTTGAACGCCAGCGAGCACGAAGCGCTGTAGAATGAATCGAACTTATCCTCCACAGTCTGTGGCGCCGCGTCACCGGTCTCAGACGACTCCGATGGAATGGGAGGTTTGGGTTCGGACCCGCCCGTTAAATCCAAGTCCAGCGACAGATCGGTAGTGTGGTGTGCCAAGAACGGACCACTCTCGTAATAAGAGTAACTCAGCTGTTGGTTCTGGAAATCGTACTGCTGGATGCGGGTGGCTCGGATGTCGTCGACGGGCGTGAACATGTACTCCCCGGTGGTGTGTCCGTTCGCATCCTGACTTGGCTCCTTCCGGTTCAAGAATCGGTTGGGGAGTGTGATCTTGTAGAATATTGGAAGAAGCACATCATCGAAACCCTGGCTCTTGGCGAGGAGACCTTGCAGGGTACCCCGGAGCCCGGCGAGCGAGCTACCTTCGCCGCACTCTTCCGATATGTCGCGCGTCAACTTCCGCGTGAACCGTAGATCCAGTCCACTTTCCGGCAGCAGGTAGTCCACGCTGTTCTGGGACAGCACAGCCTGCGCGGAGGACACGGCGATGTCTAGCCCTGTATGGGATTCGTCGAGCGGCGCTTTCATCGTGGCTTCTACCTCCAGCTGGGGAAAGACGCCTTGGTGTATAGCCGACGGGACCAGCCGGAAGCGGTGGATCCGAGAGGACTCGAGGGGTCTCAACGATCCGAGGAAAGACGGCACGCGAGGAATGTCTGTGGTAAAGATACGGGGGAGGGCCATTTTGCCAAGTTGAGAGGGGCTAGCCAGTTGATTATCGAACGGCGCTTTGTGTTGGAAGAGACACTTCCCAACGGCCGCTGTTACAGTCTCTCGGACTGCAGTAGACCCGTCCTGGGGAGCGCCGGGAGTTCCTCGCCGAAGCAATTTCAGAAGTTCGGCAGAGAGGCGCGTCTCGTGGTTATCAAATAGAGGAGTGTCGAATACCCTCCTCTCCGAAGGCTCGGTAGATGGCATGCCCCAGCGAAACCACTCCTTCTGACGATTGGGCCAGGATGTGTTGTTCTCCGGGTCGACGGGATGGACATCCGCCGGCTCGGATGCGGACAAGTAGGTGCCAAATGGTATCGACGAAGATGCAGCATCATAAATTGCGAGATTCAGGGTCCTCCGAGCATCATCCGGCCCACTCTGATTCTCAGCCAGGTAGTACAGTTTGACCGGAACATCCGACGGCCCCAGTTCAAAGGCGACCCCATAAGTCTTACCGACCCACGATAAGAAATCAGCGCTGAAGATGCGGCCATTGCCTTTGACTCCAGCCTTATCCTGGTATAAATTGATCCCCTCGTGCCGGATCCTGGCCATGGTGTCGCATATAATTTCACGAATTGATTCGCAGGATTCTTGATCCCCGGTGATCCTCACAAGGCCAAGCGAATGTGTGATATCGATCTTCGCTTCATGGAGACTTGCTACCTCTCCAAAGGAGAAGGTTTTCGCGTTCAAAAGTAGCGATAAAGAGTGGGCAGGGGGACGGACGTCCAGCTGTCCAGGCTCATCGGCCACACCAAGACCCCAGTAGTCACGGAGAATCTTCTCCACAAGAAGTTCTTTACCCTTCATGCCTTGTGACGTCGCAATCCTATCCGCGACGCCCTCCTGCGAGACTGGTCCCATTTCCACAAACGCCGAGATCCCAGGCCTCCATGCGCCGGCGTCTGTCCCCTCGCTTGACTGCTGACCACCGCTGAATTCTGAGACACCGCGAGATAACTCCTCAAGATAATCGGATAATTGCTGCGATGTGAAAGAGCCCTGGATGTCCTTTCTGAGATTCTCCCACTCGGCGCCAGACAATTTATTCCCGGGTTGGTGTGCCGAACGGAAGGACTCGATGCGCTCGATTGCGTCAAGCCCATCATCGTTGTCTATCTCTTCCAAGAAAAATGGGAGGGCGGTGTCCTCGGTCCCATCCTTGGGTTCTTGTTCGATTGGGGCAGGCTGGCGGCGACGCCGTGTTCGTTCCGGGAGGACCACCACCTCACCAGGTCTTCCTAGCGAAGTCACCTCAATGGGCACTTTTTTGCTCTGGTCCCTTCGTCGACTCTTATTTTCCGCGTGCGGTCTGCGATCATTGCGCGAGCGAGGCCGTGGCGGTCGGTCGGAAGAATCGCTGGCGGTGTTCTGGTATCGGAGAAAAACCTCGCGCCCGCGCACCGTCGAAGGAAGGGCACATTTCCGGCAAATAGGGGAACCGTGAGAGCCCAAAAGCCCTGCGGCCGGTTTAGAAGTCCGTGACAACATTAGGGAATCGGCGGTGCGACCTCTGAAACCGGTGGTCGACCGAATCTTTAACTGGAAGAATTGAAGCTTTGGAGAAATTGATGTCTCGATTGGGTCAAGTCGGGACGGGTCACGGGTGGAACGAGCTAAGCCGGAAGTGAACTAGTGTGTGATCTATACAAGAATCACTTGGAATAGATAAACGATCAACACGACACCTCTCTGTACAGAGGAATAGAAGCCCATCTTTGCTCATATTTGTGTTTAAAACAGTTTCTATTGCTTACATCTGGTTTGACTTTGCTATCAACCATACAATTTATCTACAAACATGACCAGATCGTTTCCCGTCGACCATGGCATGACCTCGTTCTGGCGAAGTCAACCTCATGTTTTGGACAATCATCGCTCTACAGAACTACTGCCTGAGAGCAGTGATATTGTGATCATAGGCTCTGGCTATGCTGGAACTTCAACCGCATATCATTGTCTGCAACGCAGTCAGTCCTCTGGGGCAGAAAACCCATCCATAGTGATCTTAGAGGCACGCCAGGCCTGTTCAGGAGCGACAGGCCGAAATGGTAAGTCCCTTCAGTTTTTCTATACGAAGTGACTGGGAGTAAACGTCTACATAGGGGGTCACATAAGACCCGATCTATATAGCGAGATCCATAAATTCGCAGAGAAATATGGGTTCGACGCCGCCTCCGAGGTGGCCGCTTTCGAAAATGAACACCTTTCGAGGATACAGTCATTGATCGAGAAGGAGAATATCAACTGCGATCTTGACACCAACAAGTTATTCGACATCCACTTTGATCCAGGTCTCTGCGAAGAGGCGAGAGCGGGCCGGGAGTCTCTTATCTCCCAGGGCCTCAAAGCCACAGAAAGTGTCCACTTTACCCCGCTCGAATCGGCAGAGATAGTGAGAATCATTGTGACCCCACCCGTCCGCAATAACTAATCAGTCGTCTAGGTATCCGGTGTCAAAGGTGCGAAAGGATGCTTCCTGTCTCGGACCGGGAGACTGTGGCCATACAAGTTGGTCACGCAGCTCTTGAGCAAGGTGGTGTCAGCGGGGGTAAACCTTCAGACGCATACTCCTGTGCTCCGAGTGTCTGACGCTCCCGATGACGATGGGCGCTGGACGGTCGTGACTGACCGAGGTTCCATCCGAACCAAATGGGTTGTGTTCGCAAGCAACGCATATACATCGGCGATCGCGCCGGAATACAAGGGGAAGATTGTCCCCGTCAGAGGAGTCTGTAGCCGGATCGTGGTCCCTAATCCACCCAAATCTCCCCTAGAATGTTCCTACACCATGCGTTTTAACACCTGGGATTATGACTACCTGATCCCCCGGCCGGACGGTAGTATCATTGTCGGAGGGGCCAAATCCACCTTTTTCCACGATGCGAGCAAGTGGTACGACAACACGGATGACAGCAGAATGATTGAGTCCGCGTCTCGCTACTTTGACAACTACATGCAGCGGAATTTCCACGGGTGGGAGAATACGGGGGCATATACAGACCGGGTCTGGACAGGGAGTACGTATCTCTCTTCACTGGGGCCAGAACAGGAATGCTAACGTTATCCCTCAGTCATGGGTTTCACCACGGATTCCCTTCCACATGTCGGAAACGTGCCCCACAAACCAGGGCAGCTGGTTGTCGCCGGGTTCAGTGGCCATGGGATGCCCCAGGTCTTTCTTTCAGCTGAGGGAATTGCGCGCATGGTGGTCGATGGCGCTGCGTATGAGGAAACGGGGCTGCCGCGGTTGTTCCGCACGAGCTCCGAACGTTTGGAAAGCGAGGCCAATGATATTCTAGGCCGTGTGGATGGTGACGAGAGGGAGAACTAAAGGCACAAACATAATCTCGGTCTGAACGAGACCTGGCGTGGCCCCCACACTGAGCCTAGGGGCGAAGATTGGTGGATTCTTCAGGACCTAGTCTATGAAAGACCAGAAGATGAAAATATCCATCACACAAGTCAACAAATGCGTAATGGCAGGTCGTGGGTAACCCATGTGACCGGTTGCAATTATCAAAAATCATGCATCTGGGTATTATTGTCTCAAACTATGCGTAAATCCTACCATCCATCACTCCTCCTTTCCACCCACTGCCCAACTCCTCAAGTCTTCACGAACGTCAAACTCGGACACTTCGTGTTCATTTCTTCGACTCTTCCAGGCCTTTCCTTTGCCACTTTCATATAGCTTCTGTTCGATGCTTTCACCCTTGCTGGAGCGGTCCATACCCAAGGAGATTTCTTGCAAGCTTTTCGCGTCGTTTCGAAGTGCATGCATGCTTGACGCACTTCGGGGCCGTCTCTCGAAGCTGGGTGATAGTCGGTTTCCAGAGCTAGTCCGCTTGGCCCTTGTTTCGCTACTTAGGCGCTGATCGTCGTTCGTTTGTTTTCCAATTGGGGTATCGCGAGTGTCACTGCTCCAGGAGACGCCTCCGGAGAATAACTCTTCGATCAACTTGTCGGCAGGCAGGTCGTCTGACCGGGAGTTCCAGGACGCTGCCAAAGTCCGACGGTACATGTCTTGTAGATCTGCAGCTTCCCGGGTTTGGGTGTAGATGGATGGTTGTTGGCCTAGATCATCAGGGTCCCCTTGTTCCGAGGAGACAACGCCTGTAATGCCCCCGAAAACCATAGCTGATCGCAACGGCGGTCTGAAAGCAGTCAGCAACAAGGCTGAGCCACATGTCCCTGTGTACATACGTAGTGAAGTTCCTGTCTCCCTCTACTTGCCGCATGACAATCCCAATGCGGAGTGTGCTGTTGATCTTACTATCTTGCATCAAATAACGCCGTACGATGCCCTCGTCGTCATCGCTCTTGTCGACATACTCGGCCAAGTTTAGTCTGATTCTCCCGAGCAGATCCTTATCATTATGACCACCCGTCGCAAATTCCTGGATGACTTCGAAGTGTACCTCGCACTCATGAAGGCTCTGGTTGCGGTCGATGGTGAGCCGGACCTGTAGTGCTCTCTCGTAATGCCACGACGCTCGGTGGTCCAGGATGACTGCTTTATCCGTATGCCCGTGGTGTTCGGCCGCATTCGACGAGGGAAGGCGCCATTTTACAAACGCCGTCCCACTCACCAGCGGAACATTGTTGAGATCGATGATCTAAATCAGATCGCGACGTTAGTGACATTCAATGATATCGTATGGAGTTGACAGCTCAGCACTTACCCTCAAGATAAATTCAAACCGGGGCTAGAAGCATTGCTCAGTATTTGGGACTATGTGTCCTGAATTGGACTTACCCTCCGATTCTTCGGAACTAATAATCCTCGCATTAGCCTGCATTCCCATACATAATAAAAGGGCTACATGCATTTCGACTAAAGGGGAGAAGGGGACCCGGTAGGTGGATCAGTAAGGGGGTAAGGAACTCACCAAATGCCTGCATATTCGATAACTCTCAGACCCAGCTGAGATATACAACTCCGTGCATTTGCCTCTCATGGATTCATCAACCAAATTAGGTCCAATTATCTGCACGAGCAGTTGATCGATGGTTGATGATGGATGGTGACGATAGGATAGTCTCCACTCTATACAGCGGTGAGTGTTTTACGCTGGCAGAAACAGACCGCCCTACTGCCCTAAATCTCGCCGAGATAATGCCGTGCTTAGTAACGCGTCTTTGCGATCATCTACAACTCCACCCAAGTGATTGACACAAACTTCGTCTTTGACCTTCATCATCGCCGTACACTACACTTTCCGGTGCCCTGGAAAAAGACCTACAGTTTACCCACAGCCATGGACCAACCGCCTCTTTCTCCACCCGCCGAACCGACGCTGTCACCCACCGTCAAGCCAGTTTCTTTGGATTCGCCGATCCGCACGACTCCAATCCACGATCTGCTCCCGGAAGTCCGTGTCCCTCGCGAACCCTTAGAGTCCTACAAATACGATCCAGTCACCTGTACCGCATTAGACCCAAAGGAAATTCTTTCCCAGCTTCAAGAGCTACAACAGGAGTTCCCGTCTCCGTCCGAGGCTCTTAAGGCGCAAGAACTCGCAGTCATGGAAGTGAAGCAAAGAATGCAGGACGCAGAGAGGAAACGCGAAGATGTTCAAAAAGCAATCGACAAGAAGATTAAGGAGCGCAATACAGAGATGAAAGTATTGTCCAAGTATCAGGAGGTCAAGGCTTCCGACATTCCGTCTTGAATTCGGATCGAGTGCATTGGGATGGATGAAATCTTCAAGTTTTACCCAACCGTTTCGAGCGAGCCCGTGGCAGGGAATACAACTCGATGTGTCACTGTGCCGATCGTCCCCGAAGCCGCGCCAACTGCTCGATGACAGTTCGAGGATGAGCGATTACTTTCGCGACTACATAGCCCATTCGGCATCTTCGCCTTCGACACAAGCCGTGGCATATTCTCAACGTACCTGGCGCGGATGATGGGCATGTTGCTCGCACTTCGAGAGCTTCGTCCAGTATGCCCAAAATTCGGTATTACTGGTATGCGCCGAATGGGACCCTCTCTGTCGACTCTTCTGAGTAGAGCTCCCACCTTGCTATGCAATCACCCGACCTGGATATATCAGTAAATCTAGGTCAGAGGATCAGGGGCTCTTTGGAATTAAAGCGTGTCCGGTGACCCTCTGGACACAAACAGCACTGATATGGTCCGACAATAATCGATTCTTTCGATGTTAGCGTTGATAACACGTACAATATGCATTTCAACATTACAAGATACACATTAGCATTCATTGAAATTGTCCAATATTTTCGCCCAAATTGGTTAAATTAACCTTTGTTCCCTATACACGAGGTGCTGTTAGGATCCTGAACGATGACTGTTGTATCAAATGGTGGCTATATCTCTCTAGGCAATTGTGCGAAACCTGTCCCTAAGCCTTTTTTTTTTTTGGACAAGCCAACTACGCGAAGGGGATTCACCTTCATGACAATCTACTGGTTTAGACAATACTTGGCTGGTATCACACAAGCACATAATGCACGCTTGATAAGGGTATCCCTTGTCAATCTGTATACATACATATATCTCAATTTAGGACTTCCATATCTTTCAGTCATATCTTTAGAGCAAGATGATGACGAGAACACAGGTCCAAAATGATTGTTTCAGACTGAAAATATATACGAGTGACAAGTCTCAAGAATTCATCAATTGCACAAAAAGAGCTCTCCAGGCACTCAACCTATCTTCAGCACACGTCCTAACTTCCCAACTCCCCCATTCCTTTCCCCCCACATCTTCCCTTCGAGTCTCCGCGTTTGTTTCATGGGTTTGAGGCCGCTGGAATATCATACAAACAAACGCCGAATCACTTGCAGCAACACCTCTTGGCAAGAATCGGGCAGCCACTGCTAGTCATGTGGGAGAATTTATGAGGAAGGCAATAACGTTCGCAACCTCCAGCCCATAGCACACCGCACTTGCTGGGCTTGTGGCAGGCTGCGCGCTTGACGAGGCCGTCTCCCTGCGAGCCAGCTTCGAAGTCGAGGTCGGCTTCGATATTGGCTTCAGTGTTGGCGTCGACGCTGGCTTCAACGTTGGCTTCGGGGTTGGCTTCGGAGTTGGCGAAGACGCCGACGGCGACTGCGGCGAGGATGATGAGGAAGTTGGTCTTCATTTTGATGGTTTGGTTTGGTTTGAAAGACGGAGGAAGGCTCTTAAAGAGATTTGGTTTGTGGTAATATTGGTTGATTGATTAATGGAGTTGTTGTTGATGATTTCAAGGACTTTCAGGGGAGCTTGAGGACATATTTATAGACCGGCCGGACAGCTAACCTACATATACTCGCTTTCGATTTCTGCGCTATATTCTCCATTCCAATGCACTTCAAACAAAATCTGGTCTGATGAGTACGTCTGATGGTCCCAGAATAGCGATTCGTATCTTGTCTCCGGGGTCGAAGTCCGCTATCGTGAGACGTTTAGCTATCTTTGGTTGAATTCTGCGAGTCCAATTATGATGGTGATGTCTTCCCAAGAGCCATGGCTATGGTGAGCTTGCCCATAGACACATTCCCCAACTCGTATGACCACGGTACATTAATCAAAATGGGACACAGGATCGACGGTCTCTCTTTCGAGATGTCACCAGAGTGCTCGTGAGGATGGAATGGGGGCGGCCAAGCAACGCCGCTTCGTATCTGCAGCGGCAGGGGTGGAGCCACCCGCTTTCTTGTCTTCTTGGCCTCGGGTTGGATCGATCCAGTGATTAGTTACGAGATCTTTCTCCATTGCGGGGTGTGACTGGACATTGTGGGCTGACAGGATATGTTAATAGATACGAGATATCTCAGCTTGGCATCTCCCGGAGGATCATGTATATACGCTTAGGGCTGAAATACATTGCACGTAAAGACCCACACGATGTCATCATCAGAATCGTCCACTCATCTAAATCTGACAGTTGGTGATCAATTATTTTCCGACAAGGGCTCTATCTAGTATCCCTCGCCCTTCGTGTTCGACTCCTGGCTAGCACCTCCTCTCGCCTCCTGCATGATTTTCACGCCTGAGCTGGTCCCAATCCGCTCAGCTCCTGCCTGTGCCATCTGGATCCCAGCTTCCAGAGACCGTACTCCTCCGCTGGCTTTGACACGGCTTCCTTTGCCGACCAGCTCCGCAACCGCCCGCATGAGAGCAACATTGTCCGCACTGGCGCCCGGTCCATTGAACCCAGTACTGGTCTTGATGAAGTCCGCCCCGGCAATGCTCGCAATCGCAGAGCCCGCGATGATTTCGTCTCGTGTCAGTTGCGACGTCTCCAGAATGACCTTGAGGGTAGTCGGTGGTGGGGCGGCATTTCGCACCCCTACGATGTCCTGGTAGACTTCGAGAAACCTTCCCTCCTTCAGCAGCGGGTACTTGAGCACCATGTCCAGTTCTGCCGCACCCAACCGGACCGCTTCACGAGCCTCCTGCTCCTTCTCTGCGGTCTCGTACATCCCCTCGTGAAACCCCACCACGCAGGCTACCGTAACGTCGGGGTCCGCGCGGAGCTTCTGGACGGCTTGCGCGACGTGATTCAAGCGGACGCAGACCGTCGCAAATTTGTGTTCGAGGGCTTCGGCGCATAGCTCATCGATCTGCTGCTCGGTTGCCGTCAATGCTAGCTGGGTATGGTCGACCGTGCGGTTAATCGCGGAAGGCGCCGGGGCCGGGTACACGGGGAGTTTGTCTGGAAGCGAAGCCTTCAAATTGGCGATGAGCTCCGCCCACTCAGCGTCACTTTGTTTGGGTTCCATGGTGTTATGTCTGTCCGGATCTTGCACTGACGATTGGGATCATAAGAGGGGTTGTTCATTCAGACTGTTGACTGTTGACGAGAATCATGGAACAGACTAAGCAGCTTAGCGCTGGCTCACTCTCGGCTGCCCACCAATGACCCATCCCATCACATAGTGTTACTGCCAGGGGTATATGCAACTATGGGTTTGGTTAGTATCAATAACTGCACAGTCGCCCTCCAAGTGTTATGATTCTCCAAATATATGCACTTGTATCCTTCAACTCCGTCCAGGCACAAAGGCAGCGGTGGAGGCGGTGTGGGGCTGTTGCTGACTAATTCCTCTCCACGGCGGGGCCATGTAGATCACGTGGTGGGGACGGCCGAATTGGGGCAGATCGGCTGGATGCGGCCATCATCTATAGAGGTGGTAGATCAAGACCAGGATACACTGTCCCTTCTTCCAATTTCACTGTACATCGTCAAATCTGATAATTCCTACCATTGAATTATTCTACGCCCATTGAGCACTACATACGCCATCATGGCAGATTATCCGCCTCTGGAGGACCGTCCTCTGAAGAACACCATCTGTCTCTTCGATGTAGATGGAACTCTAACGCCAGCAAGGCTGGTAAGTCGAGCACAGTATTGCCCAGCTTATTCTTGACTGTATCAACCCATAGGGCTCACCCAATGTCACCAATTTCACTAGACTGTGGCCCCCGAGATGCTCGACCTGCTCTCCCGACTGCGCCAGAAGTGCGCCATCGGTTTCGTCAGTGCTCTTCACCAATCCACATAGCTCCTCGTCTAACAATGCCTAGGTCGGTGGCTCAGACTTGGCCAAACAGCAGGAACAACTCGGGACAGCTTCAACCAATGTCACCTCGATGTTCGACTTCGCCTTCTCGGAGAACGGCCTAACCGCCTTTCGTTCGGGCAAGCCTCTCGCCAGTAACAGTTTCATCAAATGGATTGGTGAAGAGAAGTATCAGAAGCTGGTCAACTTTATGCTGGCCTACCTTGCCAACATATCACTGCCGAAGAAGCGTGGTACTTTCATCGAGTTCCGCAATGGAATGATCAACGTTAGCCCTATCGGCAGGAATGCAAGCAACGAGGAGAGACGGGAGTTTGAACAGTATGTGTCGATTGCTGGCTGCATGAGAACTGGCCCATTGACCGGATGGCAGGTATGACAAGCAGCACAATATCCGACGGGATTTCGTGGACGCGCTCAAGAAGGAGTTCGCCGACTTTAGTCTCACGTAAGCCACCATGCCCCCAGAAGGCACTGCCTATGCTAGAAAAGCTCGACCACACCATATCTGTCGCTAATCAATGACTGGCTACCGGATATAGTTTCTCAATCGGTGGCCAGATCTCCTTTGACGTCTTCCCCACCGGCTGGGACAAGACCTACTGCTTGCAGCACATTGAAGCCGAGAAGAACATCTCCGGTATCGAATACAAAACCATCCACTTCTTCGGCGACAAGTCCTTCCCCGGCGGCAATGATTGGGAGATCTACAGCGATCCCCGTACCGTAGGCCACGCCGTCAGCGGCCCTGATGACACGATGAAGCAGTTGAAGGAGCTGTTCCAGCTGTAAATTGGGCTGTGGGGATCATATTTGGCGTTTTGCGGGGTTGGGGTAATGGGACACAAAATTGGGATAATGGGACATGTACATTAATATTTGTTATAACAAAAAATTGACTCCATGTATTCTTCAGAACAATACAGTATCCCCGTCCATGGCTTGTTGCCCCTTCAGCAAAAATGGGTCGAGAGAAATTCCTTCCATGTTTGGTGAAGTGTTCGTCCAATCGGAGTGCATAAGCATAACTATCCCCTGTATTAGTCATCAACTCCCCTCCGTCCTCCGCACATGACATGACATATCGGATGATGCTTTTATTCTCCTCCCTCCACATCCCGGTTCAAAGTTAAGACCTCTTATTGTCGCACCTCGCCTACTTCACTGCGTCCGTTGAACTCCGTGACTACTTCACCCCTCCCGCCCTTGAGCGTCTGGACAATGGCGCCTCAGAAGCCCGTCACGGAAGTGTCCCGTTCCATCCTTCCACGGCTGACGTGGAATGGATCCTCCGCCGGCGCTCGCATCACACCACCCAAGACCAGAGCATTCTCAGCCCGGCAACAGCAGAAGCAGAAGAGCATCCAGACATTGTTTCCACCAGGACATCAGCTACATACCTCAGCTCTCTTCCGCGCCTCCTCCGGACTCATCTCCGCAACCTCCCGAGACACCGGCTCATCCTCGACGATCGCCAGACATTTCTCGACACCCGTGAAGCCGGCAACAGGTCGTCCCGCCGTCGACTCCGCCGTCGACCCCATCAGATATAATGGCGTCTACGTGGCGACCTTCAACCCCGCTCGACGGGCCTTCCACGCGACTCCCTCCCGCCAACGAGACCACCACTTTGATACCCTGAAGTTCGTGCAGCGGTTAAAGGACGAGGGCTTCAGCGAGGAGCAGGCGGTCGCCATGATGCGCGTGCTGAACGACGTCATCCAGGAGTCGATCCAGAACCTGACGCGAACAATGGTCCTGCGAGAAGGTAAGGGGATCTCCCTCCCTGCTTGATTTAGCCGCCACCGGCCGTGTCTTAACCAGATCCCACAGATACCGAACGATCCACATATACCCAGAAGGTCGACTTCGCCAAGCTCCGCTCAGAGCTCCTCAACGCCGACTCGACCGAGGCACAGCTGACGCGGTCCTCGCACGAGAAAATCGCCGCGGACCTCGCAAAGCTCAACTCACGTCTTCGCGATGAGATCGGGCGGACGCAAGCCTCCGTCCGGTTGGACCTGAACCTCGAGAAGGGCCGGATCCGCGAGGAGGCGAACAGCCAGGAGATGCGAATTAAGGAGACGGAAACGCGGATCGAACAGGAAGTGGCTGGTCTACGGGAGCGCGTTGAAGCTGTGAAGTTCTCGACTCTCCAGTGGCTCATGTACGTTCAAATCTGCTCCTTCACCTTCATCTTTCCTCCCCGTTGTCTGTCTTGGTATACTAACAAATGTTTTTCGTCCAGGGGTGTCTGCACCGGTACCGCTGCCCTCATTTTGGGTGCCTGGCGTCTTCTTATGTGAGCTGCCGAACGCGAAATATCTCTCCTTCCATCCCTTTTATCCGAAATTCAACGAGCGATGCTGGTCATTCGAGTCTCTTTTGTATATTACTCCAACTTCCCATGTGGCGCCGTCTACCCTCTAGAAAATTCGCTTCCGCAATATTACTACTTTTTGTCCCAGCACTTTCACATTGTCTCGTCGAAGGCCATCCAACGAGGTATCATCGTGTCGTGCACAAAAATTCCCAGCCTCAGTCCTCGAGTACTACTTTTTTTTCGTTCTCTGTGGTGCATTGTACGGTATTCCAGCCCTCGCTTCGGTCTTTCATTGGCCCAGTTCAGCTACCCTCCAATGCAGATGGGTCAGCTAGGTATGGCCAAGTATAAATAATTTATTAATTATCAATCTTCTATATCATGCATGCTTTCCGTCACCCCCTCTCCTTCCACCAGGGAAGAGAATGCAAATGCTTAGCAGCCCGATTACTCAAACACAGAGCAGGATCGACGCCATCGAGGCCGTCTTCTCCTTGGAAAGCGAGCGAAACGAGACCAAAGTAGGAGTGAAGCAGATCTGGCGTGTAACACTATTAGTACCAGTACTTGAGAGACGCGGGGGTAGATAAATTTTGTTCGTACCAGGTGGTTCTCCGACGGCCTTCCCGAACCCACCCACGATGTGTTGGGTCTTTTCAAGGAGGTAGCGTCGGTTTCGGGGGGCGTCTACGAGAGGTAATTTATTCATCATCTGTGGCGTGATGCTGGGTTAGTGTCGCCGTTGTGACATATATATGTTCTTCCAGGCAAGGAACTCACGACTAGTGTTGCGCCATTCCAGAAAGAATAGCACGTATCGGCGAATTTGTTTGCGCGTCCGTTGAAACCCGCCCAGTGTAAGGATTCTGCTGTTGGTGGGGAGATTGTAGGGAGCTGGTCGATTGCCTCGCTGGGACTGAGCCCTTCGACTGCTTTGGGGGGGCTAGATTCTTCGGTGGCTTCTTCCTCGTCGTCGGATGCAACTTCGCCTAGCTCGGCTGTTTGCCTTGCTACCAGCCACCTGAGGAGTAGGTTGAACTCTGGTGTCTCTGGTGAAAGAAGCGCAGCTGTGGGCTTGTCGGGGGAAATGCGACCCAGGAAAGTGAGCGCGCCGATGGCGCAGTATGTATGGCCCGCTGTGAGATATCAGCTGCCTGCTCTTGTAATGGTTACCTTGGATGTAGGGACCTTACAATGCGATTCGCAAAAGGGCCCTTCTCCGACTCCACCGTCGTATGTCTGAAAGACGCCATGTCAGTGATGAGATATACTTGAGTAGGTCTATGGGTTGAAGGGGTTCGTACCTGACAGGCCTCGATAAACCCCACCAACTTGTCCACATCTATATCCTCAATATCCTTCACACCGTCGTCATTCCTCCCCCGAAGTATATACCGGGTGCCCGCACCACAGCAGCAGAATCGCAAGTCCCCGCCCCCCTCAATCTGATCGTTCGGCCCCAGCACCTCCCCAAAGCTCCCGTCGTCGCGCTGCAACATAGGTAACCATCGCAGACACTCTTCCCTCTTAACGCGCGAGAGATCATCCCCCAGAATGACCAGCATCAGCAGCGCAAAGAAAGTCGACGGGACATTAGCCGGATCCCACGCAGCGTTCTCCGGCGTGCGCCTGTCGCGCCCGAAATCGGTCCCTGTGAATCCGCGGAACCCGCCCGTCGGGACCTGGCAGTGGTAGATCCAGTCGATGTACCCTTGTCGCTCTTCGGGGGTGGTTTTGCTTTCCAGCACGTTGAGCAGGTCTAGCCCCGCGACGGTGAAGAAGGCGAGGAGCATGCGATTGGAGTCATTGGGGGTGTAGAGGTGGGGGAGGAAGGTCTTGAGACATCGGAGGAAATATTTGATGTGTCGTTCTTTGGTGAAAGTGGCGACTGACATGGTGTCAGTTAAGCAGTGTAGGATCAATAGAATCAATCATATGTAGAAGGGGGAGGAGAGATGGTTCAAATTGTGTTATCGGAGTTTAGCATCGGCGGTAACCCCACAGTTAGCTCGATCGAGACTCTCAACATCCCTACCTGTCTTTTATTTTTACGACCTCTCTCTTGCTTCTTCCTTTCTTCTCCCTCTTCTTTTCCTTTCTTCATATATTCTTCCCCATATCAATAAAACCATCATGGCACTTTTATCCTCCAAAACTCTCATCAAGGCCCATGCCTGGGGTTTGTTTATCCTCGCCGTCTACCTAATGCGATCGCCCGAATTCATCACCGACTCCGATATCGTGTTTATGCTGGGGGAGGTTCTACGCATTGTACAATACCCCCGATGCTTCTCTCATGATCAATTCCTTGCTAATACAACCTCACTGTCAAATAGGATGCAGCCCCATCGCTGTCGCGCCCACAATCCCCCTTCGCCGCCTGCGGCATTCTCCTAATCGCCGAAGCCCTGGTCGACCTGATTCTCGTGACGAAAGTTCCACCTCTCAACGAGGTCGTCGAGATGGCCGAAGCAGCGCGCCAGCACTCCTCCATTCCGGTCGCAGGAGCCATGCGGACAAACCCCTTCCTTACCCGACTCGCCACCATGTACTCGGAGATCTGGACGCTGCTGTCCGCCTCGCGTTTCTGTCTTTTCTTCGCCGTGTCGTTCTTCATCTACCAGGGTAAACAAGTCGCATTGGGAGTGGGAACTACCCCGGCTGCGGGCTATGGGGCTGCACCGGAAGCGGTGTCCGGTCTGGATCATCTGAAGAGCCGGGTGATCTTCACTTACGGGTTCATGGAGATGATGTTCTGGTTATGGGTATGTTTTTGGATCTGGGTTGGTGTTGGGGGTTGGCGTCCTTTGCTAATGATTTTCAAGATCTATCTCACGGTCCGTGACGAGCGACAGGAGATCGCGGCTCGCATCGTCGACGGAGATAGGCAGGTGCAGTAAATGCTGTATCGATCGGGACAGTCGGTTGGAGAGCAATCTCCTCTTCCATGACCTCAGAGATCATCAATCCCATCTACGCACCATTCCGATTACCACACACACCCTGGTCCCCTTTCTCGGTTCAGTCGTGCTGCTGATGATAGAAGGAGTTATGTACGGGGCGTGTTTCATTGAATCCGTACGGTGGAGATCCATCACAGTACTGGAAGGAGTAATTTTTTGACATGGAGTCGGCACGTCTCAGGATCGCTGTCTATATTTACCGACCTCTATCAGCCTTCCTCGGCACCAGTATTACATTCTCGAGCTGGTTCTATACAGATCATGCTCGTGTCATAGAACCTTCGAGGGATATGGTCACGCTGGGAGACACCTTGGCAGAAAGTGCAGACTCATCGCCGGCTTCATCGGTGTCCGAATACTAAAATCCCTTGCAATGTTTGGGTAAACGCCCTTGTCAACGAGTCGATGTCATACATTGCGGAGACACCCGGCGTTTTGCGGGGATCACGAAAACCGACCTGGGTCTTATAATTGTAGAACATCTGAAACTAGTGTCAATCAAACGAAATTAGCTATTCCAGACCCCCATATCGCCGATATATACTCGGTAGAATATCTTCAATCTTATCTTTTCGTCGTCATGCTCAAGTGATGAGTAATGGAGAAGATAGGGGCAGTGTTTGCCGTGTTTGCATGGGTGGATAAGGCATCAGCGGACTTGTCGATCCAGAGGGTGACGATCGTCGAACACATCCCCATCTTGATGGCACGATGATCTGGTGTCGTTCGCTCACAGTCCGGGAGTCCCTTTAATGCGCTTCCACCGAACACCCATGCATATCTCGACGTACGGATTACACCCATCCCTATCTCGCCGGCTCGAACCGTCACCCCTCCCTCGCCTTGATATCACCACTATACCAACCTTATGATACGCATGCGCTCCCATAGCCTACGAGAATAGCGAGCATTCAATAACTTCAATCCTACATTTGGAACATCTTCTCTGTGACAGTCCGGCCCCGATGACGTATACCATCCCCACGAAGAACCCCTGATGAGCGAGGCAAGGGCAAGTGGGGAGCTCGAGGGCAGTACGCTCGGGAGCAGCTCCCGCGATGGAGAAAAGGAAGGCCGCGCGCAACGGCGAACACACAATCCCAGTGGCTTTCTAGTCGATTCGTCGTTCATCCCTCGTTCGAAAAGCTTGCGCTTGGGCCATCACCGCCCGCGTCACTCGGAGCCGGATCGCAAGGAGAAACGCGGGGCCCCCGAACCAGAACCCGGTACAGAAGCCACGGGGCAGAAGAGACGGTCCCGATTTCCGTGGATTCGGCATAAAGAACAACCAAAGGCATCACCACCAGCGACACCGCCAAATGAATCCGTTCCCGAGCGTGCTGGTCCCGAAAGTGCTGGTCCCTCTCGGATGCGACAACATGTGGAGTCGCAGGAAAGTCAAGCGGAGAGAACGGATCCCCAGGGGACGGTCGGGCTGGATCGGGACTCGCTGCAGATTGTCAATCTGGCGTTGAATCTGAGCGAGTCCAGGAAGAAGAATAGTCTAGGCCGGGCTCCTTCAAGTCGTCTCTCCAGTGGCGGATGGACCGCACCCAATGCGCCGTCTTCTTTATCCTATGCAGATACCCAACCGCCAGTTGCGGGGCCCTCCACCCGGCACCGTCGCACTTCTACTCAACTAGCCACTGATGATAGGGCCATACCTATCAATACTTCTACCTCAACGGCACCGAATGAGCAACCATCCGTGCAGAGTTTCTTACCCCAGTCGGTCGGCCCTGATCCGTTACCGCAGGGATTTTCCCGGAGCACCCTGGCTCGTGCTGAAAAGGCTCGAAATTACTTCGAATTGCTCTCTGAATATCTACGTCTGCTGCACTCCCTTCCTCCTCTCCGCCCACCTGGGGCTGGTGGGTCATCGTCCGGATCTCCCCCCGTCACGACGGGTGAAGGTCGTGCCTATAATCCTCTCCAGGTCATTCGCAATCGCAAGGTTAGGTTTCGTGAGCGTTGCCCGCTTGTTCCGGAATCTCAAGGGTGGAATGATGTCGAGAAGGTCCATGAATGGGTAAATTTGGTCGAGTCCTGCCATAGCCGGCAGAGCCGTGGCTCGTTTGAACGCCTACGGCTGCCCCCTTTCGAAAATAATTCAAAACCGACGGCGCACCATGAGGATGTCGAAGAACCCGATTTTATACCAACTTCTCCTCCCTCCAGTTTACGACGGGTCAGTCGTACGAGTAGCGTCAAAGCACGCAGGCCGAGGCTGGACTGGCTGGTTTCGCCTGCTGAATCTCTGGCTGACGCCGCCTGGGTTGAAAGTGACCTAAACAAGACCAAAATCATTGATAAGGATGGAAACCATCTGTATCAGGACCCCGCCTCTATTGTCACTAGCGATGATGAAATGGATGTCGACGCTGCTCAAACACGGCCGCCAAACAATCGACTATCCGTGGATGCCGACCAGCTAACCTCGCGCACCTCTTGGTCAAGTACTTCTTCCATCCTGCCAGCAGATTTCAAGAGGACAGACCGTGGGAGACGTCGTCACAGAGCTCCTATGTCGCCTCAATTCCCGCAAAGCAACCCTGCCCTGCCAGACCGCGTTGGATCGAAGAGAGACAAGCTCAAGATGCGGTCAATCAGCCCTTTGAGTACACCAAGCACCTCCGACGACGACGACTACTACAACTCTCGTTTGAACTACACGAAATCTTACAAGCAGTTACAGAGATCAAATGTTCCCCCTGGAAGAGGAAGTGCCGACGACGTGAAGCGCATGCCCACGGTGCAACCCACGAAGCCCACAAGAAATTCTTGGTCTGAACGAAGGGCCTCGGTATCCTCCGGGCGCAGTTTCGGTGATCGATATGATCCCCTGACATCTCTCGCGGCTCTGGACAGCATCAGATCTGCCAATACTGCTTATCCGGAGCATTTCCCGAGTATTGCTTCTCCCTTATCATCCGCTTCGAGCCGCTCCGCTTCGCCTGCAAAACGACAGTCGCGCGCCGTTGGCTCTCGTAGCAGAAGCAGCATCAGGTTCAAAGAGCCTCCCAACCGTCACTCTGTGGAATCTCTGGCTCTTCAAAAAGACAGTCTGGAAGCCCCCCCGCGCTCACCCAAACTGGGGCCGGGCCCTCCGCCAGATCGAGCTTCTCCAGCTCAACAGGACGACCCCAGTAGGCCAAGCCTACATACTCGAAAAGGATCAACTCAAGAATCGAAATTACGTGGGATCTTCAAAGGTCCTGGGAAGATCGCAGGAAAGGTGGGGAATGAGGTGTCGAAAATGGGCGACCTTATTATGAAGAAAGACCACCAACCGCACTCGAGAAAGTCGTCCGCAAATAGCGTCACGACGGACGAGAATGCTTCTGAGACGGAGGATCCGAAAGGTGAAAAGACCTCTAGCCGCATGGCTTTGCTCCGCCGTCTACCCACGTTCGCCGATGAGCCCACTCGTCCTCGCAAAGATCCCGACAAGTCCTTAAAGACCAGTGCGGCGAATCCATCCTCGCCCGTTTTAACATCACCGCCTGAAGACCTGGCAGTGGAGCTGAAGGCGTCTGGGCTCGGTGGCCCTCGCAGACATGCTACCGACACACAACTCTACGGCATCGGAGAGTCGCAGGGTAAAAGCGAGCGCTTTCCGGCATCCCAAAAGGCATCCGAAGCGCCTGCACGATTTTCAAAGCCAGAGAAGGCCATGACCTTTGGGCCCGAGCTACACAGCATCCAAAAGCAGATTAAGAAACGTCGCCATCAGGATCCTACTGGTTCTTTTATCATGCATCGCCCTCCTGTCACCGGGCTGGCACAAGCCCAAGCCTCGAGTGCGTCCTCACCTCGGAGACCGCTCACCCCGTTATCCGGACAGTCACGAAGCTGGAGCATCTCTCGTCGTAGCGTCAGCTCTTCACTCAGCTCTGGGGTGCCAAATAAACGCGAGGTTGAACGCACCCGGGCCCTCCTCCTTTCCTCGGGGGTTAAAGCTCGAGAGATCACCCGTCGCGCCGAAAGCGTCCGCACCCCAACGCCTGAATTCCTTCTTCGCGCATACGGCACTGACGCTCCCATCCCGGCCGTCGCGCGACTACACGAGCATGATCTAGCCGCTCGGCGACTGCTCGAAGAATTCGAGAAATCGCACCGTCGCTTCCAAACCTCGCTAGATCACTTCACGCGCGACACGTCAGCGCCTCTGCGCTCGCAGCTCAGCAACTTGGAAGACACAGTTGACCAGTCGATCAACCCGCGCGTCCGTACCACGACGCAAGAAGCCGAAGCATTGAGCATCCAGCTCAATACGACGAGCACACTCGCTGTGAAACAGCTCAGCGATGCACTCGACCGGGGAGTCCGCAAGCGTCACCGCCGGCTCCGCTGGCTGAGACGAGCTGGTTTTGTAATGCTCGAATGGGCGCTGGTCGGGATGCTCTGGTGGGTGTGGCTGATTGTCATGGCGTTTAAGCTCCTCCGGGGTGTGCTCCGGGGCACGATCTCCGGTGTCCGATGGGTTTTGTGGTTGTAATGGGGGTGTCTTTGGATTGCATTCGCTTTCAGCCACTGTATGATACCCTTTTTCTTTTCTTTATGTTTTTTTCTTCGGATGTTTGTTCTTTCCAGCTGTGGCTGGTTGGCCTTGTCATCTTCATTTTTTGTATTATAATCATGGTCTTTACTTGTGGCCACTTTCCATACGATTTTAATTATGAATGTCCACCTATGCGACTGGAATAAACTGGATATCCACACATACAAACCACCCTAATATAACCAAAGGAGATTGGATAAGATGGAATATACCATGGATGAGGAAGTATATAGTTTATAGTGGAGTAGTCATGTGACCTCGCATTATGTCATTGGATTCACGTCAAAACAATCTGGCCAATTCTCTCCTCCATCTTGCCAATTGTCCTGAACTTGTATAAAGTCGCGAATCGATTTGATAATATTGGGACCTGGGTACTGTCCAACTGGCCAGATCGAGTGACACCATGGATCCGAGCTACAAGGCTCGCAAAGAAGCCTTCGTGTCAAATCTCGCGGGAGGCACCATCCTCGAGATCAACGCCGTCAGTTTAGTCGCGCCGGTGAGTACCCAGGTTCTGTCTCTAGCGATTATAGAGATGCTAATGATGATATGCGCACTCTAGGCTTCGATATTTGTATGGTCGGTTCTGCAATCTCGACTGTCCTTCTTCACACCCTACAGCCCAGCAGCACTGGTGGCAGACTTCTTCCTCAATGTCCTGGGCATTTTATTCGCGACAACAGTGTACTCCTCTGCACCATGGGTCCTGAACCTCCTTCTCATCTCTCCAGCGGTCCTGCTGCTCTTTAACCAGCCGTCGTTTCGTGCACAGCAAAAGGCGAAACCCCCACGCGCATCAACAGTCGGTAAAGACGCCTCCAAGCAACCGCCCTCGGAATCGTCCTCATCCCTCCCCATCCACCCGTTCCTCACGACCTACCGCGGCGCTATGATGATCATCACCTGTATCGCCATCCTCGCCGTCGACTTCCGCATCTTCCCGCGCCGGTTCGCCAAGGTCGAAAACTGGGGCACATCCCTCATGGATCTAGGAGTCGGGTCGTTCGTCTTCTCCGGGGGCGTCGTGTCCGCCCGCTCGGGTCTCAAACGCCAGAGCACCAACTCCACCGCGAAACGCACCCTCGCGCAGAGACTCGCATCCTCCATGCGCCACTCCATCCCGCTGCTCGTGCTGGGCCTCATCCGCCTATACAGCGTCAAGGGTCTAGACTACGCAGAGCACGTAACCGAGTATGGCGTACACTGGAACTTCTTCTTCACGCTGGGCCTCCTACCACCCTTCGTCGAGATCTTCGACGCACTATACGCGCTTATCCCATCCTACGAGATCCTCTCCCTAGCCATCGCCGTCCTCTACCAGGTCGCGCTCGAGTCGACCGACCTCAAAAGCTACATCCTGGTTTCCCCCCGCGGACCCGACCTCCTCTCCAAGAACCGCGAAGGCATCTTCTCCTTCCTAGGCTACCTCGCCATCTTCCTCTGCGGCCGCGCGACCGGCATGCGCGTCATCCCGCGCGGCACCTCCGCAAGCACACCCCCCAGCCAAGCACGCAAGAACGTCCTCCTCAGCCTAGCCGCACAAACTCTCCTCTGGACAGGCCTCTTCGCCCTCAACTCAACCTACGCCCTCGGCTACGGCGCCAACATCCCCGTCTCGCGCCGCCTAGCAAACATGCCCTACGTGCTCTGGGTATCAGCCTTCAACAACGCGCAACTCCTCCTCTTCTGCCTCGCCGAAACGCTCTTCTTCCCCTCCGTGCACCGCGCGACAGGCAAAGACGGCGAGCGCGAGCGCACAGCGTTCGCGACGAGTCGCATCATGGCGGCGTTTAATCGGAATGGCCTGGCGCTGTTCTTGATTGCGAATTTGCTGACGGGCGCTGTGAATCTGGGCTTTAATACCCTGGATATGAGTACCGCTCAGGCGGTGGGTGTTCTGGTGGGGTATGCGGCTGTTGTGACGGGTGTTGCGGTGGGGTTGGACTGCGCTGATGTCAAGCTGACTTTGTAGATCTACACTTTGCTTTCGTGTTTGTATATACTGGGGTCATGAGTCACAGATGCAGATAGAATAATTTAATGGTGCATTCATTGCCAATCGAGTCGTAGGCAGAACCACATACGTACGTATCCACGTGGCCAATAACAAAGTAGAGTAAATAATATAGCACTATTAACACAAGATATATAAAAGAAGAAGAAGTTTGAACAAGCTACACAACACAGCCAAAAATCAAATCAAATCTTCAACCCCCAACTCCGCCCGAGTCCCAACGCAGTAGACCCCATAAACCCAAGACACTCTTTCACACCACCAACCTTATCCCCAAGCGCCTGGGTATCCTCGAAGCGGCGCTCGACGAAGGCCTCGGTAGCCGTAAGATCAGGGCTCGGGTCCCGGGTGAGGACGACCTCCGCGGAGGCGTACACGGCTGAGACGGCTAGACGCTTGGTGTACCAGGAGGCGTCGACGGAGGTGTCGCCGGCGAGGGCGAGGATGTCGTCTGAGAGGGCATGGAGCTCGGAGAGGGAGAGCGGGACGTGGCTGGGGAGAGACATGAGTGCCAGGGCCTGTTTTTGTTAGCGGTTCTGCATTTCATGCAAATGTTGTGTTTGCTATGTGGAAACCTGAAAGAGGAGAAGAGGAGACTGACATCCTGCCATTGATTCCGCACATCGGCATTCATGCGCAACCGCTCCATAACAAGCATCTTGGTCTTCTGCTCGACGGACAGTTCGCGGGGTCCATTCTTCCGGAACAGGCCATTATCGACAGCAGCGCGGAGGAGTCCTCTCCGACTAGCCAGCCAGAAGAGGATCAGGTCGAATTCACCGCGAGGGAGGAGCTGAACGGAGACGTCGAGGAAGCCGGCATCGCGGGCGCCGAGGGTGAGGGCGTCGCGGGTGAAGCCGAGCTGGGGAACGTGGCGGAGGGCTGCGGTGAGGATGGTGGTCTGGGAGTTGGTGTATTCGTGGTCTAGGGTGGGCTGGTGCGTCGAGTGGTATTTCCTGCGGGGGGTGGAGAGGGTAGTGGTTTTTGGTGGTGCTGCAGGTGTGCTGGGGCGAGTGTGCTGGCAGTGGTAGAGGCGAGGGGATTGGGTGATGGGTCGGAGGGTTGCGCGAGAGGGACGGGATACGGATGCAATAGAGGTTAAGAGGGGTCGCCGGGCGGCGAGAAGCGTTGAGGGAGCCATTGTAGGGCGGATAGAAGCGGGATTGAGGGTGTTGTTGTCGGATTATATGGAGGACCAAAAGTGAGGTTAAAGTGAGAGAGACGTGAAGGCGGTGAAGCATTGGCATTCCACCCCCGGCAATTGGACATACATATTGTTACGCAGTCATCACACTAATTATCTACAACTAAGGTATCTTGGCATCTCGCAATTAACTCCAGCTCAGTGACCAGGGAAAACAAGAGAAATGAGGAAGTAAAAAAAACTACAAATATAGCAGCAAAGCAAAAAGAAACTCCCTGACAGGGAATCGAACCCTGGTCTCCCGCGCTTGTAAGGAATTCTTGACAAGCGGAAATCATAACCACTAGACCATCAAGGACTTGTTATGATAAGGCCTGGCGGTTGACCACTATCCGGCTTCCGCCGCAGCGTGCCCAGTATCGGCCCACCCGGTCTCGGGGGGTTGTCAGTTGATGACCAGCGGTTGTGGCTTAAGATTTGAGTCTTCTTCAATGGCGTGATATGTTATGGTACGAGACGAAAAGAAGTAAAAATCAAAGGAGATATAAAAATAAAAGAATGAAAGAGAAAAATTTTTTTATAAATATATAAAAAAAAAAAAAAGAATAGAAGTAAAAAGGAATAAAGCGAAAGAGTGAAAGTGCACGGACAAGAGGAAGAGAACATGCCAGGAGAAGAGGGAGGAGGGATATACAGAGTATATAAAGGTAATGACGAAATGCAAAAAAATCTCCCCGACAGGGAATCGAACCCTGCTCTCCCGCGCTTGTACGGTAGAACCATGACAAGCGGAAATCATAACCACTAGACCATCGAGGAATGGTTATTCAACAGGCGGATATTTAGGTTTCTTGTTTCACCATGCTGAGCTGAGGAGTAAAACCACAATAATACACTATCGGTTACGTACTCAGGACAAGAAAATGCCTTCCCTATAACTAACTATTCAGTGCGATACACCACAGGTATTGTTGTATGGAATGCCTAAACCCTCACATACTAGGTAGTTAGTTTGGATATCAGGCTAATGCTTTTACAGGCACGGTTTGATATATCATTTAGTCTATGAAATATGAGTATTTCATGAGCTGATTAATCGTGGACTAGGGACAGTCTACTTACACAAAGAAGTATCGTAGCATCATGTGGCAATACCATACATCTTCTTAATGTGTAATGTTTCAAAGTTAGGGTGGAATGAACAATACTCTGTACTCCATAGTAGAAGTGCTACCTGACTGAGTATCTACTTTGTTCCGCCGTGGCATTCAGCAGTAGACTTCATTCTCAGATGGCTATCCTGTTGCACTAATAATAATTACAACTTGATTGCAAGGAATATCACAGGTGTCGCGGCGTTGATCAGTAACCTTCTATTCAGTCTGGTGGAAACAAAACATATGAGCCCACGGATTCAAAAACTCGAATCATGTACAATGATTAGCAAAAAGAACTCCCTGACAGGGAATCGAACCCTGGTCTCCCGCGCTTGTATGGGTAAACCATGACAAGCGGAAATCATAACCACTAGACCATCAAGGACTTGTTATATAATCATAAAGTCTTTTGTGATATCAGAGACATTCTCTATTCAACATACTACCTCACTACGAATGGCATAGATCGTGCGTCTCCTGACAATGTGGGGAGTGTGGGTATTGGATACAAAGATAGTACCATATGTCTCGGCACAACAATGCCATACAACATTGTGAAACAAGCCAACAGCGAAAGGGGTTACTGTATTCGAACATAGCTTGTGAGGTTACAGCGGGTTTCTGTAGAGATGGGGCAGTAATACAATCAACAAAGACCATTGAGAGTGGAATTCGATGAATGCAATCTCCTTCATGATTATCTATTGTCAGTAAACGTTCAAGTGGTCTTAGTCCGGGAGTAAAACCTCTTCATTCGCTGTTCTAATTATGGGTCGAGTATGCATCCGGCTATGCAGCCAGGATACTACGGCAGCATTCATGCATCAACTCTATTTACTCCACCCGTTGTGAGAACTCTGTCTGTTTCATATCGGGATTTCATTTTTGGGACTCGATATGGGTTTTTCGGGTTATTGTTATGGTGCAAGAAAGGCATTGTCTTATTTTGGAGTGGGGTCGAAGCAGTGGGGTCGAAGCCAACTTGAAGGCTTGTTGTTGCTCGTTTATATATAGTTTGACCGGGTCAACCCGAGTGTCTTATCATAAACCAGAGACAGCGAAAAAAAGAGGCAACAGTTCTGGGAGTTTCCAACATGAAACATTATTATGGCCCACAAATGCAATACACCGACATTATAAATGAGGTAAAAAAAAAGATCAGAAAAGGGAAAAAACAAATGATCCAATACTAGAGCAACAGTGTTAGATCAGCAAAAAGAACTCCCCGACAGGGAATCGAACCCTGCTCTCCCGCGCTTGTAAGGAAACCTTGACAAGCGGAAATCATAACCACTAGACCATCGAGGATCTGTTGAAGAACGGAATTTCTAAAATGTTTTAAGTCCAGAGGTTCACTGAAGGCAGCTGGAATCAAGGGAGAAGTGGTCGGACATAAACAACATTGCACCAAGAATTCATGCATCACCCAAACAATCCCAGCATGCCATCCCTCGTTTCGACTCGAGGGCCACTCTCCCTTCTTGCATCGGTTCATCTTTCCTTCATCTACGCCTCAATGTTTGGCGCATTCTGCTTTCTTTCCAACCCGAGTGACTGATTCTTGTCTTCCGGGGTTGACTTCCGTCCATGATGCGACTCATACGCTCCCTGTCTCTCCTCCTCACGGGCATCGCCGCCGTTCTTGCGGACGTTGAGTTTGTTGTCCCGACGGCAGGTACCATCTTCAAAGCTGGAGATGTCGTGACGGCGCATTGGAGGGACACAGGCCGCTTCCCTCAAATCTCAGATCTGACAATGTACGATCTATGCCTCTGCACCGGTGAAAAGACTCCAGGATCCCACGTAAGGCCCATAACACCATATAATGCTTCATGGACTGACCTCTGCAGACGGAATTATCCACTCTTGTACAAGGGGCGAGATTTGCGCGAGGCAGTTCGGTTTCCTTCAGGGTCGACCCTGAATTGGCGAGCCACGAACCAAATGCATAGTAAGAACAACTAAATCAATCAGCGATAAACTGGCAATCGTGATAAATTGGCAGTCATTAGAATGCTGACAGCGGCCCAGCTTCCTCAAGATGAGCTCGACAGGCCCCGAAATTTCCGTAATCAATTTTTCCCAGCGGTTCTCCGTGTTCGGTGCCCATGCAACCGAAGAGAGGCTGCAGGAAGAATCCCAAGATAGGTCCCTGGAGAAACGACAGGGTGTAGCAGCGCAGGGAGCACAGGCACCGCAGGCAACGCAGGCCACTGGAAGCTATGCGATCCCCTACAACTTGCAGACAGGGCCGACACGATATGCCCCCCAACCCAAACCACCTGGAACGACCATTCCGCCCAAAAATGTCAAGCCGACACCACAGAACCCAACCAGCCCGTACGTCGTGGCGGTCACACACCTTCCTCAGCCGACTGTCGAGAAGACCACATCGGAAGATCCGACGCGTACTGTTTGGGAAATGGAGAACACTGTATGGTTCCTGGCTCTGTATGGATGAATGATATGCTAACCATTTGCATCATAGGCTGCCCCGGCTCCACACCCGCATGGTTCGAAGGGTAAGCGTGAGGGATGAACGGATTGGATCTTGTCTTCCTGCAATAGTTCGAGGTGAGCGTGGGATCACTGGGACTTGTACTGTATTTCTTTCAAACTGTAATCATATCTACATCGTCCGGTGTGATGTCATACCGTAGATCATCCAGTAAACAAAAGAACAGACGAAAATCACATGGAGACTTTCCCGCTTCCCCGAGGACCGCCTTATCGCCACGTGACTTTCCCGGTCTCCGCCTCGCCCTTCTCATTCCATCCTGCATTTCCACTTCTTCTTCCCTTTCCTTCTCTCCAAACCCCTCAAATCCTAATCATGTCGGCTGTTCAACCTTTGAGAAGAGGTCTTCACCTCGTGGCATCGCGATCCGTCGCCACCAGCGGTCCCCTGGCGGCCAATGCCTCCGTCCAATTGCTTGCTCGGCAGCAACGGACGTCATCGCGTCTCCCCGCGGTGGGACGTTCGCTTGCCCCTCGTCCGTGGGGAGCGCCCGCACTCTCCCAGCAAGGCGCAGTCCGTCATTATGCTTCCCCCTCCACTCCGTTGAGGAAGACACAGCTGTATGACCTGCATGTGGCACATGGCGGCAAGATGGTGCCCTTTGGCGGGTTTTCCATGCCCCTGCAGTACTCGGACCTCAGCCATGTTGAGAGTCATATGTGGACTCGTGAGAAGGCCAGTGTCTTTGACGTTAGCCACATGTATGGAATCCAATGACTATCTTAATGGATATGAGAAGATTGGCTAATCGCGATTGACTCTACAGGGTGCAGCATCAACTTTCCGGTCCCGGTGCGATGGATCTCCTGATGAAGGTGTCGCCCTCGTCCCTGGACAAGCTGAAGGAAAACACGTCTACGCTGTCGTGTCTGCTGGAGGATGGCACGGGCGGTATCGTCGATGACTGCGTCATCACCCGCCGCTCTGCCGACACCTTCTATTTCGTCACCAACGCCGGCCGCCGCGACGAAGATCTTGCCTTCCTGGAGGCCGAGATTTCGGCCTACAAGGCCGCGCACGGCCCCGACAGCCTGAAGTGGGAGATCCTCGAGAACCGCGGCTTGGTCGCTCTGCAGGGCCCGCTGGCCGCCTCCGTTCTGCAGGCCCACGCCGTCGACACCGACCTCAGCACCCTCTACTTCGGCAACTGCCGCGAGATCCACCTCACGCTGCCCGGGGGCGAGCAGACCGCTGAGCCGCTCCTTGTGTCGCGCACCGGCTACACCGGCGAAGACGGCTTCGAGATTTCGATCCCCACGGCGAAGGACGCCAGTCTGCCCCAGAAGGTCACGGAGCTGCTGCTGGCCGACCCGGCCCAAGTGCGCCTGGCCGGTCTGGCGGCGCGCGACTCTCTCCGTCTTGAGGCCGGTATGTGCCTCTACGGCAGCGACATCTCGACGTCGCAGACGCCCCCCGGCGCCAGTCTGGGCTGGGTGGTCGGCAAGGACCGCCGCGACCCGGCGGCCAAGCCGTTCAACGGCGCGGCTACGATCCGGCCCCAGCTCGCCTCCCCGGCCAAGACGCTCTCGCAGCGTCGCGTCGGCTTCACGGTCGAGAAGGGCCCGCCGGCGCGCGAGGGCGCCTTCCTGGTCGACCTGAACGACGAGTCGCGGACGCCGATCGGCGTGATCACGTCGGGTCTGCCGAGCCCCTCGCTGGGCGGGACCAACATCGCCATGGGGTACGTGAAGAACGGGATGCATAAGAAGGGCACCGAAGTCGGGGTGGTTGTGCGGAACAAGGTGCGCAAGGCCGTGGTGACGGCAATGCCGTGGATTGAGAGCAAGTTCTACCGTCCCAAGGCATGATCTATTTTCTTTTCTTTTCTTTTTTTTCTTTCTTCCGGTTTAGAACGAAGTCCCGCATGTACATATAGTTATACGACCTTTTAGCGACGGCAGAATTTGATTGTGAGCAGCCACTGAGGCACTGACAAGGCTTTTCCTATTCCAGAACTAATTCTGACAAGCTGACATTTTTCACTTTTCCTTTTGGAGAACTGATTGTGACAAGCAGACATTCTCGGATGATCGAGGCGACATCTGGAATGCGGCCGCATGACTCGACCTGTCGATCAATGGTGCGAGATCCTCAGGAATGATTCGGATTAAGATTATTGTGGTCTTTCCCACCGCTTCTGGAAAGCGACAGAGCTTCTAAAGGAGGCGATTCCACATCTGTCTTGCAAGATAGAGCGAGTGGGTGAACCGAATGGCCGTTTCCGTCCATCTCACATACCAGTGTTTTGCCATATTTCTCGCACCTCTGACCCCCCCCCTTAACCTAAGGTTTGAAATAAATGAAACAACTGTGAATGTAGATCATCCTGCATCATTATCGGTGATAGTACAATTTTCAACATGATGCAAACCAGAAGATCGTTTTTCTGCCGAGCGCTGCAGCTCCTCCTCGTGACATGCACGCTCTACTTTTTCTACGCCACCGTCCTGGAGAAAGCCCGCGAGGCGTCATGGTCGGATGCGGTGTCTGATTTCGTGCGCCGGTCGCTCAGCGACGGTGTTTTTGGACATATTGGGAACCGTACCCTGGGGGTAAGCTTCTACGAGCCATATCGCTGGTTGTTGACAGTAGTGACTTACGAGGATAGTTCGAGCATATCTACGCGATTGGGCTGGAGGAGCGAACGGACAAGCGGGATTTCATGGCCCTTACGACTGCAGTCTCGGGATTCACGGTGCAATGGATGGATGGAGTCCGGCCGGATGAGCTGAACGAGAAGGCTCTACCGCAGGGATATAACCTGACGTTGATGAAGCCTACCGCTGTAGGCTGCTGGCGGGCGCACATGAATGCACTGAGCGAGTCCGTCCCCCCTCAACCCCTCAGGTAGAAGACGAACCCAGACTGATCAAACGCAGCATGCTCTCCAATGGCTACTCAACAGCCCTCATCCTCGAAGACGACGCCGACTGGGACGTGACCCTCCGGGCGCAACTGCAAGAGTTCGCCGTCGGGCTACACGCCCTGAAAGGCACGCGCAAGATCTCGAAAGAAGCCCCCTACGGCGTCGACTGGGACATTCTCTGGATCGGCGGGTGTGCGTCGGGCCCCAACGACAACGAAACCGACTTCTACGCCATCCCCAACGACCCAACCGCGCCGCGGACAGGGCACCGCGGCACCTGGGGCGGGCCCCTGGAGCAGTGGAAGGAGCAGTACCCGGAGTATCCGGAGGACTCGACGCGGTTCGTGTACCGGGCTGCGATGGGGTGCTGCACGTACGGGTACGCGGTGTCGAATCGGGGGGCGCAGAACGTGCTGATGCAGCTGTCGGTGGATCACATTGAGGGGGCGGTCGATAATGCGATGAGTGATCTCTGCGGATTTCATCCCAGACGCACGCGGATCGAGTGCTACGCGCCGTTTCCGAACCTCGTGGGCACGTATCGCCGGGCGGGATCGGCGGCGCGGGATTCGGATATTAATGTGCTGGATTGGGATAATACGCATGGGGAGGAGGCGTGGAATCTGATGTATAGTACGAAAATGAATATTCATCGGTTGGTGGCGGGGGAGCGCACGGTGTATTCGCAGTGGGATGAGGACCTGCCGTGGTCGGATAGGGAGCTGAATCTGGATGAGTTTGTGTATCCCCGAGGGCATCTAGTGAGGGGATAGGTAGGGGGAGGGGGGTGGGACTGGGCTGTCTATGCGATTTAGAACTAATTTCTCTTTCATCTGCTCATCAAATTCATTTCCATGTCCCTGGCTGATGCCCATCTTAGTCATTTGAGAGATCCACCATGGGTCACGCATACAACCCTAGATAGGAGGAGGCGGCGTTCCGCAAACGGCCATGTTGGAGATGGAAGGTCTGGGTCAGGGTCTGCTCTAGACCATCGACCCTTGGTTCCTTTCTCAAGACAATGGCCATTGGCCATGCAGGGTCTCTTGCGGATGGTTGATGGAAGGGTGGGATTGACCCACGAGTCATCTCAACCTTTTTGTCTGACTGAAGTGACATTGCCGGGGAAATCGATTCTATAAAGAACGAATCATGCGCAGCAGAGTCAAGATGGGGTACAGACGTTCAATGTCGAGACACCATGCATATCACAGCCAGCGCGAACAACGGTGAGAAGGGATGGGTGGATACCCTGTGGTCGAGGTCCAGCTCTCCTATCGAGCCGTCGGCGCTCGAAAACGCAGGCAAAGAAGCGGATTGTTCTATCCAGGAGACGGGGGGAGAGAAGGAGGTGGATGGACAGGATTCACAGCCTCGCAATCTCGCCATCTGGGTCTCTGTGAATGTCGTGTCGACTGTGTCGATTGTAGGTCGGCCTTATACCCAGCCCCAAGAATCCAACTGACAAGGGTGTCTAGATCTTCACCAACAAATCCATCTTCGCTCATGAGTCCTTCGGTCACTGCCAGATGGCCTTCGCAGCCTACCACTTCTGCATCACCGGCCTCACGCTATGGGTACTATCCCGACCGTGGTGCGGCACTTTCCAGAGCAAGCCCATCCCAATCTTCCAGATCCTGCCCCTAGTGGCCCTGATGAGCTCGCAGGTCATCCTGCAGAACTTGTCCCTAGCTTTCTCCTCCGTCATCCTGCACCAGCTCGTGCGCCTCCTCCTCACCCCAGCCACCGTCCTCCTCAACTTCCTCCTCTACGGCGTGACCATTCCATCTGCGTCCGTCCCCCCGCTCGCCACGCTGTGCTTCGGCGTCGGCGTCGTCACATACTACGACTCTTTGCCGGCGTCTGCCTCTGTGGAAGCCGCGTCCACCTCCTCGAAGGGCGTGCTGTTTGCCCTTGCAGGCGTCCTCGCCAGCGCACTCTACACGGCTCTCATCGCGCGGTATCACCGCCACTTTGAGCTCAATAGCATGCAGCTTTTGCTAAACCAGGCTCCTGTGGCTACTGTGCTACTGGCCTTTGTTGCTCCGTTTGCGGAGGGTCCTCCTGCGATGGTGCCATCGTCACTGTGGGGGTCTATTCTGATGGTGAGTTCTCCTCTCCCCCCCCTCCGGACATACACGCGAACAGAGAGAAGGAGACAGGGAAAACAGAGGGAGTCTAATGATGTAAGTAGAGCGGTGTATTGGCCTGCCTAGTCAACGTCTCCCAGTTCTACATCATCGACGGGATCGGCCCAGTGAGCAGCACGGTCATCGGACACTTGAAGACGTGTATTGTAGTGGGGCTAGGATGGGCACTGAGTGAGCGGCCGGTTCTACGACAGAGTATTGGCGGGGTTGTTATAGCATTGGTGGGGATGACGCTGTACGTCACTTCTTTATCATCTCTCTATATGGTTTGGTCGGCTAACTTGTATAGGTATATGAAGGTGGTGGCGAGAGGTGGTGCACAGTGATTTCCTATCTACAATGTATTGTTAAATATTTGTTTCTTTTTCGTATACAAATATCGTGTCAATTAGTATATGTGGGCTCATGCAGATTATGAATTCAGTCAGTCAGAATGCATATAGCCCTAAGTTGCAACCGATTCACTAGACGAAATAAGACATCAGAACTCCAAAGTCCAAGATCCAAAATCTGGAAATCCACCCAATCCCTCGCCGGAGAGAGAACAAAAGAATAAACGGATTAGGATCGCCGGATTAGGATGGCATTGTGCCAAATACGACCTGACAGTCGCATCGTCTCCACATCGATCGCGATCTATATATATCTAAATGTACTCTCTCGCTCTATTCGACATATATTTACACCTTTACATCTCTACACACAGAACTTCACAGATAATCTACACACCGTAATCATGGCCACCGGCCCATCCACTAAACGCTCCTCCAAGCGTTACCTGAGATGGTTCCTCGCCGTCGCCGTCCTCCTCGCCCTCATCTATAGCCTCCCCCAAGACGTCTCCCACCGTCTCCACGAAAAAGCGCCCTTCATCTCATCAATTAAGACACCGCCCCAAGCACGCCAAATTTCAGCAGAATTGCTCCTATCCCGCCCCCTGGCTCACAGAGATCACACCACCATCCCCAAAATCATCCACCAGACATGGTTCCCAGCAGGGACCAACATGTCCGAGCGTGCCCAACGCTGGGTGAATACCATGCGCGGGCACAACCCCGACTGGGAATACGTGCTGTGGGATGACAAAACAAATAGACTGCTGGTCGAGACGCATTGTCCTTGGTTTTTGGAAGCCTATGATGCACTGCCGCAGGAGATTCTGCGCGCTGATGTTATTCGAAATTTGTATATGTTTGTTTTTGGGGGGTATGTTTCTTCCTTTCCCCCCTTATTTTGCTTGGGTTTGTTGTATCTATCAAAAGAGGAAGTACTGACTAGATAGAATGTACGCCGACGTCGACACCGAAGCGCTCCGTCCCACGGACGCCCTCTTCGCCAGCTATGCTACTTCTCTGTCGCCGCATCTGGGCACACTGACAGACGCAAAGAACCCATCTGAGACCATGCAGCGAGCTTTTCTCGGCCGCATGAGCCGCAGCGAAGACATACAGAGCTCAGCGGCCGTGCCCAACGGATGGATGGCGTCCCCCCCAGGCCACCCCTTCTGGCTACTCCCCGTGCTGCACGTCCTCGAGCAGCCCGATGGCACAGGCGACGGGTCCGTCGAGGGCATGACAGGCCCGGGAGCCCTCAGCGTCGTCATCGGGCGGTACTACGAGAAGTTTGCGAACGGGACGGCGCGGGCTCACGCCTGTGAGGCGATCCAGCGGTGGGAGCCTGGGTGGGATCTCTTCTGTCAGGGGGAGGGCGTTGCCGATCTGCAGGATCGGTTGGTGCTGCTGCCGCAGAAACAGGTGTATCCGTTTAGCTGGGTGGATGACCAGGACTCGGTGTGTCTGGCGGCGTGGGGGAATCCGTTGTTTGATCCGGAGGAGTGTAAGAGGGTGATGGATGTGGATGCTTGGCCGAGTTATTTTATCACGTATTGTACGCATTCGTGGTGATATCTTACTCTACTGGATTATAATATACTTTTCTAATAATTTTAATTTACTTAAATGATAATTCTCCTTGTGTAGTACTTTCTGAATTCCATTCAACAAATCTGGTTCGGTGGACGAATCGAGACGGAGGTAACAGTCGCAGTGCCATTGATCGGATCCATTGTGACATTGATCCACTATCATGTATAAGTATTAAATAGTACTTAACCATGTAGACAGACTGACAGATTTTTTGATTATGCGGTAAAGCACAATGATCGAGACAAGTCGGTCGTGGTCGACTGCGTTCTGCGTGGTGTATGTATCCTGACCATGCTAGCCCTAACTCACTAATATTGACATCCATCTGTATAGATCATGGATATTCTGGTCTAACATCACCATCCTCTTCAACAAATGGATTATCGAGACGGCCCAATTCAGTGAGTACCATTATAGCGTCCATCCATATACATCCAACTAATAGTATACAGAATTCCGTAAGTTCCCCGACGGACATGAGAGAATAATCTCTAACAAACCAAGCTGTCATCCTCCCAACATGGCACCTCATCTTCGCCACGCTGGCCACGCAGGTCCTCGCTCGCACGACAACTCTACTGGACGGTCGAAAGAACCTCAAATTGACGCCGGGGTTACTCTTTCGCACGTTGGGTCCCATCGCCGTGCTGAATAGCGGGAGTTTGATCTGCAGTAATATGGTGTATCTGTATCTGAGTGTGCCATTTTCGCAGATGTTGAAGGTATCTCTCTCTCTCTCTTTCTCTTCATCCATTATCTTCTCTCTATCCAGAGATTGCTCGATGTATACTAATAGAAAAAAGGCAACCGGCCCAGTAATAACCCTTCTAACAAGCTGGCTCTGGGCCGTGTCCACACCCTCCAAAACCGCCCTCATCAACATCCTGATCCTAACAGCCAGCATCGCCTTCACGACAACCGGCGAACTGCACTTCTCCTGGCCAGGTCTCGGCTTCCAGCTCGCGGCGCTCGCCTTCGACGCCAACCGGCTCATTCTCATCCAGATCCTGCTAGCAGACGATGATCCCGCGCGGTCGATGGACCCGCTCGTGAGTCTGTATTACTATGCGCCTATGTGCGCGGCTATCAATGCTGTCGTTGTCTGGTTTACTGAGTGGGAGGCGTTCTCATGGGAGGCGGTGCTCCAGACGGGGGTGGGGGTGTTGGTGTTGAATGCTGCTGGGGGATTTATTCTGAATGTGGTGGTGTTTTTGTTGGTATGTTTCTTTTCCCACTCTACATCATATATGTGTATATATAGGTATACATATATGTGTAGATGTGGTATTATCACATAGGCTAACAAAAGCAGATCAGACAAACCTCCGGCCTAACCACCACCCTCGTCAGCATCCCCAAGAACATCCTGCTTGTCTTTGCAGCTGTCCTCATCTGGGATACCCCGGTGACAACACGACAGGTAATCGGGTACGCAGTGGCGCTGGCAGCGCTGCTCAATTACTCGGTGGGATTGGGGACGATCGCGCATCGGGTGGGGGGTGGTATTCGGGGATGGATTGGGATGGGAGGGAAGGGTGGGATTACGGATGGGAGGGAGAGGAAGGGGGATGGTGAGGCTGTGTAGAATTTTTCTCTTTTGATTTTATTTTATTCTAATTGTATTACTTGTTTGAACCGTTTATTGATGGTTAGCCACTGTGTAGTATCTGTATAGAAACAGATGGATGAGGGTTACCGCTTGCGGTATATCAAGTCAAATGTAACATGAACCACCATTTAGTTACAACATACCTAGTCCTCTTCGAACCATGGTAGTAATATCCTTTTCAATCAAATTTAGAAAAAGACAATCCTCCTACTAAAAATAACACAATACCACACCATCAACCAGCCAAAGAAGGAGGCACAGCATCCCTCCCCCACGCACTCTCCTCTGCCCCCAAAACAAGCACCAGCTCCCTCCCCTCCGTAAAAAAATCATGCCCCACCCAGCTATTCTCATGCGGAGCCCCATCCAGCCTCGCCTCCTGAATGTAAATGTTCTTATAAGACGGATCAAAATTAACAGCGCGCACAGTAGCCGTCTTCCCCGTCAGCGGGGACGTGATGCGCACCGTCTCAAAGAACGGCGCTGTAATAAGATACACGTTTTGGCCTGGGTTCGGAAACAGACCCATCATGCTCATTGCGACGAAGGAGCCCATTGCGCCGGAGTCGTCGTTGCCTGGGAGTCCGGCTGGTGTGGGGGAGAAGAACCGCGGGATGTAGAAGTGGGCGCGTTCGGTGGACTTTGCGGGGCGGCCGGCGTAGTGGTATTGAAAGACTGTTAGGAAAGAGGGCTCGTTGCCGATGTAGGTTAGGCCGCTGTCGTGGAGGTAGTCGAGACGCCGGATGAAGTCGCTGGGGCCGCCGAGGTGGGCGATGAGGCTGGACATGTCGTGGGGGACGAAGCTGTTCCTGTTAGATACTGACAAGGAAGCGAGAGGGAGAAGGGGGAAGGAAGGCTTACAATTGATACTCCCAAATACTCGACTCAAAAGTCTCGGCGGCATCATTCGTCAACGAACAAGCCCTCCCACTCTTATCCAAATTCGAACAGGTCATCGGATCCTGGTATCCCCACGTCCCATTCAAATACTTCGGCTGAAAGAAGCCCCTAAAGCCCGTATCACTCCCATTCACAACAGACGTCTGATCCTCCCGGAACAGATTCTTCCAATACCCAGAGGTCCCCTCGTAGTGCTCCGCGTCGTCGAGGATGTTCAGCCCGCGCGCGATCTGCGCAATCGCATAGTCGTTGTATGCGTATTCCAGCGTGCGCGAGACACTGCGTGTCATGGGACCGAATCCGACGTGGTCAAAGTCTTCGACGGGGATGTAGTGGAGGGATTTCCAGCTTTCGAGCCCGCCACGGCCTTCGTTGGACCAGTCGTAAGGCTCTTCTTCGGCGTCGCGCTTTACGGCGGTATACCCTGCTTGCCAGTCGATTCCGTCGGTGATGTTCTTGACGAAGGCGTCTGCGAGGACGATGTCTGCGTCGGAGCCGCCTTGGGTGTAGCCTGTGGATATCAGCTGTGTTGCCTAAGATAGGATAGGGCTCAATGTGACGGACCTTTGCAGAGTGACATGCGGCAATCAGGGAGCCAGCCCAGATGGCGCTGGGTGTCGATGAGAGATCGAATCATGCGACTCAGCGCTGAGGGATCAAAGATAGCTAGGAATGGGAGCTGGGATCGGAACGAATCCCAGAGACTGTCTTGTTAGACAACGCCCAGCAACCAGAAAGTAGGGCATGCTCACCAATAGAAAGAATCAAAATAAGGCTCCGTACTCTCCCACAGCGGATTCTCCCCCGCATAGTCCTGCGGATTGACCATCGTCCGATAAATACTACTATAGAAGTTGGTCAGAACCGAGGAATTCACCCCCGTACTCGACACGCGGATCGGCGCCATCTTCTCCCTCCATCTCTCCGTCGCCACCGCGCGCGTGGCGTCGAAATCGAATGTCGGGATTTCAGATTCCGCGTTGTGACACGCTTGCTCGATGCTGATGAAGCTGAGGCCGACCCGGGCTAAGATGTCACGGTCTCTGGGGTCGTGAAACCGGACGAATGCGCCTCCCTGTGAATTCAATCAGCCAGGATTTCCCCAAATATATGACCACGGAGTATATCCATCGATAAACGCCATTGTATGTGTCATACCGGAAGAGGATACCCATTAATACTCCTCGAGATTTTCAAATCCTGCACCCCAGCACTAGCCCTCGAATTGACAAAGACGCCACTATCCCTCAGCCGACTATGGCTGTGAAAGTCCACACAGAAATACGGCGTATAATCACCACTCCCAAAGCTAGGCAAGAAGCGCGCATAGCCCGTCATACGCCCGGTGTCCGGGTCCACCGCAATGCTCGCATTATCCTGCCTCGTATCAGACAGATCCGTCAAATCCAGCAAAATCAACGGACTCGTGTCCTGCCCGGCGGGGAACGCAAAGCGGAAGAGCGACGCGTGGTGCGAGACGGTCATATCGACGTGGATCCCCGACGCCATGGTCAGACCGAAGTACCCGGGCCGCGCGGTGACCGAGTCCGCCGCGTAGGTCGTCTTGCGCAGTTTCTTGGGATACGTGCAGCCGTTGACGTCGTCGTTTGCGCACTGGGTGTACGGGAAGAGGGGGAAGTTGCCTAGGGACGGTGCGCCGCCTGTGCCTGAGTCGTGGAGGCTGCTGAAGCCCGTGATGTTGCTGCCGTCGAACGCGAAGCCGCCTTGGTTGCTGCCCGAGTCGGTGTCGGCGACGGCTTTGGCCATGCCATAGGGTAGGGACGCGCCGGCGAAGACGTTGCCTGCATGGGATTAGATGGGTGTTGCGTTTTAGGAACTGGGGATTGGGTCATACCGCCATTGGCGCTGCCGATGAGAGGGTCAACATATTGGAGTACGTCGTCGTCTGGAAGAGCTGCTTGGACGGTCGAGATGGCGCAAAGCAGCGCGCAAATGGCCCGGAAAATCATCGTCAAAGTCGTCTGTTCGTAGAGAAAGCCGGACGAAAGACTGAGTGTCCGGAAGCTTCAGCGACCAGGCTGATCGTTTCCTCGGCCACAACACCAAGGGGCCCGGTGGAATGCTGGCCAGCCAGTCTTCGACCGCCGTGTAATTTCCCGGTGGAATGCATCGTTCCTATGCCTCCCGCTGTGTCCAGGAGCAGACCCAACGGACATGAATGGTCGTCGTGCGACGGGGCACAGACGGTCGGTGGAATGTTGGCCGGTGGAACGCGTTGAATGTGCCAAGATTGGCATTCGGTCGGGCCTAATGAGGGATGCGACGGCAGGGATGATTGCGCCCGGTGGTGGTTTGACTCGACGACTACATGATCCCAACCACCCCAGGGTACGTCTACAACAATTCGATCTGACATGGGATATATATATATGCATTCTCCTGACCTACTACGCTATTCAACACGACCACAGGTTCCAGCGGTAAAACCCACTCAATCCATGGTATAGACCGGAGACTTGACCAGCACGTTCATCGGTCCTCGTCCACGCACCTCCGCCGTCACAAAACACGCCAACCGGACCCGACCGTGACCGGCCGAGCCACCTCGCTCCTCGGCCACGGGCCGGGATGCCTCGCCGCTGGAGCCCGCGGCGGATCCGGCGGCGGGCCCTGGCGGCGCCGGTCCCCCGGCATTCGGGACCGGTCGGCGACCCATCATCAGCGAGGTGAACATGGACCGCCGTTGTTTGCCGTCCGGGGGTATGGGTCCCGACGGGTCGTCGCGATCCGCGTCGGCCTCGTCCGGGCCGGGTCCCTCGGGCGACCGGTCCTGGTCGACGGAGCCGCGTAGCGCCCCGCCGGAGATGGCCTCGCTGCTGACGCCGGTCAGGGGTGGGATGCCCGTCTCCACCTTCATGGTCATCTCCCGCAGCGGGGTGCCGGGGAGCACATACTCGATGCACACGTCGCGCGACTCCAGCGGGATCTTGTCGGCGATGCCCACGGCATTCTCCACGATCATCCGCACCCCGTTGTCGATACCGGGCGGCGGGGGATCGCCCAGATGCATGACCAGCGTGGCGACGAGGTTGGACACCAGGCGCTCGATCAGGTCGGCGCGATACGTGTCCGCGGCGGGCCCGTGCAGCGCCTCGGTCAGCCCGTCGAGCGTGGTGCGGCGCCAGTTGGAGATGCGCGCGATGGCGTTCTCCTTGTCCTCCTCAGTGGTTGTCTGACCCTGCTGCCGGCGCAGGTTCATCTCGATGCTCTTGAGCTGGCGGCTGAGCGAAGACTCGAGGGCCGGGTGGAAGTGACACTCGAAGAGCTCGTCGACGAGCCAGCGGCTGATGACCGCCCGGCCAATGGCGGTCATCTCCTTGGTGCCCGTCTGATGGGCATCGTCGTTGACAAATCCGACCAGCCACGAGGGCAGGCTCTTCCAATCTTTGCGGACGGCGAAGGCTAGATCCTTGATGGCGCCCTCGAGGCGACCGAACCGGTTGGCATACTCATTATCATCCAGGACCGTGCGCGAGACAGCCATGCGCTGGTGGGCGACGGTGTTCTGGAGGTGCTGCACCTGGGCTTCCTTTTCGAAATAGTAGCGTTTCACCTTGGAATATTTGGCCTCTGTGTATTGTCAGTGGGATCGATCACGGGATAGAAAAAAAAAATCAAATAAAGAAATAAATAGAAGAGAGAAGACATACGCAGTTCGTCATGTTTCTGGACCAAGGTGCGGACGTCCACGTCCGCTGATTCCTCCCGCGCCCGGTTGCTGGGCGCGGTGGGAGGACTCCGACCGGACTCAGAGGACGGTGGGGGTGGCTGCGATTGGGATTGTTGCTGCGAGTGGGGCGGGGTCGCGGCATTGCCGCGGAGCCCAGTTTCTGGGGCGGAGCCCTGGGGGTACGGCGAATGGCCGCCGGAGGAGGCGGCGGCGGCGGCGGCGGCAGCGTTGGCGGACGAACCAGCCGGGGAACCGCCGGACGGGCGATCAGACATGCCACTCAGCGAGGTTGCAGATGAGAACTCGGAGTGGGGTGGTTGCGGGGGCAGCGGGGACGGCGGACCGAGCGACTGGCGGGACGGGGGTCGGGTGTGCAAGAGACGGTCAAGGTGCGGGTTGCTGGCGTTCCCCTCGGAGGGCAGTCGCGACGATTCAACAGGGGAAGGGCGGTATAAGCTCTCAAGGCGCGAAGAATCGGTGGTGGATCGCTGAATGGCGGGGGGTGGGGGGAGGGGCGAATGGGGCGTTCGTACGGCGTTCTGCGGCATGGATGACTCGGAGGAATTCTGAGGGGGCTCTACTGCATCGTCTGGGGCACTAAGCGCCGGACGATGGTGGTGGTGGTGATGGTGGTGTTGATGGGTTTTGGTGTTGGTGTCCAGGGACAACGGGCGGCGATGACGCGGGTCCGAGGGGGACGGCTTCCTCACGGACAGATTGCGTCCCAAGAACCCGGGTGGGTCTCGCGGGGGGTTGGCGGGGTGTCGCGAGAAGAGACTCCGACGGGACTTGGTCGGAAGCTCTTGATCTTCGAGTTGATCCCCGGAAGACGAGGGCCACGACTGATCGGAGGAGTCAGCATCGATGCAGGGATGCAGCTGTAGCCGCAGGAGAAACAGGAGCAAGCAGTTCGTACCGGTGGAATGGTGGTGGCAGTAGAAGTAGTAGTAGTAGTAGTAGTGGTAGTAGGTGTCGTTGAAGCGGTGGTATTTAAAGTGGTGGTGGGGACCGGCGGGTTCAGCGTGGGCAGAGAGTCAAAATTCTGAGATCGTCGCTGGGACTGTGCGCGACGAGGAAACGAGGGCTGCGTGGCCGAAGAATGAGGCTGAGGCAGCGGCTTAGAAGAGGCGTCTTGGGTAGTGGAGACGGAGAAACGGCGGTCGAGATCGACGACGCCAGGGGGGTTCGATAGGAGATTCTCAACAGAACGGAATGCAGGAGAGGAAGTGGGTGGAGACTTGTGCTTGCTGCGACGGAAGAGGGGCATGGAGATGGAGGGGGAGGATAACAAGATAAAAGAGAGAGAGGAAGAAAGAAGAAGAGAGGAGAGAGGAGAGAGAGGATGAAGTCGAAGTGAAGGAGGAAGGAAGGAAGAAGGAGCGAAAGGAGGCGATGCGGGACAGGCGGGCACGTGATTGGCTGCGCTGACATCAGAGCATCATACAGACGATCAAGAACGATCAATAGATAAATAGATAGATAGATACTTATTATATGTTCTATTTGTGTTGTTTAAGTTCGACTTACTCTGGTCTGTACGGAAATGATGCAACAACGGGGGGGAAACAAGGCGGAAACAAGTGGGGTGCCTGAGTGGACAGGAACAGTGCGCATGAGTCAGCTGTGCAGCACAACAGACAAACATATCAAATAAACAGAACATACTGAACAAACATAGCAAACTAAACAAACAGCTAATTTCATCGTCACCACTTGGTACATCTTCATCTTCATCTCCATCTGATATTCGGTTGGTTCAGTCTGTTCTCTCCCACCAGTCCCCTCATGTCGTCCCAATTCCTCAATCGCTCCCTCTTACGGGAGGTAAGTACCCTTCCATCCGTCTAGTCAAGGGAAACGAGCAAACAAACTCATGTTCAACCAGGTGACCAAGTCCCCCATCTCCGCCTCGTATACTCGCATCACTCCGGCTCTCCCGGCCATCTCCCGTTCATTCGCTTCCAACTCCGCGCCCCGTCCGTCATCTCTTACCCTATTGCAACATGTCCAATCTCACCCCTCCCCGCACACTCGGAGGGCGGCCTCCCGACTGGCACAGGCCATTATGCCCCGTCCCGGCAGTTCGACCGAAAACTACGTGGCGTACGGAATGACCCAGAAGCTCTTTGAGGCCTGCTCGACCCAGGCCGATTACAGTATACCCCAGGTCGCACAGAAAGGAGCCCAAGTCCCCAAGACGGAAGGCGGGGAAGATCTGGGTGTAGGGACGGGTTGGTGGTATGAAGGTAATTGACACCCTCCACTCTGAAATCATCGCATTCCCTCAATGCGAAAAGAATAAGGAGGAGAAGAAATAACATCCGCAGAACTGGGCCTCCTCCCCACCTTCTCCACCTGGTCCCAAGTCACCTTCCTCCACATGTACCTCCTCACCGTCCGCTTGCGCGCCCTGCCCTCGCGCGACAGTCTCCAGACCTACTCCCGCCACCTGATCGACCATTTCTCGCACAGCGCCGAACACCGCATGGACGTCCTCCACGGCTTCACCAGCCGAGCGATCCGCAACAAGTTCCTCAAGGACCTCTTCATCCAGTGGCGCGGCGTCCTCGCCGCCTACGACGAGGGCCTCGTCAAGGGCGATGCCGTCCTGGGCGCCGCCGTCTGGAGGAACCTCTGGAAGGCCAACTACAACGCCCCCGACGGCTCCGAGCTCGACTGGGCCAAGATCGCCCAGGTTGTCGCCTACATGCGCCGGGTCACCGCCGACCTGGCCCAGATGTCCGAGGCCGATCTCGTGACCAATCTGGCCCATCCGACGGGCGGGAAGCCCGCCGTCTTTGGGTACTCCGAGCTGGATAAGCGGCTGGTGGAAGCTAAGCGATGAGTTTGGTCGCACTCATGATGAATCGACTGTCTAATTACTGTTATTTGTATTATTATTTCTACGAGATGTCTTACTGAAATATTGACACGAGACTTGTCTATTAATCAAATGATGTACAGTAATCTCCTGTGCGCTCCATTGTACCCCAAGAACCGACCAGGACACCAGACGAGATCGTTTCCAAATTTGGGATGTCATAATTATAGAACCGGGCGGAGCCAGTGCTGACCCACCGGACGGAGAGCCGACATCCGCTGACGTTAGATGGTTGGCGGTGGCTCAGCTCGCACGCGTGCCAGTAGTCCCGTCTCCAGTGCGATAGGGAGAGGATCTCTCGATAAACCATGTCCGGATCGGCTGATCGGCTGATCGGCGGACGAGGATGATAACTGTCGGTTCGGAGCCTGACAGCCCTGCAGTCGAGAGACGGATCGTGATGCGTCAATTGAAAGCGATGGGTCATCGTAATAGATAGGTAGATGTATAGAAAGATGGATAGATAGATAGGCCGCCCGCAACCTACTCTACCCCTGCGACAGAAAGGCAGACCGCTCGAGCCAGACCAAAGATCGGCCGAGAGCACTAGCGACGACCCTTAGGCTTCCCCCGACTAGGCTTCTTCCTTCCAGCCAAGGCCTTCCCTTTAACAGAGAAGATGTCACTCTTGCTGAGATTGAGCGTCCCGCCGGCGAATTTGCCGACCGAGGGTCCACCGACGCCGCGCTCCCGGTGTCCGCTGCTCGACTTGCTCTTCTTGTGCGTGGGCTTCTCGAGGATGATGCCGTTCTCCCGTGCGTCGCGGCGGCGCTTGTCTTCCTTCGTCTCGGCCTTGGCTTTGATGCCTCTCCGGTGTGCGGACGGCATCTTCTGGTGATACAGCGATGATTTGGCGCCGAGTTCTTGCATGCGCAGATCGAGCGCCTTCAGTCGGTTCTTTCCCGTCGGGGCTAAATCGGATGCGTCTTCCAAAAGGTGCGACTCCTTGAGTAGTCGTTGCAAGGCGAGGTCGTGTTTCAGGTTGTCGGCCTCCTTGGGGTCGTCCTCTTCTTTCTCTTTGGTCGGGGCGCGCTTGACGGCGGTCGGTTTCTCCGCGAGAGACGGAAGTTTGGAAGACTGCAGTGGCTGGCCGTTAGCTTGACCTCGCTCTTCAAGCTGTAGATAGAGAAGATGGACATACCATAAAGGCTTTGCGAGCCTTTTTGCTCGCCAGATGCTCGCTCGAGGATGCATCTCGGTGCTCGACCACCTCCACTTCGCCTTCTTCATCCTCGCCAGACACGCCGCTCCATTCGGACCCAGATTCGGAATCAGAACCTTCTTCATCGAAGTCGTCTTCCTCTGCCTCGTCGGACTCTTCGCCGACAGCCTCCTCGGGCGCCTCAATGGGTTCAAATTGCGCCTCGAAAAATTTGCGAAAGACGTCATGGGCCGACGTATCGGCGACAGCAGGAGGAGCGTCTTCCTCCACCTGGGCGGTCGATCTCGACACCACCGACGTATCTCTCTTCCGTTTGCCTACCATTTTTGCTTCAAATCCTGTAGAGATGGGTTGTGTCATGGAGAGAAGGGCCTTGGTTGCTCCGCGGAGGTAAATTTTCGGCCAGGTCACGTGCGATAAGATAGGAACACCCCTCGATCATCCCCACCAAAGATGGCGCATCGAAAAACCTCATTGCCAACATTGCCAGCACAGCCCATTGCACGCCCGAAAATGACCAAATTCCGCCCTTGTATTGACCTGCACTCGGGGCAGGTGAAGCAGATTGTCGGGGGCACGTTGAGCACCGTGGCTGCGGATCTCAAAACCAACTACGTCTCCAAGCTCCCCGCGAGCCATTATGCGGCCCTCTATCAGAAGCACAACCTCCGTGGCGGTCACGTTGTCATGCTGGGACCGGGGAATGACGATGCTGCGAAGGAGTCCCTTAGTACGTGGCCGGGAGGGTTGCAGGTCGCTGGGGGAATCACGGATAAGAATGCCCAGTATTGGATCGACCAGGGTGCGGAGAAGGTGAGCGATTCGTATTGACGACAATGCCACTGATTAATTGGCGTGCGAGTGCTGATGTCAAGATATAGGTGATCATCACCTCCTTCCTCTTCCCGGAAGGCAAGTTCTCCCAGGAGCGTCTAGAATCAGTACTGGCTGCGCTGGGTGGAGACAGGTCGAAGCTGGTCTTGGATCTGAGCTGCCGGCGGAAAGACAACACCTGGTTTGTGGCCATGAACCGCTGGCAGACGATCACGGAGATGGAGATTAACCAAGGTACGTACTCTCACTTGTTTTTCGCGTTTATAGACACACCCTGACCGCCGCAGAATCCATCTCGCTGCTCGAGCCCTACTGCTCCGAATTCCTCATCCACGCCGCCGACGTGGAAGGACTGCAGCAAGGTGTGGACGAGGAGCTTGTGCGCAAGCTCTCCCAGTGGTGCACTATCCCCATCACCTATGCGGGCGGTGCGCGCAGTCTGCAGGACCTCGAGAAAGTCCACGCCAGTAGCCAAGGAAAGGTGGACCTGACGATCGGTAGCGCTTTGGACATTTTTGGGGGTTCTGGGGTGACTTTCGACGAGTGTATCCAGTGGAACCAGACGCATTAGATTTTGATAATCGATAAATGTATATAGACGATGATTTAGAACTTTATGCGGCCAGACAAGATCCTATACTTGCTCTATATGTGGATAGATCACGTGCACGGAGATTTGCGGAGACCGAATCGGCGAAACAACTTCTCTCCAACATCTACTTTTCACCCGTTCGCGCTCATTGAGGGCGCACTATCCATTAATTCAATATATTGAAGATACTCCAAATTACTGGAGTTGCTCTTTACCAGAGCAACCAGTGACCATGAACCACGCCACCCGACGCGCCGTAACGCAGCTCCTCAAGCGACAAACCCAGCGAAGCCGCATCCCGTCGCGACGATGCGCCTCGACTTTCCAGAAGAGACAGTGGTCGACACCACTCGCGCAAAACCTCGCCAACGCGATCAAAGTGACCGGACCGATCCCCATCGCAGCATTCATGCGTCAAGTGCTCACCTCACCGGACGGAGGGTACTACACGACGCGCCCCGAAGGCGACGGTGAGGTCTTCGGCAAGCACGGTGACTTCGTCACGTCGCCTGAGATCTCGCAGGTCTTCGGCGAACTGGTCGGTGTGTGGACGATCACCGAGTGGATTGCACAGGGGCGGAAACGCAGCGGAGTCCAGCTGATTGAAGTTGGGCCTGGCAAGGGGACGCTGATGGATGATATACTACGGGTGGGTTGAGTCAGGCTTGGTTGGATCAGTTGGAGGTCGATGCGTACGGAGTGGATGCTGACGTTTTGCGCGTCCGATTATAGACTTTCCGGAACTTCAAAACGTTTACGTCGAGCATCGAGGCGATCTACCTCGTCGAAGCGAGTCCTACGCTCCGCGAGGTGCAGAAAAAGCTCCTCTGCGGCGATGCCCCGATGGAGGAGACGGAGATTGGACATCGCAGTACGAGCAAGTATTTCGATGTGCCGGTAGTCTGGGTAGAAGACATCCGGTTATTACCGCAGGGTGAGTGAAGAGGACCGGACGACGACCTGTGGTTCAATCGCTAACACCGAAAACCACAGAGGAGGACAAAACACCATTCATATTCGCCCACGAATTCTTCGACGCCCTTCCCATCCACGCCTTCGAATCCGTCCCCCCATCACCAGAGAACCAGCCCCAAGAATCCCAACAGATCATGACCCCCACAGGACCCCAAAAGCTCCACCGCCCCCTCAAAGCCGCCAACACCCCCCAGTGGCGCGAACTCATGGTCACGCTGAACCCCAAAGCCGTCGAAGAGGACCTCCCCGGCGAGGCAGAGTTCCAACTAACGCGGGCCCCCGCATCAACCCCCTCATCGCTTGTCATCCCCGAGATCTCCGAGCGTTACAAAGCACTGAAGAACCAGCCCGGCTCGACCATCGAAATCAGCCCCGAGAGCCGAATCTACGCGTCTGATTTCGCCCGCCGCATCGGAGGCGCCAGCATCAACACCAAACAAGGTGCCGCTGCACAAAAACCACCGCCTCCCCCCGCGAAGCACACCCCCTCCGGCGCAGCCCTCATCATGGACTACGGCACAATGTCCACCATCCCCGTGAACTCACTGCGCGGAATCCAGAACCACAAGAATGTCGCGCCGCTGTCATCCCCAGGCCAAGTGGACGTCAGCGCCGACGTCGACTTCTTCTCACTAGCGGAGGCGGCCATTGACGCCAGCGAGGGCGTCGAAGTCCACGGCCCTGTCGAGCAGGGTACCTTCCTGCGGAGTATGGGCATCGCGGAGCGCATGCAGCAGCTGCTTAAGGGTGTTGAGGACGAGGAGAAGCGCAAGACGCTGGAGAGTGGGTGGAAGCGGTTGGTTGAGCGTGACGGGGACGGTATGGGTAAGCTCTATAAGTTTTTGGCCATTGTACCTGAGAAGGGCGGCAAACGGCGGCCGGTTGGGTTTGGGGGGAACGTTGTCATGTAATAGTTTAGAAGAGAAAAAGTGTGTAGTATATTGTAATATAGATAGACGATACTTGTTTCACATATGCCAACGAGGCGTTCTCCAAAACATACTGTCTAGAATCTAAGTACTCAAGTAAAACGGGTATCTCCCACGCACAGAAACAACCAGCGAAGCAATCAAAACCAAAATCCAAAGAGAGGGGAAAAAATCAATACATCTGCCAAACATCCTCCGCATAAGCCTCCGTCAGCCGCACATCCTTCCCATACTTCTCCTGCCACTCGACGAACCCGCCCTCGAGGACAAACACCTCCTGACCGGTCTTGGCCGCCTCCTCGGCACCGAGGACGCGCTCGCGCTCGCGGGCGTAGCGCAGTGCCGCGGAGGGGCCCCGCTGCTGGCTGAGAGCGCAGTGGAAGACGACCTTCTCTTTGTCTTTGAGGGTGCGGATGAGTTCGGGGAGGTGGAGCTCGAGAGAGGAGCTGGGGATCCAGGTGGAGGTGGTGATGTGGCCGCCGACGTGGTCTGTTCTGTTGTTAGATGCTTTCAGGTATGGGGGAATAGGTAGGGGAAGAGGTAGTACCCGAGTCGCGGACGTCAATAATGGCCAGCTTGCTGGGGGAACTGGTTGAAAGGAGGAGCTCGGACAGGGCGTCCCGACTCATGCGGGGAAGAGTCCCGATGGTGATGATAGACATTTTTTATCTCCGATGTTGCTTCTGGGTGGGCTGCTTTCGGGAAATGACGAGAACGACGAGAGCGGCGAGATTAGAGCCGAGGTAGTCACAGGCCAACCGATATGATATGATGGAGCGGCCGTTGACGGAGAGTGAGGGGAAGATGAAGCTAAAAACATTCGATCGCGGGGAAGAATGAGGCGGTCACGTGCCGCGGTGTTTGCCTTGGGCATCATACTACGTTTGGAGATTCGCTTCTAGGAAGACTGTGAAATAACCCGTGAAAATGGAAAGAAAAGAGCATAGAAATTGGTGGAATTCACTGATCCCTCCTCCATGCCGCCCCGATGTATATACGCTCATAGTTCCGTGTCGTCATGGCCTACAACGGGATCATCGCCCACGTCCACATCGATTGGGTCTTCCCATGACTGCGAGATTAAGGTAGCCACGTTGTGACCCATCAGAGCGCTGGTTTCCATCGTGGAGATGAAGCTCTCGATGCCTCCCGTGTACCAGATGTTCGAGGATAGCTCCGTGTCCTCGAAGGTGACCCGAGGGTAGAGGAACGGATAGGGGTTCCAAATCTTTTCGTGGAACCAGCTGACATCGCTCTTGGGAAGATCAGCAATAGTCTGGTTGGCAGTGCTGGCTGCACCGTCGGCGTTCAGGCCCAGGATGCTTCGCAGGAACTCAGCGGTTGGTTGTTCGGGCGAGAAGATCTTGTAGACATAGTGGTCCTGATCGTCGTGAGCGGATGAGCGACGCGGCTTGGCGGTTTGGAGGGTGCTGATGCTCCAGAAACCGGCTGGGCCCACGCCTTGTCTGCTTGAACCGAGGTCGGTTCCCTCCGGCAGCGTGGTTAGGACCGTCTCCGGGACCTGGTCGTCGGGCCCCGTTCGACCAAAATACTTGGGCAAGAGTCGGTGTGGAGACGAAAACAGCGTCACATAAAGCTCGACGTAGGGGATCTCATCCGGAACAATGTCGAGGGGCGGATTGATCGCGAGATCGGAATACTGGAGAGGACCGGCAATAACCACCTCATCGAATGTCTGCTTCTGTTCGGCATTGTTCGCTTCGAACGTCACAGTCAAGCTGTGATCATGATTTCGGTCAATAGAGGTCACGGCGTGGTTGGCTCGGACGTTCGCCTTTGCAGCCTTGAGCATTCCATCAAAGATGCGCCAGTTCCCGCCTTCAATGGCCATTGCTCCATCCGTAGCCATGCACACCATCGCCTCGAGACCGTGGATCAAGGGAAGATTCTGTCCGTAGTTTACGCGCGTGCTGGCCTGGATGATTTCCCGAGCAAATTCGGGAGATACGCTGTTCTGATCGAGGTACACGCTCCCAGGAGCGGCGGTTGTATCGAGCAAACCGACCGCTTCAGCGGCAGCCGAGAGGGATCGGAACGGGAAGAGAGGTTCATCGTAGAGCCGCAAGAACTTGCCCACAGTGGCCTTCATCAGGCGCTGTGTCCGCACCGGTGCCCATCCATAACGCCAGAGCAATTTACCAATGTTCCACCAGCTGTAAGTGTCCTGCAATATGAATACAAATTGCTCTCCATCCCAGATCCCAATGGTGTCCACGGATTCTCTGGGGCGGGCGTGACCGGCGCTGCGGGCGGACAATCCCAGATCCCGGGATGCATTCACTAGATGCTCATTGACTTGGACAAAGATGGATGCCCCTAACTCCACCGGATAGACGGGGTCGTCGAAGACATTGACCGTGGTAGACCGGCCACCGACATGGGACGCACGCTCAAAGACGGTGACGTTGACCGGAATCTCGGAGTCATCGGCATGTTTGCGCAAGAAATACGCCGTGGAGGCCCCTGCAGCGCCCGCGCCTAATCCATACCGTTTAGTCTGGAGAATGGGGATAGAGGAAAGGTAGAATACTCACCGATCACTGCCACTCTCTTGGGTGCTGCATCATCCGCTGTAGCCAACGCAATCAAGGAGAATATGGCCACATAAAGAACAGACAAGGAGTGAAGGATAGTCATCATAGAGGATTCTTTGAATGTAAACACTCCCAGGGGGCTGACTGGTTGATAGTCGAGTATTTGAGTGGTCCTAGCTTAAGCTCTAGGAGCTGGTCAATTGGCGATCAATAGTGTCTCTTGAAGGTCCCAAGCAGACATCCCATATCAAATGGAATTGATTAACAATAGTATATAAGAATAGAATTAATGAGAAAGAATAGTTGAATGAATTGAAACCCAGAAGTGAAACCCAGAAGAGAGATAAAAAAATAAAAGAATGAAGAATGAAGTTGAAGTTGAAGATGGATCACAACATGTGATGTCACCTGCTCTGGAGTGCCTGATACCGTATTTTACCCCGGTACAGCACTAGTCCCATTCTGGACTAGTTCCTTCCTATCGCTTATCGTGATCTTTTGATTTTATTTTTTATCTTCATTTTTTCACTTCGACTTTTGGCCAACAGATTCAAGACCAAGTCAGTCAAACAACTACTGTCTCAATTACAGGACAGGGAATCACACAATCAGTCAGACTTCCTATTCTCAAAGCCCGTGACAGAGAAACAATGGACCCATACGATAGCGACTCGTCGGTCGAGGATGCGGGGGACTTTACAGACACCGGTGTGCTGCTGGGTTATGCGTCGGAGGAGCTGATAGAAGATACGATTAGTCGTCTGGGTGGACGACCGGTATGTGTGATCCCATTCTCTTCTTGTCCCAGGGTTCTGATATACTGATGGTTCGACTGCAGACCTGGATTGACGACGCTACCCCGCCTTCCGGTGATTACGCCAACTGCAAAGTCTGCAATCAACCCATGCTGCTGCTTCTCCAATTGCATGGCGACCTCCCCGATGACTTTCCCAGCGATGAGAGGCGACTGTACATCTTTGGATGCCCGAGAAAACCGTGCAACCGCAAGCCAGGCAGCATCCGGGCTTTGCGCGCCACCAAGAGACTGAAGAACCAGCCGGCCCCGAGGAAGGAGAAGCAAGAACCGGCCAAACCACAACAAGAGTCGAAACCGGAGAGTGACGCTCCCAAGCAGGATCTTGGAGCCAGCCTCTTCGGAGCCTCCACGCTCACTGGAAGTGTTTCCGGTAATGCAAACCCGTTTTCTCTTGCCAGTTCTTCCCCCGCGCCGAGCAACCCGTTCGCGGCCCCCGCCCCGGCCCCGGCTCCAGCGCCTGCCGCTCCTCCCTCCGCGCCTGAAAAGCAACCGTCATCCGAGAATGACGCTTCGCTCGCTGAGTCCTTTGCAGACAAAGTTCGAGTGTCCTCCCCGCCCCCGGAATCGAAGGCCCCCGAACCCAGTGGACCCCCTACGCCGTGGCCGGCCGAGTCTGACTTCCCCGCGCCCTACCCGCAATACTATCTGGACGCCGAGTACGAAACGCTCTCCCGGCCATCCACACCCACCGTGCCCGAGAACGTCACCGTGGAGAACGCCGACGATGACGCCAACGCGGGATCATCCGAGCTCAAGGATACTTTCGAATCGGAGATGGACAAGGCATTCATGAAGTTCTCCACCCGCTTGGCACACAACCCCGAGCAGATCCTCCGATATGAATTCCGCGGCACGCCTCTGCTCTACTCGTACGCCGATCCAGTGGGCGCGCGATTCCACGACGCCGCCGCTGCCAACCCCGGAGCCCGCGTGACGACGGTCGCGAGCAGTGCGAACCGGATCCCCCGCTGCGAACACTGTGGGAGTCAACGCGTGTTCGAGCTGCAACTTGTCCCGCACGCCATCAGCATGCTGGAGGAGGGCCGCGAGGTCGGATTGGGTGCGAAAGATGACGCCGGCATGGAATGGGGCACGATCATCCTGGGCGTCTGTAGCAAGGACTGTGGACCGGAGAAAGTCGGAGTGACGGCGTATCGCGAGGAATGGGCTGGTGTGCAGTGGGAGGAACAGGCGAAATGATTATGATTTATAATGTTGATGACTATAGAAGTACATATCTATTCTTACTTTATTCTATATTGATTCTATACTACTGCCGAATGAGTATAATAGACTAGATAAGGATCCACCGTAATCTCGTGTCGATCATCCCAGCTAAATGAGCCCCTCTTTCATCATATCCAAACTATCCACACCCCTCAACCTCTCCAACATTCTTTCCAACATCCTCTCCAGAGAACCAACATCAACCAACCGCCAAAATGCCAATCTACCACATCGGTACCCACCACTCCCCCTCTCCAACACCCCCCGCCATCTCCAACTAAATAAACCACAGTCCTCTTCCGCCTCAAACCCAACGTCACTCCAACCCAGCTCACAACCTGGTCCCAAACCGCTCAAAACATGGTCGGCCAGATCCCAGGCCTCCGATCCCTCAAGGCCAACACACCGCTGCCTATCTGTGTGCCCCGCGCGAAGGGCTTCAATATGGGTCTCGTGGCTGTGTTGGAGGAGGCCAAGGATGTGGAGGTTTATGCAGGGCATCCGGCGCATCAAGAGTATATCCCTTTCTTTTCCTAAATATTTTTTTTTAATACAGAATGATTATTGTTTTTTTTGAGGATTGGCTTGGGAGTGAGTATGTTATGCTGACTGTTGGTCTGTGGTAGGGTGCAACGTATGCGCGAGGAGCTATGCGAGGAGACGCTGGCTTATGATTTGGAGTTTGAGGAGTAGACTGTGTTGCAACTATATTTTACTTAGTACATATGATATAGAACCGATCAATTCGCTGTTATCATATATATGAAGTATCCCAACCTGTATATAACGGTGAATCAACTATTATCCGCACACGAAAACGTCCCCCCAATATCCCCAGACCGATAAGCATCCACAACAGACTGCAGAATCCCATAAGTGCCCCCAACCGTCATAAACACCCCTATCAGAACCCATACCCAATGCAAGTAGTAAACAACCATCTTAACAGGCGAAGACGAAGTGCGCCAATCGCCGTGGTCGAAAATCCACAACCACGGCGGCAGGATGAGCGCGATAGGCGCAAATCCCAGACTCCCTGCTAGCCCGAGCAGGTAGTTGAAGATGGGGATCGCTGCTGCGAGGAGGAAGGCTACGATAGATAGGCCGACTGTGCAAGAGAGCCAGGTTGCCCAGTGGGTGAAGGTGTTGGATTGGAGGTGGGTGGAGCCGCGGAGGATGCGGACGAAGATGTATTTGGCGGAGACGTGGACCTGCTTGTGTTAGTACCGTGAATATGGTGTATGTTATGGGGATGGGGGAGGGGGAGGAGGGGCCGTACGTAGAGAATGCCGGTTACGATGATACCTAGGAGTCCGACTCCGTAGGATACTTTCTTGAGGGTTGGCCCGGCACTTCCTAGCGATGGAGTCGTGATCCATTTCCCGCACCATCTGTATACGACGAGTCCGAAGGAGAGGTAGGCGGCGGTCACTGTGAACATGCAGAGGTATCTATCCTTATGTTAGCACAACAGATTTCATAGTCCAGTTGGAGACTTCATTCATACAGGGACTTCTTGTAATCTCTCGGTTGGCGCATCTCCGAGATGACAGGCAGGAAGGCGGACGTGCCAGCACTAGCAGAAAACAGCGTGGCAGCGGCACTGATACCCTGCACGAAGGAGGGAAACGCCACAGCGTGATATCCAAAGTCGTAGTCTCCCGTCTGGGGCGCCCCCGCCGGACGGTCCCTCAGCGTGACGCCGATGACGACGATGAATACAGCAGCGAAGACAGACACAAACCCAGCCCAGCTAATCCAGCTGAGCTCCCCAAACTTACGGAGGCTGGCGACGAGCACGACGACAGCCGTGACGGCCAGGGCATACCAGTTTGTGCAGGTGGCGTGGTCGGAGAGCGCGTTGAGGGCCGTCGTTGCGCCGTTGATGCCGGACGCGGCGCAGATGATCCAGCTCGCGATGAAGCAGACGCCGGCGATTTCGCGCAGCAGCGGCCCGCCTACCACCCCGGCCATGTCTGCCACAGAGTGGCACATGGGGTGTCGGTTTCGGAAATTACCCTGCACGACTCCTGCGTAGGTGTTGATTATGCCCCATCCGAGGACAACGAGGCTTCCCGGAGCGGCGCCGAGAATGTACAGCTGGCCTGGGATGGTCATCACGCCGGTGGCGAAGGTTACTGGCGGTTGTCAATGTGTTAGGAAAGATAGGGCTGGGTGGACATCCGCTCACTTACACTTCAGGAAAATGATAGATGCCCATTGCCAGCTGAGGACTCGAAAGTCGACTCCATCCCCCGTGTTTTGGAATACCTCGAATCCTTGGTCGTTGTCTTCTCCTTTGAGTAGCTCATCTCCTATGTGGATATGTCCTGCGACAATGTCATCGTCGGGTTGGAGATGAATTGCCTCTTTTCCCTTTTCAACGCTCATCTTAGTAGCGGATGGGTTATACGAAATCGATATGAGTGGAGAAATAAACACGACTTGTTGTAAACTATCTCATTCGACTAAGAATAGATAAAATACTTAAGTATCGAAGGAGTTGTACACCGCTGATAGGGGCGACAATCGTCACATAGCAACCCTAACCTGAAAGTTAATCCTACATAGTCTTATCATTCTCGCTTGACTGTTGGTCAGCAGTGATGGACATCCTCGCCCGTCCATATCCCTGCTTGTATTCCTGCTGTCGACTATAGTATTATCAGAGTGGAGAAGCGTGGAAATCCGGGGAATCCCAATCCAAATCACAGGATATTGGATTTTGCCGGACCTCCGTTATCAACAGGAAGTGGAGACCAGGCCTTGAAAAAGATGGTCATCATAATTGTAATAATAATCACTATCATTGTCATTGCTCGGAGTCGGACCTGCTGGTGACCCACATGGTCCGATATTCACTTCGTCGGATATGCCGGCATCGGTCTTCACTCCGGATGAGAAATTGCTTCTCCATAACATAGTGGGGGATGTTTGCGCTGCCCCGCCTCTCACCGCGGCAAGGTCATGCCATGAGGAGAGGATATCCACCCCTCGGAGCCACAGTGGCAGGTCCGGAGGAGGGACTGAGCCAGACTGCTCAAGTATATTTGAGATCGCAGCCCCGCCAGCATCTTCTTAGATCGAGCATATTTCCAACGCACGAAGCAACGTCGATAGCCTGGTCAATATCGGAGAATCAAAACTGAAAACACAATGACGACAAACGGAACTTCCAAAGACGCGCGGCCTCAGGCCGAGGCGGTGCCCTATCAAGGCGAACCGCTGCCGAACAAGTTAGACGATCTCGTTATCCCAAATGTCCTCAGCTTGGACTGTGACGAGAGGCTCTGGGTCCCTCAAGCACAGGTATGTATTCCATACAAACACACGATGCGATCCAAAAACGTGGCTGACAAGCGATCGAATCGGTAGGACGTGTGGTTCCGACCTTTGGTACTCGGTGTCTCGCAAGGCTATTTCGTCAACCTGCTGCGGGTGCGCAAGTCCGGCATCCTATCTCGACACCGACATTCCGGCCCCGTCCAGGCCACGACTCTCAAGGGCAGATGGCATTATCTGGAGCACCCATGGTGGGCGACGGAGGGGAGTCACGCGTTCGAGCCTCCTGGTGACATCCACACGTTGGAGGTTCCGGAAGGTGTTGAGGAGATGGTCACCCTGTTCCACGTCACGGGGGCTTATATCTATGTGGATTCTCAGGGGCGGCCGGAGGGCGTCGAGGACGTCTTTAGCAAGTTGAAGCTGGCCAGGGAGCACTATGAGAAGGTTGGGTTGGGCGCCGACTATGCAAATCAGTTTATCCGTTGAGTTCAAAGCTCTGGCGAAAGAAGAAATGTAACCTGTACAAAAGCGCAACTGTCAAGATCGACTTCTTCGAGCGTAGGTTTAAGGCGTTTGGATGTGACAGCGTGGTGGACGAGAAATGCATGTCTTGGCTCAGCCTAGAGAACCGTTTAAGAAACATGCATCATTCATCCAGTCCCCAGGAACAAGATCGGTCGGCACAGCGAAATTAAACAGATCGGTCGGATTTTCGAGGATCCACTCTACGGGCAATTCGCTGCCTTGCGGAACATCGACATAGCTCGGAGAGCTCTGAGGGGTCCTTGCCGCTAGATCCTTGAGCTCGGCCGACAGCTGATCAAAAAGGCCATGGACCGCGCCTGCACTGGGCCAAAAGTTCTCTAGCACACGGGCACAACGCAAAAGCCGCGCAAGCCGATCTTGGGCGTTCAATGCCAGCACCAAGCTGCCTTGCTGGAGCGACTGTCGAGCATCCAAAGACATTTGAATCGCGCCGGCCATGACGGCCGCAACAGCGGTAAATAGGCACTGGCCCGTCCATCCTCGATGGACGATGGTCTCGAGACAGGATAGAATGGCCTGGGATGCATCACGACAGATTTCTTGGCAGTTGGGGGATCGGGAGATAGGTGGACTCGTCGCAGATTGGGGTCGATGGAGGTGGATCAGGACCAGATTGTAGTGCATCCGCAGTTGACAGGACCAGAAATCGGTCATAGCGGGAAGATCCAGCGCAAAGCTGACAAGGGACTTTTCGATGGAAGGGACCAAAGCTGCTATCTCCTCTGACGGCACCGAGGGAGCGTTGACTTGGAGGATACGGAACCCAATGACCGCGATGTCGATATTTCTGGTGATGTAGTGGAGCTGCACTCGCTCACTGACGCGTTCGGACTCATCCTCGATAAAGTCTTGCAGCTCCAAAGCGGACTGATCGGTGTCATTCCAGTTGATCATGCATGGCCGCCCATGCTCAAGGCAGGAGAAAACCTCCATCTGAAACAACGTCCACCAGATTCGTCGGTTCAGCCGCCTCTCCCAGTCAGGTAGGCGACTGCTTGCCTGGCGGGATAGATCGCGGTGCATGCCCATGCCGAAGGCGATGCGCTGGGCGATCCCCAGCCAGTAGTAGCTCCCGCCACACACCGAGTCCGAGTTCTCTAGGTGCCATACAAAAAGCAAAGCCGCTTGGGCCATTTGCAAACGGTCGTTCTCATGTCGGATGTGGAATAGCATTGACGCTCTTCGAAAAAGAGTCCTCTTCACCACCATGCGGGATGCGGCCACGGTGGGGTGCTCACAGGCATGTGAGCCGGCCAGAAGAACCGCCTGGAAGAGCAACAATGGCGGGGGGTTAGTCCGACTTGCGTACTGTCGGCGAAACGTAATCTCGTCGACGATCGGGAAGCCAGGGAATATTTTCTCAAAGAAGGCGTCCACGAGCGCATCCCGGATCTCCTGCGCCGGAAAGCGGGCCGTATCATGCGCGATGTCAATATTATTCAGAGATCCCCAGATCCCCTCCGGCTTCCAAGGAAGCGGAGGCCGAATGGGCGGATAGGGAAAATGCAGGGACGGTTGCGCCACGCGCTTCAAACTAATTAGATGGGCAATATTAGAGGTCCCCGTTCCCATGTATGCCAGACGGATGTGATCCGAATCCGCAAAGACCGTCCAATGAGTGGAATCTACCCCGCGTTGATAGAACTGGCTAAGGCCATTCCTCGCGAGTCCGTCGACGACGCGATCTCGCTCCGTCACAATGGGTGCCAGCTCCGGCGGAGATTCATCATTGAAACTGCCGTCTGTGGGTCTTTCCCGATGTGCCTCGCTGGGCATAGGGTGCGGACTAGTCGTTTCTGGTGCAGCCGCTGGCTCAACCGGCTCCGACTGAACTTGCGTCGACCGCCGTCGTCGAGACCTTGGCAGTGACCATTCAGGGGTGGACCTGGTAACGGACCTTAAGCATCTCCTCCACTAAATGATGTATAGAAGGGCGACTCCGACTTCATAGGGCTTACCTGCAGGGGATCTTCGATCTGGCGCAGACCGAACAGGGGGTCGTCTCCACCACGTTGCACCTGGTCTTTCGCCTCCGACATGTATCGCATGCCATGCGTTGCTGTCGACGTCGGGAGATACTACTACTCGCACTAGCACCAGAGTCCATCATGCAGGGTCATGCACGGACCGCCCGCGTGCAGATGGAGACGGAGACAGGGGACGGAAGCACGCTTCAAGCCTGAGATAGGGGGTAGGTAGTTCAAGGACAGACGAGTATGAGGTCCGACAGAAATCAATTCTGCATGTCATCCAGTCCAATTGTCAGCTCTCCGTGCGGAGAAGCTGGGAGTAAACCAGGAAGATCCGAATTGAATGTCGGAGAAGCGCCGTGATATCACGTGGGACACCTGGCCCCACGTGGTCCGACCGACATCGCTCCGCTCCGACATCTTCTCCGCATCTCTCTATCTTCATCCCCACATCGCGGTTGGGTTCGATAACCAGGGCGAAAATGGATATATCAGGGTCAATTAGAATTCCGTGCCTTGTCTCTATTCAGAACCATCGATGACACCTATCTTTATTCATAATTTTCAAAAAAATATCCCCTTTTACATTGCTACTGTACCGATACCATGGCTCCCATCAAGAGCAAGGCCTTCATCAATGTTGACCTGGGCGAAGCCTACGGCAACTTTAAATGTGGACCGGATGATGAGCTGTTCCCCCTAATTGACCAGGCCAATGTGGCGTGTGGATTCCAGTATGCGATGCTTTGATCAACAAATATTGGACAATGATACGGATAACTGACCGAAGAACAATCAAATAGTGCGGGGTAATGAATTTCCCACAATACGCCGGTTCAGCAGACTGCTGTGACGAGCTGATTCCAGTGCTAACTAATCTCCTTTATAGAGACCCCGTGGTCATGGCTCGGACCGTCCGAGCCTGCAAGGAACACAACATCGCAACAGGCGCCCACCCCGGCCTACCAGACATCCACGGATTCGGCCGACGGGAGCTGGTCCTGACAGCGGAGGAGCACACGGCCAATATCGTATACCAGGTCGGGGCACTGAAAGCCTTTTTGGAGCGGGAAGGCATGGAGTTGCACCACGTGAAGCCCCACGGCATGCTGTACGGCCTCTGCTGCAGAGACATTGAGATTGCACGAGCGGTGATGGCTGGTATCCCGCGCGGCGTTCCTGTCATTGGATTGCCAGGGACGCACATGGAGACGGCGGCTCGTGAAGCGGGGTTGCCGTTCTGGGCGGAGTTTTTCGCGGATGTGAGGTATAACAACGAGGGGACTTTGGTTATCGAGCGGAAGAGGCTGCCGTGGGTGATGGATGATGTCAAAAAGCATGTCACACAGCAGGTAGAGGATGGTAGTGTGACGAGTGTGGAGGGGAAGGTTGTGTCATTTGATTTGAAGGACAACCCGGTGACGATATGCTGCCACTCCGATAGTCCTGATAGTGTGGGAATCGTCAAGGCGACTCGAGAGGTAGTGGACCGGTTTAACTCCACGATGGGATATTCGTAGAATCTGGTGGTATACAAGATAAAATTCTATGACTTTACTTTATATCGACTTGAAATGAAAGCTAGACCAGAATATAGAATTGTATGAGACTATAGAAATGTATTAGACTATAGTCGGATTGGATTACAGTCAAGTTTTGCTTCAAGTCTGACATTTGCTCACGCCACGTCTTTACGATGGGCCTCTCAGTTCAATAACGAATATAAAACCGCAGTGTATTACCACAGCTCACTGACTACGTGTGTATCAATTGAAGCAAAATACTACAGGATAAGTCTAAACAAAATATATATATGTCACGTCGACCCAGGGAACAACCCTAACGTGCCAACATCCCGAAACGCCTTAGCAATGACCTCCACAGAGCGACACAACGCATCCTCAGCGATAACTAGCGGAGGACTGAGCCGCAACCGATTGGCCGCATTTCCACACAGCACACCACGGAGGGCGCAAAGCGCCGCAATCCGGCGAGCCGTGATGCCAAGTTCGGGCTTCTCGTCAACGACAAGAGTCTGGAACAGCCCGGCGTCTCGGCCCCGGTGTTCCAAAATATAAGGTAATTGAGCCCGATCAATCGCGTCTGCGAGTACGAGACCCAGCTGCTGGGATCGCGCGGAGATGTCCTCAGCCTCTAGGACATCGAGGACGGCCAACGCGGCTGCGCAGCCTACGGGAGAGGCCGCGAATGTGCTGACTATGTCGCCTTGCTCAATGATGTCCATTACATGCGCCTTGCCCATGACGAGGGACATTGGCGTTGCACCTTAAGACTGTCAGTTGCGAGACATATCTGGACCTGGTTGCGAATTGAATACATACCCCCTGTCAAGGCTTTCCCAAGTGCCACCATATCGGGCTTGACCCCGGACTCGCGCTGATATGCCAGGTCAAAGCCAGTACGGCCGAAACCGGTCTGGACCTCGTCGCAGAGGAAGAGGACATTGTGTTTGCGACAGAGGTCTTGAACCGCGGTTAGATACCCTTTGGGTGGAGTCTTTGTGCTAATTTATTGAGTTAGCAACGCGCCGTCGAAGCTTCAAAGCCACAAGAGAAGCCCGTAGACATGGTGAAAAAGACGTCTTACCCGGCATAACCTTGCACAGGCTCGATCAAAACGGCTGCAATCCGACCGCTGGACCCGGCCAAAGCGTTTTCAAGATCACCAACATCTCCAAACCGCACCACTTGACCCGTCTGCGGATCGTGGGGGCCAACATTGGGCAGATGCTTGCCAAAGTCTGGGCTCAAGTGTCAGTCCTGTACCATGCGACTCTTCTTCGGGTGGTAGAAGAAAGGTTCAAAACGCGCGAAGATAAATTCCTTCAAGACAAACATACTCTGTGCAATGCGATTTGAGAGACCCATAGTCGCCAACGTCAAGCCATGATAGCACTGGTCTGTCGTCAAGATAATCGCCTCGTCATTCGGAATGCCTTTCGTAACGTAGGCCCATTTGCGCGCGATCTTAATCAAGGCGTCTACAGCTTCAGCGCCCGTCACCATGGAAGCGATCGCATCGTAACCGAATTTCTTTCCTGGCGTTAGCTCTCGTCCTTTTCACCAGTGGCCAAGGAGGGGGCACCCACTTCCGTCAGTCTCGTCGCGAGCCTCCCGTAGAGCGGGTTCATGTAAGATGTATTGGTGAGCGCGCATCGCCGGGTCTGCTCGATGACGGCTTCAATGATGTGCGGGTGAGAATGGCCGAAGTTGACGACCGCAAACTGCGAAATCATGTCGATGTACTCTTTGCCATCTGTGTCGGTTACCGTGTGGCCTTTGGCGCTTTCCCAGACAACCTGCACCCGTTAAGCTCCTGTGTTGCATTTTCGATAGCGGAGAATTTTACTCACAGGGAAGCTGGCAAATCCTGGAGCGATGTTCTTCTCCCATTGCGCGATTTGCTTTGTTGCAGTGGCGCTCAGCGCAAGGGATGCGACACAGCTGTCCATGTTGATTGAGTTGTCTGCAGGTATAGAATGAGGGTTCACCAGAGATCTTGCTTGTATCTTGTTTTCTTTTGTTCTCTCCTATTGTTTATTTTTCTATTATCTCTTTTTTTTCTTGACTCCACCTTTTGTTATGCTTTTGGAGTGTATTATCGCATCCAGATAGAACCTGAACCACAATATCGGAGATAAAAATCGGATGTAGAAGATCGGACCACCGCCGATCCGACAACGGACCAAGAATGATAAAGTGGAGGTCCGACAGATTAAGTTGGGTCCGACGGGATCTGACTGGTTCGAGACTACCTTACTAGATAGCGGTTTATATTAGCCGGTAAGTAGACTACCCCGGAACTTCTTGGTCTCATATATGCACATTATTCTTGTTAGAATGATAGATCGTTAGGATACTCTTCATCTCTGTATCTCTATACGGACCTTCATTGTAGGAAATTATGGACTCGTTAAAGACGGTGCTAGTCGCAAACCGAGGAGAAATTGCTGTTCGTCTTATTGAAGCTGCGCGGTGAGTGCCTCTTTTCCAGAGAGAGTGAGAGAGAGAGAGAGAGGAGACAAGCTGACTTGAAAACCCCAGTCGTCTGAATATCAAGTCCGTGGCAATATTCACCGACGTAGATGCCACATCAGCGCACGTTTCTCTAGCAGACAAAGCATGTCCGCTGCAAGGACCAGCTACCACAGCCTATCTCGACATGTAAGCTTCTTTTCCCACTTTATCTGACGTGAAAGACCTGATCAAGAAAATAGTGAACAAATTATCTCAATAGCCAAGGAGAACAGTGTAGACGCCGTCATTCCAGGCTATGGGTTCCTCTCGGAAAACCCCGACTTCGTGAAGCGGCTGAGCGAGAATGGCATGGTGTTCGTCGGCCCGTCGACGGATGTCATGGAATCTCTGGGCTTGAAGCACACTGCGCGGCAATGCGCGATAGACGCCTCTATCCCTATCGTCCCCGGTAGTGCGGGGTTGGTGATGGATGAGGAGGAGGCGGTTGGGATCGCTAGTCAGATAGGCTTTCCGGTGAGTGTCTTTAATTTGAGCCTTTGTCCTTTATGGGCGTGCTATGTATGGCGCTGACAAATATGTGTGCAGGTCATGCTGAAAGCGACAGCAGGAGGTGGGGGAATGGGTCTCTTGACATGCGAGACGGAGGCAGAAGTCCGATCTTCGTTCAAGAGCGTTCAGTCCCGGGGGAGTACGCTGTTCAAGAACCCCGGCGTGTTCGTGGAGCGATACTTCCCTCGGAGCCACCACATTGAGGTCCAGGTATTTGGGAACGGAAGCGGCAAGGCTGTCTCCTTCGGGGAGCGCGAGTGCTCTATACAGCGTCGTCACCAGAAGGTGATTGAGGAATGTCCTTCTCCGTTTGTGGAGAACCGGTTCCCAAAGTTGCGGGAGAAGCTTACTACCGCGGCGGTGCGATTCGCGGAGCATTTGAAGTACGCTTCTGCGGGCACGATAGAATTCTTGGTTGATGACGATACGGGGAAGTTCTTCTTCCTTGAAATGAATACACGATTGCAGGTTGAGCATGGGATTACGGAGATGTGTTACGGAGTAAACCTGGTGGAGCTGATGTACTTGCAAGCGGATGCGCAGCTCTGCGGTCGTGGAGGGATTGCGGAGTCGGAGCTGCAGCGGCTTCAAGAGAGATGTCGTCAGCCGCAGGGACATGCCATCGAGCTGAGAGTCTGCGCGGAGAATCCAGCTAGAGACTTTGTCCCCTCGCCGGGAACGCTGATGGGGGTGGACTGGCATATGCTTCCCGGAACTCGAATCGATACGTGGGTGCGCCCCGGAATTGCAATCAGTCCGAATTACGGTAGGTGCTGTATGCCTAAATCGATTGACCCCTTTGTTGACTTATTGAAGATCCGCTTATCGCAAAAATCATGCACCATGCTCCGACTCGAGAGCAAGCCATAGGTGATATGGTGCAGGTTGTCTCAAAGACAGCTCTCAGTGGGCCTCCGACCAACTTGGAATTTCTTCGCGCTGTCCTGGAGTCCCCTCCGTTCCACGAGGGAAATACAATCACGACCTTCCTGGAATCATTCAACTTTGCCCCTGCTGCCATTGACGTTGTTTCCGGCGGAGCGAAGACCCTCGTTCAGGACTTCCCCGGACGGCCAACAATCGGACGGGGTTTTGGCCATTCCGGACCGATGGATGCTGTCACATTCAAGGCTGCGAATAAGCTGGTACGTAATGCAGACAGTACGGAGGCGTTGGAGATCACCCTCAACGGACCCGACTTGAAGTTTCTCGGCGACGCCGTGATAGCTCTATGCGGACCGCCCTTGGAAACAACATTGGACGGCAATCCAATGCCCCTTTGGACACAAGTTTATGTCCAAGCAGGCCAGCGTTTAACCATTGGAAAGGTGAATGTCTCCGGTGGCTGCCGCGCGTATTTGGCTGTTCGCGGGGGTTTTCCCAGTGTCCCCCGATGGTTCGGTTCTAAATCGACGTGCCCTGATATCGGCATCGGCGGATACCAAAATAGAGCATTGAAATCGGGGGATTATCTTTCCCTCGCGCCTCTTTCCCAGCAATCCGAAAGTCCGGAGCCATTTCATATCCCTGAATCGGCCCGTCCGCATTACACCAAGCACTGGGACGTGCAGGTTATGGGCGGCCCCTTCGAAGAAGGGTACCTCCTCCCGGAGGATCTCGAAATGGTGTACTCGTATAAGTGGAAGGTCTCCCACAATGCTGCGCGAGGAGGCATCCGACTGGTAGGCCCGCGGCCGCAATGGGCCCGGTCGGATGGCGGCGAAGGAGGGTCGCATCCAAGCAATGTCATCGAGTGGGGATACCCCCTGGGGGGGTTGAACTGGACAGGCGATGAACCGGTTATCTTCCCCGTCGACTGTCCCAACTTCGGAGGGTTCATTTGTAGTTTGACGGTAGTGAGCGCAGACCTCTGGAAGGTCGGACAGCTGCAGCCAGGCGACACACTCACCTTCCACCGCATCTCTCTAACTACGGCGCTCAACAGCTGGAGGAAGGTCGACAACTACCTTGCCAGCCTCGATCGGGCGATCCGGTCAGGGGATTTCTCAAGTATCAAGGCCGTCAGTGGTCTCCTGGATAATCCCACCGCCGCTCGATGCACAGACCCGGCTGTTCTCAGACGCCTGGAGGCCACGGCTGGCACGCCCGCCGTGACCTACCGACAGGGTGGTGACAACTACCTCCTGGTTGAGTACGGCGATGGCAAGTTCGATCTGAACCACAAGTGTCGTGCAACGGCCCTATCACGGGCTCTGAGAGCAGCAGTCGAGGGAATCACCTTCCAGACTGGCTTGGTCAATACGGTGGGCTGTGGCAGCTCCCTCCAGATATACTACGACGGTCTCCAACTACCGCAACGAAAGCTTCTCGAGTACCTCGTCGCCCTCGAGCGCCAGCTAGGAGACATTCGGACGATGAAGATCGCCAATCGGACCTTTTACCTCCCGTTCGTCTTCGAGCATCAGACCCTCACTGCGGCTACCGAAAGATACATGACGAACCAACGGCCCTACGCATCTTATCTCCCAGACAACTTTGACTTCCTCGCTCGTAACAACGGGATCTCGCGCGACGAGCTCAAGTCAATCTTCCTCAATGCAGACTTTGTCGCCGTCGGCGTGGGGTTTGTCATGGCGCTTCCTCAATGTCTGCCCGCCGATCCTCGGCATCGTCTGCGCTCGCCGAAAATGAACCCCTCCCGCACATTTACCTCCGCGGGCGCCGTTTCCTGGGGCGGATCATGCATGGCGCTGTACAACGCCGACGGCCCTGGTGGATACATGCTGACTGGTTTGACGATCCCTGGCGTGGACGTCCTGGGGTCCAAGGAAGGATTTTCAGCCGATCGTCCATGGTTGTTTGAAGATATGGACGTTATCAAATTCTATGAGGTGCGGGCCGAACAGTTCGAGGAGGAGATTGCACTCTGGAGAAGCGGCCGGTACCAGTACAAGATGGCTGACACCGAGTTCGACATGGCTGCGCATAACGCACTCTTGGTCAGCACGAAGAGCGAGGTCCAAGAAATCCGGGAAAGACAGAGCGTGTTTGAGAAGGAGATGCTCGCAATCGAGCGACGGCTTTTGACGCAGTGGTCAGAAGAAAAAGCGGCTAGTGGTCCGTCGATGGACCAAGTGGGTGAGTTTCTGCAAGGTATGTCCTCTTCCATTCCTCATTCTTTGACCTTTCTTTCTCTTTCTTTTATCTCCGTCTTCGGTGCTTGTCCAGAACACCGGCTGACTACAACAGACCCGCGATCCGTTATCCTTGAGTCCCCTATCAGCGCCAATGTCTGGAAAGTGCTCGTTCGGGACGACGACGCCCTCGAAGCCGGCCAGGTAGTCATCATTCTAGAGGCCATGAAGCTGGAAATCAGTCTCCGAGTTGACTCGCGCTTTGACCAGTGCAGTGTGAGGAAGGTGTTGGTCCAGCCCGGCGACACCATTGAAGGCGGAAGTCCACTTCTGATCGGTATCAAAGGGGATGATCCTATATAGATTGAATGACTAGATATCCATATAGACCCTCCATGGGAAACCAGAGGTATCTTATCGTTTTAGGTATATTTCCATAAATGGCCAATGCTTGTAGAGGACATGGTGGAAAAGTCCACCAGCCGGCGTTTTCTCCGCCGGAGAATTGCCCGGTGGGGGCCTGAGGCGAGATTAATCGACTCAAAATTAACCGAGACCGAATCTTCATTCTTCATCTTCCTCTCGTTCCCCTCCAACTCTCTTCTCTTCAATCCTCGTAAACTCTCGTTCCTGGTAAGCCTTCGATGTCTTATACATGTGTATTACGCCCTAGACTAACAATGGAAGATGATAGCTTAAGTCCCACCAATTACTTGACGTCCATCTCCAATCTGAAGGCCGAGAATCCATGCGCCAATCCTCCCCAGGTTAATATACCCCTCGTTATCATCAAGTGGGTCCGGTCTCCACACCCCGGATAAATGCGATAATCTATATTTTCCGATGAGAATGAGGGGCAGGTATTAAAGTGGGATGTGTCCTGGCTGTGTTTTTCTCGATAACACCTCTTCACATTCGATTATACACCATGACCACAATCAACCTCGAGAAGCCGAACATTGGTGTCTTCACCAACACCAACCATGACCTCTGGGTCGCCGAATCGACTCCGTCGCTGGCCGATGTGAAGGTTGGGAAAGGCCTGAATGCTGGCCAGGTGACTGTCGAAGTCCGCAGCACTGGCATTTGCGGGTAAATATTTCTTCCTCTTGTTGTCCTCTTGAGGATTTCTTGGGGACGGCTCATACGTTCTGTGGTCATGCGAGTAACTGACAATCGTGGCTGCGTCTAGATCCGATGTCCACTTCTGGCACGAAGGCTGCATTGGTCCGATGATTGTCACCGGCGACCATATCCTGGGCCACGAGTCCGCCGGCCAGGTCGTCTCCGTCGCTCCCGATGTCACCCACCTGAAGCCCGGCGACCGTGTCGCCATTGAGCCGAATGTTATCTGCAACGCCTGCGAGCCGTGTCTGACTGGTCGCTATAACGGTTGCGAAAATGTCCAGTTCCTCTCCACCCCACCCGTCGACGGTCTCCTGCGCCGCTACTTCAACCACCCTGCCACCTGGTGCCACAAGATCGGAGACATGAGCTACGAGGATGGTGCCATGCTCGAACCCCTCAGTGTCTCCCTGGCTGCCATTGAGCGCAGTGGTCTGCGCCTAGGAGACCCCTGCCTGATCACCGGCGCTGGTCCCATCGGCCTCATTACCCTCCTCAGTGCCCGCGCCGCTGGTGCCACGCCCCTCGTCATCACTGATATCGATGAGGGACGTCTGGCTTTTGCCAAGTCGCTGGTGCCGGAGGTGCACCCCTACAAGGTGCAGACCAGCCAGTCGGCTGAGGAGAACGCGACGGGAATTATCGCTGCCTTCAATAACGGCCAGACGACAGGTCCGGACGTCCTGCGACCTCGCCTGGCGCTGGAGTGTACCGGCGTCGAGAGCAGCGTTGCCTCCGCCATTTGGAGCGTCAAGTTCGGCGGCAAGGTCTTTGTGATCGGCGTGGGCAAGAACGAGATGAAGATTCCCTTCATGCGCCTTAGCACTCAGGAGATCGACCTGCAGTACCAGTACCGCTACTGCAACACCTGGCCGCGCGCCATCCGTTTGGTCCAGAGCGGTGTCATCAACTTGAAGAAACTGGTGACCCACCGTTACATCCTCGAGGATGCCCTCAAGGCGTTTGACACGGCCTCCGACCCGAAAACTGGCGCTATCAAGGTGCAAATCATGAGTTCGGAGGAGGATGTGAAGGCTGCGGTGAATGCGGCCCAGTCGTGATAGAATTCTTCCCCTTCCTTTTTTCTTTTATTCTTCTATCCTTCTGTGCTAAGGATTGGCCGTCCCCCGTTTACCTTTTATATCCGGACCTCGGTGTTTTGCGTTGGGTGATGACGGATTGTATGACATTGATGAATTGCTAGACAAGTGGGTTTGGGAACTATAGAGACTCCGGTAGAATCAATTCCTTTTCACCGTTTGATGTGGCAAATGTAGCATTTTGAAGATTGAGCGTAGGTTTGAGTTATATACCTGAATAGATTTCAATTAAGGAAGAAAAGAATATTCTTGCCATTTTTGGCGCCAAAATCAGGCACTCGGGCACACATTCCTCATCTACTCTTTTCACCACGATCCATCTACAAAGATCGCGCACCGTCACTCCTGCAACATTCCAAAAAAGTTAACCCCCAACGCCATGCTGGTGTATAATCTAACTAAGATATCCAAACCACGTCGATCTTTTCATTACTCTCCTTACTTTCTCTTCAAGCAGTAAGACTCACCTCACTGTCCACGCAGAATGATCGCCTCCACGAGCGCCCTCTCACCACTATACTCTACCAGATTTCGAAACACCCCGCCCTCAATAGCGAGCAGCTCCCGCGGTGGACCGAACTCTACGGCCCTCCCCGCATCCATGACCAAGATACGATCGAAATCAGCGACGGTGCTGAGTCGGTGGGCGATGACGAGTAGCGACGACGCCCTGCATCCAAACTCCGTTCGGATAGACCGCTGGATGAGGGAATCGGTCTCCATGTCGACGGCTGATGTGGCTTCATCTAGAATCATGATCTTGGGCTGGGACACGATGGCTCGCGCAAGACATAGGAGCTGTCGCTCCCCTTGTGAGAGGTTGGAGCCTCCCTCGGAGACTGCGGTGTTCAGAGAGGCGACCCCGCTGGAGGATGACTTGGCGGAAGAGTTGATGGATGAGGCAGACGACCAGGAAGAAGCCAGAGTAGGGCTGCTAGTTGAGGATTCTGTGCTGTGCTGAGACCCGAGCGTCCGGTTGTCTTCGAAGGACACCATGTGTACCCTTTCCAGGGCGTTCCACAACTCCTCGTCCGAGTGCTCGTCAAACGGATCTAAATTTGAGCGCACCGTCCCCGAGAATAGCACGGGATCTTGGGGGATGATGGCTAGCCGGCTGCGGAGCGCTTGCAGCTTCATCCGGGACACGTCCAGCCCATCGATTCGGATACGGCCGTGGCGCGCCTCCAGGAAGCGGAAGAGCGCCAGCGTCAAGGACGACTTGCCTGATCCTGTGCGGCCCACCACGCCGACTCGCTGGTTGGGTTCCACAGTGAAGCTTAGCCCGTTCAGCACAGCCGGCAGGTCCGCTGTGTATCCGGCCACCAGGTTATTTACCTCGATGTGACCGCGTATTGGCCAGGCGGCGGGCGGGTCATGACCTTCTTGGTCTTCGGTCTCCATGGAGGAGTACTCCAGAACGCGCTCCGTCGCGTTCATATCCATCTCCAGGTCGGCGTAGAACCGCAGACCCATGGAAATCGCATAATTGTATTGCATAGCAAAGCTGATGGCGAACCCCGCCATGGCGGCGGAGATGGTGGGGGTGTAGACGACAAGGGCGGCTGTCGTCGTCGAGAAGACTGCCCCTATGACACTCATCCGCAGAGCCAGCCAGCGATTGAGAAGCCACAGGTGCCATGCCGTCTGCGCGTGACGGTCGATCCGCGTGTACATCTCACGCATGTACACTTGCGTTTTGGCGTACGCGCGGATGGTCATCAGGCCGGTCAGGCTGGTGCCGAATAGTTCCATGACGGGGCTTTTGGAAGTGCTCTCGAGCCGTTTGATCTCCCGGGCGGCTGTCAGGTAGAATCGCGAGATTGAAAAGCATGGGACTAGTAGGATTGCGGCGAGGACCAAGATAGTAGGCGAGACTAGCACGCTAGCCACGAGAATGCCCATGAGTTCTAACGCCTTGGACAGGAAGAGCCCCAGATCATAACCCAGCCTCCAATCGAGCAGGTGAATGTCTGAAGTGAACCGGTTTAATATGCGGCCGACTGGGACGGTGTCTAGCCACCGAGGAGGCGCCCGGAGGACGGTTGCAAGCAGTCCTTCGAACATCCGACGGGAAGATTGAAGATTTGCGTGGACGAGGACAAGATAGCGCAACGTGCCCACGACACAGGCTGCGACAGAAAAGCCTACGTAGATGGAGAGATAGAAGAGCACTTCGCTGTTTGTCGATATTTGAGCTATATGGGACCGCCCTGTCGAGCTTGTCCAGACACCCACCCACCAAGACTAGACCGGTCAGAACATGAGACAGAAGAGAGTATAAGGCTCACTTACCCGGCTAACAGACAAAGTGTTGAACAAAATCCCTCCAAGCAGGACTAACGGCCACAGGGCAAGCCCACCCCCTTTACAGAGGTAGGCGGCGTACACCTTGGCTGACACCGACCCTGTTTCGCGCTTCTCGTCCTGCGTGAACTTTCTGGGTGTGTGGGTGGGAGCCATAGTTGGAGCTGGGCCCACAGACGAGGGCTTCCCACCAGGCCATTCATGGTCGATCTTGATAGCTTCTACCGGAGAGACGAGGGTTTCCGTCTCCAGTCCATGCAGAAGCTGCGCCAGAGACGGATCCGCCAACTCTTCCACAGGGCCCGCATGAGACACCGACCCATTGTCGAGGACCACGAAATAGTCTGCTCGAGGCAGACACAGCGAGATGTGGTGTGTTACGAGGATCCGAGTACGGTCTCTCCCGAGCAGTCCGGTGAGGCCATGCTCGTACACATGACGGCCTGTCTCCGCGTCCACAGCGCTGAATATGTCATCCAGGATTAAGATCCGTGCGCGGGAGTACAGCGCACGAGCAAACGAGATCCGCCACCGCTGACCACCGCTCAGATTGATGCCATTGGCGCCAATGTCGGTCATGTCGCCGTCTGGCAACAGCGTAAGGTCCTTGTCGAGGCCAGACGCAAACATAGCCTCGCGGTACCGGGGGTCACTATAAGGAAGTCCAAACAAGATGTTGTCGCGGATCGAGGCAGACTCTGTCCAAGGGTTCTGCGCTACATATGCCACGGCTGAGTCGATGATCCAGTTGTCCTGCGTGGCCCGGTGATCAAACCGTTCTTCTAGCGTCGGTGCGTGAGGAACTGCCACTAACCCGGCCAGTACGTCGCATTCGCCGAGAATGGACGCGAGGAGAAGGCTCTTGCCCGTGCCGGTCTTACCGGCGATCACGCTGAGGCCTTTGGGTGGAAACCGTAGATTCAAATGGTGGAGGATGAAACGGTCACTGGGTTCGCAGTGCTGTTCCGGCTCTGTTTCTGCGGGCCAAGCAATAGAGGCACAGTGGAACGAGATCGCCTCCACATCCGTCGTATGTGGGGGTTTCTCAGCGGACGCCATATATGTATCGATGCGGTCTGCGCTGACTTTTGCCTCCATGCCCCGGGAAAAGAGATCCGGCAGGCTAGCAAGCGCTGACTCGATGGACCCAAAAACGGATAGGGTTGTGAAGGCTACCGACGGTGAGAGTTCCCGATTCGTCAGGCAATAGACGGTTAGGGAGACTGCGGACATCATTATCGGGCCTAGGATCCATACGGACACCAATCCCGTGTTGTACAGCAACGTCTTCCGCAAAAGCTTTAGCTCCGCCTGGCGTCTCTCCCTGATCCGATCCTCCCATTGCTGCTCCATAGCGGCGAATTTGACCTGGCGGATCCCATGGAGAACCTCTGTTACGGCCACAGCGCGCTTGTCGGTAGCATTCATAAATTCTTTCTGGGATTTGGAGTATCTTTTGGTCAAAAGCACATTGACCGGCATAACGAGGACGAACACTGAGAGTCCACACAGCAAACTGGGCCATCCGATCAAATGGACTAGAAAGCCAGCCGCAATTACCAAGCGGGTCGCACAACTCGGAATGAGATAGTTGAACATGACGAAGTCCGCAATCCGTTTCGAGTCCACTGTCGCCAGATTGATGACGCTCTGGCGACTCTCCTCCTGCTCTCCATCGTCCTCCCCGTCCGGGTCCTCGGAGCTCTGCTTCGACGGTCTTTGCTCTTTTACATCTTTGCAGCGCATCAACTTGGCAAATACTAGTGTAGAGAGCCCTTCATATATATGCAACCAGAGTCGAGAATAGATGATCCACCACAGCCACGACTCGATCCCTAGGGACAAGATCAAGGCGGCTCCCAATCCTGCCACCCAGAACCAAGTGTTGATAGCAACACTTTCGTCAGGCTGCCGGCCTTCCAATGTCCTCAGAACCCCGTACAGCGCGATCTGAGGCCCGAAGCTCAGCACCGAACTAATCAGACTGAGTGTCCCCTGCAGGATAAGTGTCCGAAAATGTCGCACCATCAAAGCCATCCACAGCGTGCGGGAATGACGCACTGACTCCAGCTGCGCGTGAAGAGCGTGGGCGCGGGCTGCAAATGGGAGTTTGGGCAAACAGTCGATCTCCAACCCTCTGTTTCTTCGGATGTAGTGGAGCAAGTCGCTGACCCACCCGTAAGTATATCGGCCGAGCATGCTAACGCTCTGCTGCTGGTCGACTATTTGATCGTTATGATAGACGCTTGGACGGCGTGGGATCATGGCGCTGGACATGGCGCGAAAAATGGTGATAACGATTATGCTGACCAGGAGGTTTTTGATTTCCTTTGTGGGAGAGTACCCCCCTGACGAGGATGTACTGATCTGCATGCATGCTATAGCAGCAGCGAGAAGACTAGTGACGAAGGCATATTTGGCGAGTCTATACCTCTGCACGCAGGAAGGTTCTGTATAAAATGTGATAGAATGCAGACAAAGAAGCGCCTGTGATTTCAAGTTAGTTACCGTATTTCATTTTTGGTCTCGCAACACCTACCCAGGCACCAGCCTGCAGCCAAAAGGGAGCGCTGCGAATATCCGGCCCTGACCATGGTGCTGGTGCAACAACCGCTAACGCCAACGCCAGGTGGAAGCCCACGACAGACAGGATCATGATAGCAGCTTTCTGCCATCCGTCCGAGAATGCCTGTAGCGAGGCTTTCGTCGCGACGCCATCTTCGTCCTCATATGCTTGAAGACTGTCTTGTGGCGCGAAGGGTGCCGTACCTGACTCTGTTGATAACTGGATAGGCTGCTGTTTTCTTGCCAGCCGGCAGATGACTTTGCAAGCCGCAGGCACCGTAGAGGCCAGAATCAACAGGAAGCCCAGCGTGGCTGCCACGGAGGACAGTCTGTCAGGATGCAATGCCATGCTTTGTGGACGATAACGAGGGACATGGAGATAATTGTCGCAAATGTACGTTATTGCAGAGACAGGAGCAGTGGGACTAACAGCGGGGTGAGTCCAGACCTGTTTCTGAAATCACAACAGGATCATTCTTGAGCAAACCCAGGTCGAAAGTGACTGGCAAAGTAGGACTTCGGGGTCAGGGATTGCACATTCCTCGCGGGGTCTGCCCATGTATCCCCTGATGGGCTGTTGCTAATTGGTTACTAGCGCGCGAGGTACGCACCATGCACTTGAGGTATGCTGGTGATGTTGATATTGTTTACTTTGGAGTTGTGTGCACAGATAAATCCGGTGGTTTGACACACAAGGCATGCGAACATCTGTGCGACGGGGTTGGATACACAGGTGCAAGACACCAAGTCAGCCGCTGGGCTGCTAATAGGTAGTCTATCTTGGAGAAGTGTTTGTCAGGCCTGATGATGGTCATTCTTGGTCAAAGAGTAGACATTCCACGATAAACAACCGAGCCGACAAGATCATAAGGCATCAAGGCAGACATCATATCACCAGGCACCAAGGCACCAAGGCGCACAGGCAGCAACTTCCTGTTTCACTTCCGATCTTATCGGCTTCACATCCGACATCTCTCCAACTCTTCGGAATGAAGTTGGAGGGGTTGATGGCGGGTGATTTCTTGAAATTGCCACCGTCATGGATCTTCTGTTTCAGACAGGACCTGATTCTACATATATCTGTCTTTGCGCACTAATTCCCGGCGGTGTTGATCAAATAGTCTTCCTCGCTGTATTTCTACAGGACGATTATATATAGCAATCCCAACCGACCGACATCATGGCTAAGTCAAATACGAACGAATACTCGCCCGTTCGCGAAGCAGGTCGCATTTTCTCCCTGCTTTGCGATCAGTCAGAGCGGCTGAGTCTACCAGCGGAGGTCTCCCAAGCCAGAAACGCCGTCTCGTTCAATTCGTCGTACGACCAAATCTACTTCCCGATTCCGTTCAAGGAGACGGAGACCCTTGCGGCGCTGAAAGGCGTGGAGGGCGCCGTGGCCGCCGCGCTGGCAGACTTGCGCTACGGGTCAGCTTCCCCGCCGCGCAAAGTCAGCATCAACCTGGAGCGCGCGACGGCGTTTGGCTGCCAAGCGTATATGGCGAAGGTGGATGGCCTGTCCAAGCTGGATCCTGAGGTGAAGAAGAAGTTGAAAGATACCGATTTGCTGGCGGCCCAGTCTAATGGTTATCGGCGGATGTCTGCCAACTTGTACAGGACGAAGAACGAGGGAGAGTACTTCCATATCCACGGGTCCCTGGAGGCTACGACGACGCTGAACATGATCGGCTTGGAGGGACACCGGCCTGATCTGACGGACTACGAGGAGATAATCAAGGTGATTGAGAGCCATGTGCAGCGGTACAGCGTTGCTGAACTGGAGGAAATGAACAAGGAGCGGAGACAGGCTGGCGTGACGGCATACAAGCACGACGACTTTATCCAGACCCCGCATGTACGTATTCTGCCTTTTCCCGAGCAGAGTGGATTCTGACTAGCTACAGGGGAAACTGAACGTGCAGGAGCCTCCGTGGAAGGTATCCCGTCTGGACGGCGATGCCCCGCCCACGCCCTTCCCGGCTCGCTGTAACGGGAGCACCAGGATCTTGGAAGGGGTCAAGGTCCTGGAGCTCTGCCGCATCATTGCGGGCCCCACCGTCGCGCGCATCCTGGCGGAGTACGGTGCCGATGTGCTGAAGATCACCAGCCCGCATCTGTCCGACGTGCCCTTCTTCCAGGTCGACGGCAACATGGGCAAGCATGCTGCCGACTTGGACCTCAAAACGGAGGAAGGCCGTCGCCAATTCGAAGAGCTCGTAGCGGACGCCGACGTCGTCGTCGACGGCTACCGACCCGGCGCTCTCGAGAAGCTCGGCTACGGGCCACAGGCACTCGCAGAGATGGCCGAGAAGCGTGGAAAGGGCATCGTGTACGTATCGGAATATTGCTTTGGCTATGAAGGCGAGTGGGCAGGCCGACCAGGCTGGCAGCAGATTGCAGACTGCGTACGTTCTCCTCCTAGCACCAAGGAAAGATAAAAACTACTGCTAACAGCCGTTCCATCAATAGGTAACAGGCATAGCCTGGGCCCAAGGCCAATTCATGGGTCTTTCCAACCCAGTCGTCCCCCCCTTCCCCATCTCCGACTACGGCACGGGCTGCATGGGCGCGATCGCCGCCCTCAGCGGACTCTACCACCGCGCAACAACGGGCGGCTCCTACCACGGCAAGGCATCGCTAATGCACTACGATCTACTGCTCTTCGCCGTGGGCACTTACCCAGCCGCGGTGCAGGAGGTGATGCGTGCAGCGCAGCCGGCGGAGTTTTTCGGTCTACGCCACTGCGACAGCGTGGATCGGATCTCGTCGACGGTGTTGCGGGGGATGCAGAAGCGGTTTCCGCATCTTTATGAGACGGATGTGCTCACTGAGCGGTGGTATTCCAAGGCGTATGATGCGGAGATTGAGGTCGTGCGGCCGATCGCGGAGATCGAGGGCGTTGATAATCAGTTCGTGCGGGGGAGTCGACCGAACGGGGTGGATGAGGCGAGTTGGAGGTTTGATGGGGGTGAGGATTGTAGGTTGAGTTAGGGTATACTTGTATGAAAGGCATCAGTGGCACGATGTGTGTTCAATCAGAAGCACTAGTACTGGGTACATTTGAATGAACATTGAAATAAAACAGAAGCAGTAGAAATATCGGAAGAGCAATCGGAAGAGAACCGGAAGTGGGGTTGATATCGGACCGTTGGATATATATCCTCCTGTATTATTTACACCATCCACATCCTACAACATATTTACAAGTAACACTTCTACTGCAATTTTAACAACCCAATTCATTAAACAATCACCCACCATCTCAAACAGTTCCATAAGAAAAAGGAAAAGAAAAGCAGCAACATGTCTTACAACATCACTCTCAACCCCGCCTTCTCCCCCTCCCCCGAATCCACCTCCGCAATGACTTCCTTCCTGGAGTCCTTCTACGCAACCAGCGATACGGAATCCGCGCACGACAAGTATCCTTCTTACTTTACGGATGATGCGACGCTTATTATGGGGTCGAAGGTTGCCAAGGGATCTCAGGGTTCGTTGATCCTCTTCTTCTTACTTCTACTGCCGCCTCTACTTCTACTCGTCATATCATACTAGTAATCAGAGTATAGTATAGAAACTATACTGATAGTAGTATTCATTACAAAGCTAACAAATGATAAAATATGATAGAAATCCTCACCCTCCGCCACAACCTCTGGACACACGTCGCATCACGGAAACACTCCCCAACAAAGGTCTTCTTCGGGGGCCCGCGCGAGCTAATGCTCTACGGGACGGCGAGGTTCGTGCTGCGCGCGGATGCAGATAAGCAGGAGGTGGAGGTGCCGTGGGCGGGACGGGTCGTGTTTGGTGAGGGCGAGGAGTTGAAGATGCGGTTTTATCAGGTTTATTTGGTTAGTATTCCCCCCTCAACCCCTTCCTTTGGTGTGTGCGTTTGTCATGCTTGGTGTGGTGCTGATGAGGGTAGGATCCTACGGTGCAGTCTGGGAAGAAGTAAGATTGGAAGAAAAGGGAGTAAAGGAGATTGTATACAGTAGTTATTAAAGATTTAACAATGCTAGCCGCCAATGTGATATCTATAGAACCAACCGCCCCGGCTCCACGGTGAGGAGCGCCTGGACCCGGTCGAGGAACGTCTGCGCCCGCTTCTTGTCGCTCAGCGGCACCGTCAGGCTGAAGACGTTGGTCGCGGGCTCCTCGGGAGCGGCTGCGACCCGGGTAGCAGTCCGCTTCTTGGACTGGCCGCTGAGGATATCGATGAGGTCGTCCTGCGCGCGCGGGGCCGTCTGGATCGGTCCATCGAAGGCGTTCAGCTCGGGGATGTAGTCGCCCCGCGAGGTGACGATGGGGTCCGCGCCGAGGACCTCGTCGAAGAGTTCGTCGGCGGAGCGCTTGTCGGTGGACGACCGGGGCAGGTCGTCGTTGGCGAGGTCGGCGGCGCGGGCCAGGAAGGTGGACAGCGGCACGTTGACGCCCAGCGTCTCGGAGAGCTTGTTCTGCACGGACAGCACGGCCGCCAGCGAGATCGACACGGCGACCGACGTGGTGGGTGGGGCGCGGGCCACGGGCTTCTCGGGCTCCTCCACCTTGACCGGCTCCGCCGGGGCGGGGGGCGCCGCGATCTTGATGTTGCTCAAGTCGAGGTGAGCCAGCTTCTCGAGTCGCTGGGCCTGCGATGAGGGGTAGTCGCGCGGGATGGCGCCGATGTAGGCGAGCACGTCACCCTTTAGGAGACGGCCCTTGGGTCCGGAGGCTGGGATCTTGGAGAGGTCGGATTCGGGAATCCCATTTTGGTGAAGGAGTTGGGAGACGGAGGGGTAGAGCGGGTAGGAAGGGTTCTGGGTCTGGCCGGAGGACGAGGATTGGAAACCTATGACCAGGATTAGTCAATATAACTTGGTGAAGACGGGATGCGTGATCAGTGGTCTTAGGCGGGAAACTCACGGCGACCGGTGCTGAGAATCCGGGGCTGCCGCCGGGCCAGAAAGGCGGGGATTTGACGCGAAGGGAGACTGGCAGACATTTCGAATTTCCTCAAAGATTGGGGGTGTAGTCGAAGGACGGGGTTTTCCGCGGGATTGGTGTGGGATCTAGAATGGGTTGAGAACGGGCGGCCAACCAGGTGGTTGGGAATCCCAGAGATCCCTGAAATCCAGTCGCACGGAGGTCGGATAAGGCGGGTATATTGACGCGAGAGAAACGAGAGTAAATGAGAGATGATTGGAGGGGTCGCGCGAGAGAGATGGAGGACGGGATGAAGCCGAAGTGAAGCAGTTGGGATGGAGAGAAATGTTGAGTTCACCGGTCGCCGGGTCGGGAATATTTTTCAGCGGAGATAACATCCTTATCGATAAGGATGTTATCGATAAGACTTTCCTCTTTCGTTCATGGATAACTTCATCTCTTCTCTTGCCCTGTAAACAACATTCATATCACTCATCTAGTCAACAGATGAATCGGCTCTATCAGGACTTTCTATACGAAAAGGATACGAACCATGAGAAGACTAACCTATATCATTGGCCGGCTTGTTTACCAGATTCAGCCGCAGTCACTATGCTATACCCTGTCGGTATTGCGCCTCAGCCTAGATGCCACGATGCTCTACCCCGCTGCTTGCTGACCTACCTCTTCTCATCCCCTTCTGTCTACACGGCTAACCAAACGTTTCTTGCTCACTATCGAATATTCTGCTTCTACTATTACCGTGATAAATATCCCTGTGGAATTCCTTCCATTTCGATTGATAATTGATACATCGACAATTGCTGCAACCATGTCAGCTCTACCACCGAGCAAATCCCAGCATTCCTCGGTCGAAGATCTTGTTGCTGCTTTACAGGCTTATTGGTACTACGAGGAATCTATGTTGATATCCTTCATTATGCTTAATTTGAACACTATTGATCTCCCGGTCAACAGTCGAACTGCACTTTCGTACGCCGTCGAAACTCCGTATACCGATTGTGTTCGTATCCTATTGCAGTACAGCCATTCCAGCACCATAAATCAACCCGATGCAACGGGCCGAACTGCGCTTTCGTATGCGGCGACTGCAGAGGTCAACCAAATTAGAAAACCAATTCAGAGACCGCTGGGCCCGGGTCGCGATTTGAACTCTATGTCGAGGGAAAGTATCAGACTCTTGATAGATAAGAAAGCGGATCCCCGAAGTCAGGATCAAACCGGCCGAACGCCTCTGTCATGGGCCGCCGGAATGGGATGCGAAGCAACAGTTAGATTTTTCTGCAACGAGTACAAAGAAGGTGATGCCGTATTCGCCGCGGATCATGACGGCCGAACGCCTCTTTCATGGGCCGCCGGAATGGGATGCGAAGCAACAGTTAGATTTTTCTGCAATGAGTACAAAGAAGGTGATGCCGTATTCGCCGCGGATCATGACGGCCGAACGCCTCTGTCATGGGCCGCCGGAATGGGATGCGAAGCAACGGTTAGATTTTTCTGCAACGAGTACAAAGAGGATGATGCCGTATTTGCCGCGGATCATGGCGGCCGATCGCCTGTGTCTTATGCTGCACAGGCTGGAAACCACTATGTCGTCAGGAAACTTTTCAATACAAAAAAAAACTATGACGATTGCGATCATGAGAATCGGACACCTTTGTACTGGTGTCTTCAGGAACGGTGGAGGAATGACCAATCTAAGAACAAGCCTATTCCGCGTGATGCCGCAATGTACTCGTGTCTCCCGCCAAACTTCATCTCAAAACATCGCTCTAGAATGCCGCCGAAATCGAGCGAACAGGGTATTGTCAAGATACTGAACCAGTCTGTCAAAAGAAAGATGACCTTGTTATCAGAAGCTGTTATGCATGATGACAAGTATGCCGTGGAAGTCCTCATAAGCATACCGCATTTCACCTGTGATGCGATTAACGAGGAAGGGGGGGAGACAGCACTTATTCTTGCACTCCGTTACGGTAAAAAACCCATCTTTAGATTATTATGTGGCAATCTGGGGGAATCACTCGAGCAAATAAAGCGCCACTCATCATCTGAAAAAATATTTCAGCGTTTCCTGGAGGTCGGCAAGGATTGGCTCAAATATTCGACTATGAAATACGAAGGCTTGTCTAAAATAAGACAGTTTCTTCGAGCTTCACTTGAAGAGCTTCTGCAATATAAGGAAGTTGAAAAGGTCGAGCAACGACTCGGAAGATTGATTGATACACTTCGAGTCCCTCTGACTGAGCTGAATTGGGTGATCGACTCTGAATGTAGTCTACGAGAAACAGTGGCGAATATAAAGCAGATCAGTCTTCTCCATGTCCTTCTGGAACATGGCGTTGACCCAGCTACGCTGTGTCTCACAGGAAACTGGTTCAATTTACATCCCACTGATGCAAAGGCTTCTTTGCAATTGTGGCAACTGCCAGAGCCTGAAAAGTATTCATACCATCGAACGCAAACGCAAACGCAACCGATACCCAGACGCAGGATAGACCCCTCCATGCGAAAGCTGACTAGAGAGCAGGAGCAATCTCTAACATGGGGTCTATCTCAGAAGAAACAGCCCACACATGGCATGAAACTCAGAACACCAGATGAATTGGAACACATTCAATGCTGTGAAAATTCCAAGACAACGATTCTGTACCATGCATCTTCTTATCATCCTACTGTACCTTGTTTGGCTAACAGTTGGTAGTGCACACAACGAGCGAGACGCCTGGGAAAATTTCTCCGACAAAAGGCGAGATGGCAGTATTGAATCACGAACATGTCACACAACCTTTAGTATACTTCTTCAATCCACGGAAAATAGCTCGATGTGTAATCTCCAAGGATTAGAGCAGACCTTATGGGGAGTCCAGTGGACAATTCCTCATGAAAACCAGCATAATCCCTTCTACAATAGCTCATTGTCAAAGATCTGGATTCCCGAGAGTATCTCAGAGTTCCTGAAGCAGTTTTGGGAAGAATTTGATGAAGAGTGGGAGCGATACTGCGATTCAACCGAAACCCATTTAGTGGAACATGTGCGTGGCGATCTTCCCAACTCGGATCTATTTCTTTTCTTTTCTGACCTCTGTGTGGCCTTCCAAATAGCGACAACAATTTGCTAAGGGATCATTGGACCCCAAGCATATCAATGATCTAGGACGTGATCTTCTATATCTTGCGCATCTACGGCGTACCCTTCACTATCAGCTGAAGACCATCGAGGCCGAAATGAAACGCTACTATAGCACCGTGGTAAAAGATGATCGCGAAGACAAGAATAAATCCTTACAGAGTAATCTCAGATCGATTAAGCTGTATTACACAGAAAAGCTCGACCGATTTGAACACACCATCAATTCTATATCGCAGATGGTAAGCAGCTGCGCTACTCCTTTTCTGAATGGGATGATTTACAACCCACTTAGGAGTATACTCGCCAATCTATTCACGAGGCCACCTTTATAAGAAGGATCAGTGTTGTGACTGTAAGAATCCACCGTCCGATTGCCCACCGTGATGATCCCACAGCTTATCGATCTTGAAGTTCGTTTATCTACCTCTGATGTTTACTGCAGTAAGATACACCCTACCGTTTTGTGCCAAAGGAAAGATACTAAACAAGAACAGTCCCTTTTCGGTATGAACGTCAATGCCACAGAAGGATCTCCAGGATGGCAGTGGTTTCTGCCTTTTGCCGCCGGCTTTTGGGGACTTACATACCTTCTTTGGAAAATTTCTGGCCAGGTAAATGAATCCAGTGCACATATTATAATGACCAAGACTGATAGAGTTCAGTCGGCGACGGAAATCAAAAGAGGACTAGAGTCTTTGAAAAGACCCTGGAGGATTAATTACGCGAGGAAAAACAATCCTGAAGACACTGCTTGAACTGCCATATCATATCCAAAGGAAGTCATCAGCTCAACACCGGTTCAATCGGTGTGGCCCAATCTCGGGCATCACAAAGTGCTGCAGGAGCCATGCTCGAGTGCTTTGCAGAGTTGTGGGTGGTTTGGGGGATCCTTTGTGTGGGAGGACTGATGGAAGACGGTCGAAATATTGATCAATTGGTCATTCTGATTACTCTGAAAAATTGTGACTAGTTACAAGCTTTGAAATAAGATCTATTCAGGGAAGTCCAGGCAAGCCAGTTAACTTGTTGGCTGATTGCATGTCTCTCAATCCAGCACACTCATCCCGTGGAGGGCAAGGGGGCCCGGACGCTGGGAGGAACCACAGGCCAGTGGGCGTCCGCACGCACCAGTATCCAGCACAATTCAGACGAAAGAAGTATACCTGTCTTCGAAAATCCACGAGAACCATCTTCATTTTCTTGAAACTAAAGTAATATAGCCCTCTCCCGCGTATCATGTACAGTAGAGTAGACATAGACCACCGCCCTACTCCACCAGCACAACCACCGCTTCAAACGGCCTCAACTCCCAGGTTTCCCCAGAGAATCTACCTCCCACCTTCTCCACACCCTCATACGTATCCAGCAGCACAGTCTTCGACGCCACCCCCTTAGCGGCAGCATCCCACCGCACCGTCCCCTCCGTCCAATTCGCCACAACAACAGCCTTCAACCCCTCATACAGCCGACTATAAGCAAAGACCTCCTCGCTCTTAGCATCCACAAGCTCATAGTTTCCGTAAACAAACACATCCAGATACTTCTTCCGCAGGCCGAGCACCGCGCCCCAGAAGTGGTAGATTGAGGCAGGATCCTTAACGGCTGCTTCGGCGTTGATGCGGGTGTAGTTTGGGTTCACGGACATCCAGGGCTTGACAGTGGGGGATGTAAAGCCGCCGTTGGGAGCGGAGCTCCATTGAACGGGCGTGCGGCCGTTGTCGCGCGATTTCTTTTGATATTCTCGTCGGGCGGATTCTTGGGTGGCCGTGTCGGTGGGGTGGGATTTGAGGAGGCTGTTGTTGTTAGTTGGATGTAGTGTAGGGGGGAGAGAGAGGACATACCGATGCCAATGATTCAAACAGTCAATATCCTTATACTCCTCCATCCCCCACTCCTTCGGAACGTTCGACATGCCAATCTCCTGACCCTGATACACAAACGGCGAGCCGGACATCAAAGCCAACACAGTAGCCAACATCTTCGCCGCCTGCACGCGGTTCTCCTCACTAGCATTGACGTACCGGTCCACACAGCGCGGCTGATCATGATTCTCCCAGTACAGGGCATTCCAGCCATCATTCTCATACATAAACGTCTGCCAGCGCTCAAAGAACGCCTTCAAATCAGTGAGTTTCCAGCTCCCGGGCTCGAACTTGTCATAGCGGCCGTGGTCGATGTCCACGTGCTCGAAGTTGAAAATCATGTTGATCTCGTTGCGGTCGTAGCGCACAGCCTGCAACACCTCGTTCGTGTCCGTCACGAACGGCATCTCGCCGACGCTGAACGTGTCGTATTCCTTCAGGATCTTGCCCACGGCTTGGAGGTACTCGTGGAGGCGGGGCCCGTTCGCGTAGTACTTGTCGCCCCATTGCCAGGGTGTGCGGGGGTCTTTGATCGGCGCGTCGGGAAACCGCTGGTCTTTGCTGATGAAGTTGATGACGTCCATGCGGAAGCCGTTGGCGCCTTTGTTGAGCCAGAAACGCATGATGTCGAAGACGGCTTCGCGCACGGGTGGGTGCTCCCAGTTGAGGTCGGGCTGTTCGACGGCGTAGAGGTGGAGGTAGTATTCTTGGGTGTGCTCGTCCCATTCCCATGCGCTGCCTGAGGGGATTGATTAACGATTGTTCCAAAACACAATCGTATATATATATAAAATACAAAGTTATTTTATGAAGCGGATTGATGTACATACCTTGGAAATGCGAGACCCAATTATTCGGTGGCTGCCGGTTCCCCTGCTCATCATACCGCGCCGGCTTCCACACATACCAATTCCGATACTCACTATCCTTCGAGCTACGCGACTTCTTAAACCACTCATGCTGGTCACTAGTATGGTTAACAACGAGATCCATCAGCAGCTTCATGCCGCGATCATGACATCCCTTAATCAGCCGCTCCACATCCGCGACCGTGCCGTATTCATCCGCAATGCTGTAGTAATCGGCAATGTCATACCCCATGTCCACCTGGGGCGACTTGTACGACGGACAGAGCCAGACAATGTCCACGCCGATGTCCTTGATGTAGTCCAGCTTGGAGATGATGCCCGGGATGTCGCCGATGCCGTCATCGTTGGAGTCTTTGAAGGAGGCGGGCCAGATCTGGTAGACGGAGCTTTCTTTCCACCATGCGCGGTGGATTTGGGTGCTTGGTTTGGCCATTGGGGGAGTATTGATGGATGGGTAGATGATGGGATAGACGATGGGATGAATGGGAGAGTAGTGTCAGGAGGGTGGATGAGGGGTCCAGCTGTTGTTCTTGTTGTTGCTGCCCGCATCTCAGGCGGGGCAGAAGCAGATCAATTGCGGAGATGCACGCCTGGACAGGTTCCACACGCTGGTCGAATCAGTGTACTCCACGATAGAAGGCAGTCTGTCCAAGAAAGTGAAACCCCGGTAGAGTTCAGATGAAGAGGAGTATCCCAACTTCCATACATAAGTGTAACCATCAACCATCGTCATGGAGAGCCTATGAAAACAGAAATCCAAAAGTAGAGAAAAGAAAACGGTATCCTGTATTGATAAACGCTCCTATATTAAAAACATGAAATGAAAGAATTTTGGTGTTCGCCTATCCAGAAAACAGAAAAAAAAGCCATGCAAATCTGAAGTTATTCGTACTCAAACAGTCATTTATTCGACGGCATCAGTGACACAGCCGTGGCTGGCGTCCTTGACGGTGCTTTGATGGTGTTAGCATACTTCACATCGAAGGGGAAAGATAGGTTGGAATGGTTAGACTCACCGAGCATACTTGCCCAGGGTGCCCCTGAGGGTCAGACCCGTGGGAGGCAGCTTGCCAGCCGCCTTGTCAGCCTCCCACTGCTTTCGGCGCTCCACCAGCTCGGCCTGATCAACCTCCAGGTCGAGGACGCGCTTCTCGGCGTCGATGGTGATGACGTCGCCGTCGTGGACCAGACCGATGGGACCGCCGACGGCGGCCTCGGGCACGATGTGGCCGATCAGGAAGCCGTGGGAGCCACCGGAGAAACGGCCGTCGGTGATCAGGGCGCACGAGTCACCCAGACCGGCACCCATCAGGGCAGAGGAGGGCTTCAGCATTTCTGTGAGATGGATTAGTATTATGCCACGAAACGAAGAAGCAGAAAGGAGAGAGAGAGGAGTGAAATAACGGACCAGGCATGCCGGGACCACCCTTGGGTCCAGTGTAGCGGATGACAACCACAGTCTTGTCCTCCTTCTTGATCTCGTTGCGCTCCAGAGCGGCGATGAAGTCGTCCTCCTCGTCGAACACGCGGGCCTTGCCCGTGAAGTTGGTTCCCTCCTTGCCGGTGATCTTACCCACACTGCCACCGGGGGCCAACGAGCCGCGGAGGATCTGGATGTGACCGGTCGGCTTGATGGGCTCGGACATAGGACGGATGATCTTCTGGTCCTCGGGGAAGTCGGCCACCTTCTCCAGGTTCTTGGCGAGGGTCTGACCGGTGACGGTCATGCCGGAGCCGTCGATGACGCCCTCCTTGATCAGGAACTTGAGCAGCGACGGGGTACCGCCGATGGAGTGCAGGTCAGCCATGACGTACTTGCCCGAGGGCTTCAGGTCCGCCAGGAAGGGGGTGCGGTCGGACACCTTCTGGAAGTCCTCGAGGTCCAGCTTGATGCCGACGGAGTCAGCGATGGCGATCAGGTGCAGCACGGCGTTGGTCGAGCCGCCCGTGATGTTAACCACGATCATGGCGTTCTCGAAAGCCTGGCGCGTGAGGATGTCCTTGGGGCGAATGTCCTCCTTGAGCAGGTTCTTGATGGCCTCGCCGGCCGCCAGACACTCCAGGTACTTGGCCTGGGACTCGGCGGGGTTGGAGGAGGAACCGGGGAGGGTCATACCCATCACCTCGATGGCCGTGGCCATGGTGTTGGCGGTGTACATGCCACCGCAAGCACCGCCACCGGGGCAGGCGTTGCGGATGATATCAAAGCGCTGGGGCTCGTCGATCTGACCGGTGATGAACTGTCCATAAGCCTGGAAGGCGGAGACAATGTCGATGTCGGCATTGCTCTGCATGGCGGCGCAGCCGGGCTTGATGGTGCCGCCGTAGACCATCAGACTGGGGCGGTTGACGCGGCCCATGGCCATGATGACACCGGGCATGTTCTTGTCGCAGCCGGGGATGCTGATGTTGGCGTCGTACCACTGGCCGCCCATGACGGTCTCGATGGAGTCGGCGATCAGGTCGCGACTCTGCAGCGAGTACTGCATGCCGGTGGTGCCCATACTGATGGCGTCACTGACACCCACGGTGTTGAACTGGAACCCGACCAAGCCGGCCTTCTGAACACCCTCGCGCACGCGATTGTTCAGGTCGAGCAGATGCATGTTGCACGGGTTGCCATTGTACCAGACGGAGGAGATGCCGACCTGGGCCTTGTTCATGTCGGCTTCGGTGAGACCGGTGGCGTACAGCATGGCCTGGGAGGCGCCCTGCGAGATGGGCTGCGTGACATGGCTGGAGACCTTGTTGAGAGGTTCTTCTTTGCGCTTCGGGAGGGTAGTAGAGAGGAGACGACTAGAGGACAACCATTAGCAACTGATCCTCATCTGGTTCCTAATCCAGGTCCTTGTACGTACGCGCTATTCGTGACGGCAGGTCTCGAGAAGCTCCGCAGAGTGGCGGGCATGAGCCGACCCTTGACTTGCGAGAGGAGCATGATTGCAGCAGAATATACAAGTCACACACCACAGCAGAAGAAATGGATGAGAAAAGTCTGGGTGAAGAATGTCCGCTGAAAGGAGAAGGTCAAGAGCTTCTTCCACCATGAAAAAAAAGTGGATCGCGATCCTCCGCAGCGAAGTCGGAGCTGGCCTCAGGCTCCCCGCCAATCCGATCCCGCAGGTTGTCAGCGCGCTAGCCGTGTTGGGCGATGACTAATGTATCATTTATCCGGACTTCCTATCTATATCTGTTCTATGCTCTATCCATAAGAGGATGTGGCACTGTATAGAGTCTTGAATGTCATGGGTATATTTCTAGCTGAGTGACAATTACTTCTTCAATTGCAGTAGTGAACATGCGTGCCTTTGCAGCTCATCAGGAGACCGCCGGCACTTCTATAACGATCGCAAGCCGAAACAATAGCTATATAACTGTGAAACGAAAACGGAATCAAGGCAAAGAAATCAAGGGATTGAATCATGGGTATATATGTCCAAGATAAAAAAAAAAAAAAAAATTTCCACAAGATCAAGAGTGAATGAACGATATGTTGCGAATCCTCGGCCAACGGGCGCAAACCAAGTGCACGGCACCGGTCGACCCGCGTTTAGGCCAAACGTTCATGGTCCTGCTTCTTGCGGAAAGACCCGTGGATCTGACGCTCGTGCACGATGCTCCACAGACAGACCAGAATGCCCGCCACTCCGGAGAAAAAGGTGGTGTAGTAGGCAGCCTGGTAGCAGCCGAGACCGTCGAGGCAATCCCGGTCGCCGTCATCTCCCACGATGGAGTGACGGTCGTAGATGCTGCCATACAGCATGTTGAACACGTTGCCGCTCAACACCGGGGCCAGCGTCATCACGCCCCAATTCTGGGAGAGACCGCCGATGCCAAAGGTGTGGGCGACCAGGGACGGGAAGACTCCGAACAGGAAGCCATACGCGACACCGGTGAACCCCGAAACGACCACCAGCTGGTGCGGGTTGGTGATCGCGGCGCCGGCCATCTGCGTCACCGTGAAGACGAATGCGGAGACGAAGAGACACCAGAATCGCGACATGTCCAGTTTCATGACCAGAATGTCGGAGCCGATACCTAGAATGGGACCATCAACGACCGGTCCAATTGCGGACAGCAAGAGCACGTACCACTAAGAAGTCGGCCAACAAAGTTGCCAAAGGACAGGACCGACACGTGCATGACCTGCCGTTGCTGGATGAACTTGTCGTTGGCGCTATCATCGTAGTGCATCCACAAAGCTTTGGTCTGCCGGGATTAGTATAGGATCGGATGAGGTGGGGCCATATCCCTTACCGTATTGCCAATATTGCTGAGAAACCGTTAGCCTAGGTCAACTTCTTAGGAGACTGACAGGGAGACAAACTTGATGGTCATCAGTCCGATTCCGGACAGCAGCGCCATGGTCAGAAAAAGCTGCCAGAACTCGACCCTCGGCAGCATCGCCAAGCCTCTAACGTCTTGATGAGGCGAGTCAAGGCCAACGGCCGACAGCCCATCGTCCTCGTCTTCCTCGTTCCCGTGCCAAAAGTCTCGCGAGTGCCTCGAGGTCGTCTTGGACACCAGCGACGACGTTTCATCGAGGTCGGGGTTGTGAGTCCGCACGTGCGAGTTCGACACGGAAGATTGGGACCGTACGTGAAGCCGGGATTGAGACTCGAAAGCGGTCGAACTCTGAGCACCTTCATCGCCAGTCTCTCCCACGGACAGCATCTCGCTGGACCGGTGCTTGCGAAGCCGGCGGGTCTCGGCTGGGACTCGTTCCCGGGCCAGCGATTGATACTCCTCGGTCGGGGGCATGATTCGAAGGAACGGAATGGACACCATGTTGAGAAAGAAGGTCCCCAGAGAGAGGAGCAGGAGGAATTGGCCGGTATCATCTTTGAAGAGGACAGCGGAAACGGTGGACCAGAAGAAGGCGCTCAGGCCAAAGGCGGCGAGAGGAAATGCAGTCGCGGTACCGCGGTGATCGGGGAAATTGGATGCCGCTGAGATCTGTCAGTTGGAGACGGACAATACGAAGTGCCATGTTGACATACCGGTCTTGATAGAAGCGGAAAAGGCAGAGCAACTTCCAAAACCCGTGAGGAAGCAGAATAACGAGAGCAACGCGATCCCCAGTGATCCCTGCCCATGGCTATAGGCTATAGTTACGAACGACAGATCAGCATACAACTCCGCACCATTACCGATGGGGAGGCTGCCACCCACCTTGATAAATCGGATAATACCCTATCCCAAGGGCGATTCCTCCGATAAAGGTGGTGAGACGGGGTCCCCGAGCATCCGTTAACAACCCCAACGGAATCCCTGAGGCGTACATTCCCAAGTTACCGGCCGCACCCTAGAACCAGTCAACGACCATCCATTCCGGGGGGCCACGAAGACGCAAGAGCCTTACAATGAAGTTACTCTCGGTGGACGAGATTTTCATCTTGTGGGCAAATTGAGGGGCCCATGCAGAATAGGCATACTGTCCATCTGTCAGTCCAGTCCCTCAGGCCGATGTATCGCATTCAAACCTAAGAGAGCCGCACGTTGGTACCACAGGCCAAGGCCACGAGGGTTCCCGCAATCACGGAGATAACCCGCTTCGATTTTGTCGAGTCTGCCATGGTGAAATCATGCGTTCGATATAGTCTATGTCGTCAAAAGGCCCGTTCAAACACACGAGGGGCAGTCGGTGATATCGTTATCCAGAACGATTGGTCACGTTGAGATCATAAACCCAAAGCCGCGGGACAGATAAGCCAAGTAGTCACTTGACGCGAATGAAGGGCCGAGAGCGGACAAGCAAGACTCTCATCCAAACCGGATAACCAGCGGTTTGGGAAGTAGAGAAGGGGGAAAGACAGGGATTGAAAGACAGTGGAAGAGAGAAAGATAAAACAAAAAAAGAGAGCGAAGGAGAGACGCAGAGACGACAGATAAGAAGAACAAGAACGATTCGAGGGGGAAGGAGACCTGGCCTGAGGCAGCCCGGAGGACAGACCGTTATGCCCGGGAGAATGCATCTTACGTAATGCCAATGCATGCATTCCCGGGCCGATAATTGCCCGCGTCTTGGCATCATCATCGATCACCTGACCGGCTGACCCACCTGACTCACCGCCCGGGAGGCAACGTGACGCCGTCTCCGTTTGTCTCCGTTTGCCTCCGCGCTGGATCAACTTGCGACAAGGTGTGAGAGACACTCGTCTGCTTTCTATTTGAAGAGAACGGCCGATTACCATATTCCTACCTGCTTGTAGTGGTTGACAGGGCTCAGTTCAGCATCATGGGAGCTCTCCTCTCGATCCCTCTCTTGGCCCTTCCGAGTGCCAGCACGGTACGTCATTCACTCTATCTGGAAGAATTGCAGACTGACGATAAGCATAGCTCATCACCGTTGCGACATCATGTTGTGGTGCTGCGACGTGCTCGGCGGTGTGTAGCGCATGTGGAAAGTTTCAGAACAGGTAGGGAGATCAGACGTGGACTGGGAATTCGATAAGACTAGAGCTGACAGTAATGCAGCATGGCCACGAGAATCGCATATGCGTTCATCCTACTCATCAACTCGATCATATCCTGGATCATGCTCACCCCGTGGGCCCTGAAAAAATTACAGAACATGACGTTGGATTACATGGAAATCAAATGCGACGGGAAAGAATGCCACGGTTGGGTCGCCGTCCATCGTATCAACTTCGCCCTGGGTCTCTTCCATCTGATCCTCGCGTTCATGCTCCTGGGGGTCCGGTCCACGAGGAACGGTCGGGCGGCTCTACAGAACGGCTTCTGGGGCCCCAAGGTCGTTCTGTGGATCCTCCTGGTCGTTGCCTCGTTCTTCATTCCCGAACAGTTTTTCTTCGTCTACGGCACCTACATTGCGTTCCTGTGCGCCATGCTCTTCCTCCTGCTGGGCTTGATCCTGCTGGTGGATCTGGCCCATTCGTGGGCCGAGCTCTGTCTGCAGAAGATCGAGGACAGCGGGTCGGGTCTCTGGCGGGGCTTGCTGATCGGCTCGACGGTGGGAATGTACGTTTCGTCGCTCGTGATGACGATTTTGATGTATATCTTCTTCGCCCGCAGCCAGTGCCACATGAACCAGGCAGCGATCACGGTACGTGCTAACTCGATCATACCCCTTCCAATGTCGGCCATTACTGACGTTCCAGATCAATCTGGTTGTCTTCTTAATCACCTCGTTCGTGTCGGTTCAACCCGTCGTCCAGGAAGCCAACCCCCGGGCGGGATTGGCACAGGCCGCGATGGTGACTGCATACTGCACGTACTTGACCATGTCGGCCGTGTCGATGGAACCGGACGACAACAGCTGCAACCCGTTGATCCGCGCGCGCGGCACGAGAACGGCGACGATTGTGCTGGGTGCGATTGTCACCATGGCCACCATCGCGTACACGACGACCCGTGCCGCGACCCAGGGTATTGCGCTGGGGTCCAAGGGCGGACACGGTTACTCCGCCGTCGGGACGGACGACAACGAACATGGCTTGGTGACCCAGCAGCCGACGGCTCGCCGGGAGATGCGCGCCGAGGTTCTGCGGCGAGCCGTCGCCAGTGGCAGTCTCCCCGCCAGCGCGTTGGACGAAGACAGCGATGACGAGTCGGACGATGGCCAGGATCGGGATGACGAGCGGGGATCGACCCAGTACAACTACTCCCTGTTCCATGTGATCTTCTTCTTGGCCACAACCTGGGTGGCGACCTTGCTGACCCAGAACCTGGACCCGGACACGGTGGACGACTTTGCGCCGGTGGGCCGGACGTACTGGGCCAGTTGGGTGAAGATCATCAGCGCATGGGTCTGCTATGCGATCTACCTGTGGACTTTGGTTGCGCCGGTCGTTCTGCCCGATCGTTTTGACACCTACTAGTATTGACCTATTGAGCTACTATATCCCGAGTCCTGTATTTTTGGTTCCTTGGAGTTGGGGGTTGTGCGATGGTCGCACATTCGGTCGTTTCCATTAGCATGTCTTTTGATTCTTTTTAGAGTGTTGTAACCGAATTCTACAGACTTAGCGATTCTATACCATATTATCCTATCTATAATCTCCCTTCGAATTCTAAATAGTTCGGGTTTATCTGGTGGAGAGATAAACTGCAACCCCGCGGGTAAGCGGAGAAGAAGCTCCTCCGCATGTAACGTTAGACCCAAAACAAACCATCCCACATCGCTCTTCTCCCCTCATCTGCGCCCGAATTCAAAGCCCCCCCCTCCCCCTCTCCTTATCAGTTAAGAGAACCCCACCTGATGAGTCGGGTCCTCCTCTCTCGATTGACTTGCAGTTCCTACCTGCCTACGTTCGGCATTGGCCCCAAGTCAGCTTCGATTCAGTTTCGGTGGACGGTCCACAGACGCACGATGGCCACGACGATCAATACCCCCAGGGATCCCAACACCCTGAGCAACTACAACAACTGGCGATCAACCCATATTACCGCGAATTTTGACATTCTCTTCGAGCAGAGAAAGCTTGCTGGAAATGTGATCCACAAGCTCCGGTCGATCACCGACGCGTCGTCCACGGAAATCATCTTCGACACGAGCTACCTGGATGTCGGCGACGTCAAGGTCGACGGCAAGCCCTCGACTTGGGAGCTTCTGCCGCGTATGGAACCGTATGGGACTGCTTTGAAGATTAAGCTGGATCAGGGCGTGAAGCTTGACGAGTCTGTTGATGTCGATGTATGGCTATCGCGTCGGGTGTCTATACACACAGCTAACATGCGACTAGATCTCTGTCAAGACCACGGACAAGTGCACGGCACTGCAGTGGTTGACTCCCGCGCAGACATCCAACCGCAAGCACCCCTATATGTGTATGTCATGTGACCTCGCCTGAAGCTGGGGCAGCGTTGACGGTCTGCAGTTTCTCAGTGCCAGGCGATTCACGCCCGGTCGATTTTCCCTTGCCAGGATACGCCGGACGTCAAGAGCACACTGGACTTCAACATCACCTCCCCCCTTCCGGTGATTGCCAGCGGATTGCCCGTTCGCAAGCCATCGAGTGGCTCTGAGGGGAAGAGCGTGTACCAGTTCCACCAGAAGGTTCCGATTCCGAGCTACCTGTTCGCGTTGGCTAGTGGGTAAGTTGCTGTTCCTCTAGGTTAATAGGCTTTGCTAACTTGTCCATCAAGGGATATCTCGGAAGCCTCCATTGGGCCGCGCAGCGTCGTCGCTACCAGCCCCGACAAATTACAAGAGTGCCAGTGGGAGCTCGAGGCGGACACGGAAAAGTTCATCAATGCGATTGAGGTGCGTCAGATCGACTGTTTGGCGGGACTCGCTGACTCTCTTAGAAAATTGTCTATCCATATGTCTGGGGTGAATACAATGTCTTGATCCTTCCTCCTAGCTTTCCCTACGGAGGGATGGAGAACCCAATCTTCACCTTTGCCACGCCTAGCATCATCTCCAAGGTATATTACCTGTTGTCGCAGACGATGACTATAAATCTGACACGGACTAGGACCGAGAGAATGTGGACGTCATTGCTCACGAACTGGCCCACAGCTGGAGTGGAAACCTCGTGACCAATGCTTCGTGGGAGCATTTTTGGCTGAACGAGGGCTGGACCACCTACCTGGAGCGACGGGTACGTATTCTTTTCAATGCCGGGAATACTAAAACTGACGAGTACTAGATATTGGCGGCAGTGTGAGTAGGATCACCATGGGCTTGAAATCAACCACTAACTGTGCAGACATGGCGAGGCCTATCGGCATTTCTCTGCCATCATCGGCTGGAAGGCGCTCGCAGACTCGGTGGACCATTATGGCGCCGACCACGAGTTCACCCAACTGATAACCGACCTGAAAGGCAAGGATCCCGATGATGCGTTCTCGAGCATCCCCTACGAGAAGGGGTTCAACTTCCTGTACCACCTGGAGACCTTGGTCGGGAAGCAGAAGTTCGACCAGTTTATTCCCCACGTGAGTTCTTCCCTCTTTCTCGTCTCGAATCAAACTAATACCATATAGTACTTCACAACCTTCAAGGGAAAATCCCTGGACTCATACGAATTCAAAGCCACGATCCTCGAATTCTTCCAATCCGACACCGAAGCCTCCAAGCTCCTCACCGAGCTCGACTGGGACAAATGGTTCTACGCCCCGGGTCTCCCACCCAAGCCTCAATTCGACACCTCCCTCGTAGACGTCGTCTACAAGCTCGCCAAGCAATGGGAGTCTCTGCCAGGATCATCCTTCAAGCCCCAGCCCAGCGACATCGAAGGCCTAACCGCCAACCAGATCGTCGTCTTCCTGGAGCAGTTCCTCACCGCGCCGAAGCCCCTCTCCCCAGAGCTATCCAAGCTCATGGGCGAAGTCTACGGCCTCACCACGACGAAAAACATCGAAGTCGCAAACCTGTACTGCCAAGTTGGCTTGAAAGCCGGAGACAAGAGCGTGCTTGCTCCCGCCGCGGACCTGCTCGGTCGGATTGGACGCATGAAATTCGTGCGACCTCTGTACGTTATACTATACTACACCCTTAATCCGTCCCTAGACTATATCTGTTTTAGGAAACAAACTAACGAATCACACCAGGTACCGCAACCTCTCGCGCGTCGACCCCAAGCTCGCAGCCGAGACGTTCGAAAAGAACAAGGACTTCTACCACCCCATCTGTCGCTCCATGGTCGAGAAGGATCTGTTTGGGAAGAAGGACGCCTAAGCTGATAGGTCATTGCACTGGATATAGGGTTATTTCAATGTGATAGACAAGTGTCTCGTGAAATATGTATCTTTTGTAGCCGAGTCGTGATCCCCTGCAACAAGACGTTTATAAGCATGGAGAATGTTCGTTCAGCATTGTAACCGGATTTACTTTGTCTATTTTCGGAATATATATATCGTGCAAACGTACTTTTTTTTTTCTCCCCAGCTCAACTTTTCTTTCTCTTGTTGTACTTGAGTGTACGCCTCGATCTGTGATTTACTCGTGTCTGATGGTTGACACGTTTTGGATACAAAAATATATCAAATGTCTGGCATGCGACAGTATCATACACTACAAAATCTCCCACCCCATATGTAAAATCACAATAAAACATTCATTTAGCTATATATATATACCATCCCTATCAATTTCCTCCGCCGCATACCATTAGATAGGTACAATAATTACACTCAAAACGACAATTAGATATCAAAACCAAAGATTACACTAAGACAATATTATAGCGCCGTGATAGACACGCGCTTCGCGCCGCCTGCATTTCCATTCAACAAGGCGGCTCCACTCGACCGCCGCAGGTGGTTCTGGTGCGCGGAGGGATCCTCCACGTCGAGGCTGAAGCGGCGCGGACGCTGCCACATTCCGACGTCTTTGTTGGAGTCGACGGCTGCGATGAGCTTGGACGACGAGATGCCGAACTTGGTGGCGACCAGCTTGACGCGGTCTTCGGCTGCTTGGGCGTCCACGGCGGCGCTCTGGCCTTGTCGGGACAGACGTGCCTGCGTGTGCTGCAGGAGCTCGAGGTGCTGCGTGACGGCAGTGACGGCAGCTTGATGGTCGTCTGCGTCGCTGTTGAGCAGCTCCGCTAGGGCCGACTCGTGCAGTGCTGCGGCGGCAAGGTAGTTGCCCGAGGCGTTGTACAGGCCGGACAGCAGCTTGGACATCTCCAGTGTGACGGGGTCGCAGTTGCCCCAGACTTGGCGCAGGTTGTAGCAGATGTCTTTGCCCAGCTGTGTGGCTGAGGCGACGTTGCCGCGGCAGAAGCGGGTTTCTACGAGACGGCGGCCGATCCACACCACGACTGGGAGGGACCAGGTCTTTTGGACCATCCGCGAGGTCCACAGGTCGGTGAGGATAACCTGTTGCTTGTTAGTCGGGTGATGGTGGGGGTGGTTGGGGAAAGATGGGAACATACCTCGAGGTCTTCGAACATCTCGTGTTCACCCAACACCGTAATGACATCGTTGAGTTCGTCAAACGGCAGTTCAGAGAACTCCAGCGATAGCTCGTTGGCATTGGACATGATCTCCTGCAGAAGCATCTTCGACTCCATAGACATGTTCTTGGCAGTCCTCTCGTTCGAGCACTTGCTGGTCTGGTATCCGTTCAGATACAGACAAATCTTGATGGAGGTAAAGATGCTCTCTGTGCTCTTCAGACCATCCGTCAGGTGCACGAACGAGTGGAACACGCTCGTCACATCGGCTGCCTCCTGGAAGCGAGAGCTGTCGCACAGATCCCGCACAAAGCCCGTGGTCTTCGTGACAATGTTGATGTTGTAGTCCTCGTGCAAGGACTCACGGCGGCAGATGTCGTAGAAATGGCGGATGACTTGCTTGCTGCGCAGAGATTGCGACACTGACAGATTGTTGCAGAAGTATTCGTACAGTTTGTCCTGCGTGGTCTGGGCGGCCATGGAACGCTTCTGGTCCGTCTGCAGGCGGTGCAGTTTCTCGCCTGCTGCAAGCGTCGACATCAGGTCGTGGCTGGACAGGCTCTGCTGGAACGTGTTGTAGACCTGGCCTTCGCGCGACAGGTCAGCCATGATCTGGCTGAAGGTGCGGCGCTTGCCGAAGACCTCTTCGAAGCTGGCCACGAACACGGCAGGTCGGTATTCGTTCAGGGCCTGTCGCTGAGACACTGGAGTGTCGTGGATCACGTGCTGGTGCATCTCGTTGATCAAGGTGTTGCCTTCGTCAATGAGTCCGCATTCCAAGTAGATCTCGGCGAGGCGGTGCGCCCGGTCAATGAGAGTCTCTCGGTTCGCCGTGACGTGGACAATCTCGTCGACGTGAGTCTGCAGCAAGTTGCAACCCTGGCGACGGGACGACGTCGTGTCCTCAGACACATACATCATGGCAAGCTCACGCAACCAGAGCAGCGTAGCAGGAGCGGACAGGCCTTGTTGCTGCTTGGCTAGGGCTAGCTCTTCCAGGTACAGCTCGCGAGCCTCCGGGCTGGTCTCCTTCTGGCGGAGATACAGCTGAGCCATCTGGTGTTTGATACTGATCGGTAGAGGCTCGGCCATGTCGGGCAGATCGTGCGATGCCTCGCTAGAAGACACCCATTCAGGGGTCCGCAGGACTTGATGGTACAGATTGATGGCTTCAGTGGTATGGCGGTCGCTGTTCGCACAAAGCGCAGCAAGGCTCAGGGTGGCGTCGCGCGTGCGACTGTTGGTAGGCCCGTACAGCTTGCGGCACAACTGCTGTTGTTGCGAGGCGATCTGATAGCGTTCGTTATATGCTGTCTGCTGGTCCATCTGACCCAAAATCGACATGTAACCGGTGTAGGTCTTGGGGAGCAGACCCTCGAGCAGAGCACGGTCGTACCCATCCTTCTCGTCAAAACGCACCAGTGTGGGCCATAGATGACGATAGACCTGCAGAGCAGCGTCGTACTGCTTGTCTTGCTCGTATAGGGTAACCAGAGCAACAGCAGCCCGCACACCGGACGTAGTGACCTTGCCGTCACGGATGCAAGCGCGATAGATATGGCGGTAGCTGTCGCTTGCTTCTTCGCGGCGGTTGAGTCGCAAAGCCAGGTCAGCTTCGTAGTACCGACTGTCGATCGTGTGCTTGTCGTTCTCGCCGAGCCGGGAGGCGAAGAATTCGCTGACCTGGTGCAGCAGCACTAAGGCCTTATCGAACTGGAAGGTCGTCTCGTAGAACTCGACGACCGACTTGACGACAGCGGTGACGGACGGTACCGCCACTTGGTCGGCGGTGATAGACGCCTTAAACGCATTGCCGTAGACATTCGTCGCGGTAGGCACATTCAGCTGGCGGAACAGGCAGTAGCCATGATCCAGCGCGAGAGTGGCGATCAGCGGCGCCTGGTCCGAGGGGAATCTGGCCTTGGAGTGAGGATCCTCGACCGAGGGCCAAACGTGCTTCAGCACGGAGAGCGCAGTCTCACTGCCCTCGAGCCATTCTTCGCTGCGGATGTGCAGATTTGCCAACTGATGGCAGAGACCCATGAGTGACACCGTCTGTTGGTCATTGCCCGCCGATGCGATGGAGTCGATCCAAGCCGGCAGAAGGTCTCTCTCCTCCGCGGACAAAGCATTGATGTTGGGGACGGTTCCCTTGCTGGAGATGACGTCCTTGGCCAGATACTCGGCCAGAGCAACCGCCTCCGTCGAGTACACCTGGCCACTAGACTGATAGTATTTCCAGATCTGAAGGGAAAGCGCCCGCTCCATGTCGTCCATACGCATCTGGCGCGCCTCTTCGCGTAGCTCTTCGGCACGCTGGACCATTTCCGAAGACCGAACGCCGCCGTCAGCTTCAAGGTCGGCGGAAAGCTCCCGCAGAACAGCAGTGGCCTCGGTGGGGCGATCTTGACGGCGCAAGAACTGCGAGTAGTAGAAGGCCACCCTGGTCTTCTGGTCCCAAGTGGCGCTGGTGTCGAGCTCGCGCGCAGACACTCCAGACCAGAGACGGGAGAGCACGGAATCAGCCTTGGAGGCTTGTTTATTATCCTCGTACATCTGAGCCAGGGCAATGGCGTAGGCAATCCGGCGAGGATCCGAGGCGTCCATAGAACGCAACATGGTCTCGTACTTGGTTTGCGCCAGATCAATTGCCAGCTCGTCTGGGGGCTCGATGGTGAAGTGTTCCGTCAAGAAATTGGCCGCCTGCATCGTTTCAGAAGAATGGGGGCCATAGGTGCTCTGGGTCTGCTTGTAGAACCTCCGGGACGATTGGTACGCAGCTTCGTGCTCGTTATCCTCCTGATAGGTCTTCACCAGTCGGTCGAGATACTGCAGCCGCTGCGCGAAGCTGATATCAGAAGAGTCCCAGTTGGCAAAGATCATATCACGGAGGGCATCGCTCCTGAGACCGGCAGTCCGGTCAGCCTTGCCTCGGCCTTCCGGGGTGGCCACCAGCATCTGCTCCAGAGATTGGGTGATTGCATTGGTATTGCCCAGCAATTTGCGGCTGCGGGTCCACGCCTCGAAAAGGTGGTCATTTGCCCAGGATGTCTTGGCGAGATCGGCAGCACGCGCGCTGAGGATCAAGCTCTGGAGCAGGGCAGGCGAGTCGGCACCGAGCACGCCGCGGCGCACGGCAACCGACAGGCGGTAGAGTTCGACGATACTCGAGCGGCTAAACTGCGACTCTTTGTTGGTCAGCTCGATTCGGGCAAAGAGCGCTGACTCCGGCATGGCACGCCGGAACGCGTTTGTGAAGTTGAACTCGCGCGAGGTGGATGCCACGGGCGAGGCCAGCATGTGCGACAGCCAGTACCGGGAGGTATACTCGAGGAGCACATAGGCGTCCAGGTAGCGATCACGAGCCATGATGTTGAGCTTATCCCAGGCAACTTCCGGTTCCTCCGGCACGGACCAACGGACCCAGGCGAGGCAGTGGAGTAAGAGACTGTAATGGCCATCGGTCAAGTTGAATGGGACGTGCTGGTGCATCTGAGCGCGCGCCTGAATATGCTCCCGGATCATGGGGTGACGGAAACCGACAAAGCCGTCCCGCACAGCGACCAAGCGAGACAAAGGCAGGAAAACGTCTCGGTCGATTCTGGATGGGCGAGGGCCCACTCTGTATGTGTGCTCATCGACTGCAAGCAACTGCTCGACTTCCTGAACACGGAGGGGCCGTTCGGCTGCGGCCAGCCAGGACAGCAAGGAACTCGTCCCGGTACGGTTCAAGCTAGTGTTGCGAATGTGGCTATCGATCAGCTCACCCAGCGTGTTCGGGGCTTTTTGGAGAGTCGAGAACATCTCGTTGAAAGTGTTCTCGTGGCGCACAGCCTCGATGGCCATCTGCGCCCAGACAAAACAACCCTGCGCACGGGGAACCACAGCGGCGGCCAGCGACTCCCGCTGGGAGGAATCTAGCCCCGAGAAAGCCGCGTCGGATGCCATCATGTCGCCCATGTGCGTGAGGAGGTCATTCTGGGTGGTTGCCGGGTCCATCACGATCTGTTCCATCGTACTGGTGTCCCGAGCGGGCAGCTGGGAGGCAGGCAGCGGGCGGCTGAAGACGATGAGCTTGGACGGGACGTTCCGTTGCGACACGGTGCTTTGCAGCTGCTGCAAAAAGGTCGACACGGTTGAGTCTGCGTGCTTGAGCTGGTCAATCCCATCCACTACAAGCATGAAATGGACGTTGGACCGCATCGCGGCCTTGACGGCGACCCAGAGCTGCTCCTCTACCTGAGCATCGGAGGCTCCGCGGACGGCCAAGTTGACCGCAGTGGCAACTTCGGAGATGATCGACTCTTGGGCCATGCGGTTACTGGCACAGCGATCCAGCATCTGGACCAAGACACTCTTGAGAGTACTCAGGGTCAACGTGGTAATGGGGACATCGGAACGGATCGACACGCCGATGGCGTTCCAGATGTCGAACTCCGACGAGACTTGCAGCTTTTCCGTCGTCCACTGAGCCAGCGCACTCTTTCCGCTTCCGGGATTGCCGGAGACCAGCATCAGGTTGCGGCGGCCCAGGGCGAAAGTGGTCAGATGAGGGTCGAACCAGGCGAATGAGCCGTCCACCAGGGAGTGGCCGTTACCCTCCAGCAGAGTTTGTAGTGGACGGTCCTGTAGCTCGAGGAACTGATAGATCGATTCTAGCTCGATTGCAGGGGTATGCGTGGTGTCAGACTCTAGGACGAGGCTGGACATCTTGCGCCAGTGGGCAGCGAAGTTGTTGAAGTAGCGGAAGAAGTTGGTGTTGACCGCTTCTCCCATGACCGACCAGTTCTGGGTGCGCGCACCCTGACGGGTTTCCATCGCGACATGAACCACGAGTTGAAGCAAATGGGCATAGATCAAGGCAACCTCCTGCTGGAGCGCACGAGAGGTTTGGAAGTAGGACTCCTGCTGCAGAAGCAGGGAGATGCCCAAGGTCACTCGACCGTACTGGCCGAAGACACTATCCAGGGTATCGACATGCTCAATGCCTCCCTATGACATAACACATTAGTCCGGGATGGGATTGTGAGAAGGCCAGGACGATCTTATCATCCCCACGACTCACCTCGAGCAGGAGTAGAGTTGCACCCCAGATCATGGAGGTAGCTTCGTCGGCCCCGCTCATGAACGAGACGACGGAGTCTCGCAGGGAGCCCACGGCGAAGGCCAGACGAGACGCGCGACATAGCGCGCCATCTAATCGACTACCATCGGCAGGCATGCGCCGCAGCCTTTCGGCGGCAATGGCGTCGAAGAAGTCATCAATAGTCGGAGACTTGGCCTGAAGCTCCTTGGCGGATATCCCGAGCCTGGCGGGACATTCAAGGGAGACGGTATCGACCATCTCCCGAAGCGTAGGGAGCGATCGAGAGCCCCCTCCGCTATCTGTGTAGGATTTAGACATGCTGTATCATTAGAGACGATACTCTACCAGAGGAACAGCAGGGATGAAAGCGCTGCGGAACGCAAGATATATGAAACTCCCGGCTAAGTCCGCCAAGGGTCATTATTACGATGGCATATTCTGCCGGAACACTGTGCAATCCTGACATCACGAGTTAGCGAACTGATAGGTCATGCTGTATCATCGTAGTTAATGAGGTCTACTCGTCATTCGCGGACCAGATTGGCGGGCCCATGGAACAAAGGAGAGCTCTAAGATTCGGCAGTGTTCATCTTCCAGACAATCCCGGTGGAAGAATCCAATCAAGGCAAACAATGCAGTCGCCCGGGGAAGCACCCACGTGGACCTGGCGTAGTCGTGGTGTCACTAGATATCAATTGCCTTTGTTAGGGTCACAAAATCTCTGGTTCGGACGTCATTCAGTGGCCATTGTGTTTGGATCAAGTCCATGACATCACCGCATACCGGGGTAATATCCCCGCTTCGAGTGGGGGGCGGACAAAGTCATGAATGAATCGACTGTAGAAACAAAAGGATTGATGTGGGGTTGGACGAAAATGGATGAGTCAAGATAGATTCCCAGGTTAGTGAGGTTGATGAAGTTGGAGAAGTGACATGATAAGGTCACGTGGAGGCATGCAACAACAATCGAGTTATCATCCACTTGGGACGAAATCTGCTTCAAACAGAATGTTATTCTTAATAAATCATGTGTGCAATGTCCTCCATTTCTGCATCACAGCAGTTGACATCTGATTATCAGTTTGGGGCTGGTAGGTAATGATTGATGCTGGAGTACTCCGTAGTATATTGGATATATCGTTGCCCTAGGCCACTTGGTTATACTGTAGGTTCCAATGGAAAGGATAGACTTCAGGACAATTTCTTCCCTTCGTCCTGTTTCATAAGTATCACTGCACCGGCAATTGCAAGTACCAAAAATACCATACATGTACATACAGATAGATCCAACCTGTGGGCGCACCTCAGCTGAAACGCTGGTCAAGCAAATCGCCAAACGCGCAAACGAGATATTCCGGACGAATCAATCAAATAAAAGGCAGTATCAAAACAAGAGACGAAAGAAACGAAATTAGGGAAAGACATGTCAAGCCCATAACTTTCGATCCACAGCCTTCTTGGCCTTTTTCCTCCAGACCTTGGCCCAGTCCCAAACCCCAGAGGGGCTGCTAGTCCACCGTGACTCGGGCAGCTCGATGCCCAGCCAGGTCTTCCGCCTCGGCTGGCTCCACGGCCACACGGGCGGCCACGAGACGCGGGGCATGGAGGGCCGGGGCAGCGCCCACCGGCTCGTGGACGACTGCTTTCGCAGTGCGTGGGCCTCGCGCTGGAAATTCTTCACCACGCGGTCGAACTGGCGGTCGCGCGCTTCGAGTTCGCGCTGGTGCGTCTGGAACCGCCAGGCCTGCTGCTCCGCGGGGTCCAGACACCACACGACAATGTCCCCCCGACGGCGCCAGTCATCGTGCCAGGCCGTGTTGAAGGTGCGCCAGCATTCGCCGTACGAGGAGCTCCGAAGGGTCGACTTCAGCGTCGGTTCTAGCTGGGCGAAGAAGACGAGGTAGTCCGGCCAGTCGTGGACCGTGGGCGAGGCTGCAGACGGCCGGGAGTCCTGGTAGGATGGTCGGCGGGGTACATGGCGGAGTCCACCGCCCATATGGTTGTGCAAGAACTGACTCGCATCGTCGTAGAACTGGTCCGCCTCGTCCACGTAAATTGCTTTCTGGGCCTCGTCCAGGCCGACCGGCGGCTCGCAGGACAGCGCCCACGCGTGAATGTTCGGGTGGACTAGATGAGAGCGCCAGGGCGTGCTATGGCAGGGCATGAGGAATCCTGCGCTGATGCCGGTCCCCGATTTCGCAGCCGACTCCGACTTGTCAACGGAAGCGTGCGCTTGCTGCTGTTCCCGAAGATAGGACAGGACGCTGAGAGTCCCCGAGGCGTGATAGAGGGTGGTGTACAACGCGATGGCCACGTTCGCCAGCAAAAGAAACATCAAAGTCAGCCGTCTCGGCGTGTAGGCCGCATGGGATCGGGATACCGCGGGCGCAAAGAAGGTCACGAGGGGGGGTGCAGCCAGAACATGCAGCGCCGGGAGCAAGGGGTAGATGAACCGAACTTCCTTGTGGGAAATCAGGGACAGCGCCAGCGGCATCACCAAGCATATCGCAGCCAGTTGCACCTGCATGGTCCGTAGCGATCCGGTGGCGGCGGACGGTCTCAGGGCACGATACAGGCCGACAGCCGCGAAGGGCAGCGCTGTGGTCAAAAGGAGCGGGAAGCCCTGCGAGGCATAATAGTGCCAGTCATTCCTCCCGTAGAAGACCGCCAACGACTGCGCCACGTTGAAGTACAGGAACTTGAGGGGTGGAAAGGTCCACACTCCGTAGAAGAGACGATCCACGACCGCCGACAGAGCGAGGGTGCTCGACCTGTGAAGACGTTAGCTCCATGAAACATCCAAGTTGTTGGGAGGTGACCCACCCGCACAGCAGCGCCACCCGCGTGAGGACTTTCCGTCCGGTCCACGTACTCCGGAACCACGCGACGCTGGCCAGGGTCATCCAGACCAAAACGTTGGTCGGACGCAGGATACAGGCCAATGCGGCCAGCCAGAGGCAGCGGCGCAGACTACACGCGTTCTTTGGTCAGTCCTAGCGGTTCGCTATTTTTCCGAGAAAGGATCCTTGTTTCATACCTTCCAGCATGCGAACCATAATCGTGGGGACCGTTATCGACCGACCACTTCCAGGGCCACGAATTGAGCGCGACCACGGTCAACGTGGTTTCAAGACAATTGGACAGCGTCCTGGTGGAGCAGAACCATTGCCAGGGACTGACGACCGTCAAAGCCAGCTAGAAATCCAATCAATCTCGAGGTCATCGCATTACCCCGGAGGGTAGGAAAGGTCAAGCCCACCGTAACCCAGGCTTCACGACTGCGACGACCATACACCAACCCAGCGAGCTTCCATGTATACCAATCGGCGAGAGCAGCGAAAACGGCCTGAGCGCACTTGGGCGCCGCCACCAGCAAATCGGCACGTGTTGCGGGTGCAAGGCGAAGGGCGAGGGCGAGGAGATCGGCGACCTTGTACACAGCAGCAAACAGCAGCGGATGGATGGACGATCTTAGCTGATGCCTCCATTCCTGTTCCACGGACCACGACGTCATGTATCAGCGATCCCAGTAGTACAACGATTGAGGTCGAACCCGATCGTGGGGCGGTCGGCCTCTTTGTTTTGATTTCCTTCCACTCACCCAGGTGATCCACGCGCCCTGGTCCTTTCCAAACGCGATCTGCCAGGCAGGTTCGAGGGACTGAAAGAATTCATCGGGTTGAAAGAAGGTTCGGACGGAGAGGGCGTTCAGCAGACGAAACGCGACGAGGAAGAGGAAGACATTGGAGGCCGTAGACGATGACGCTGCGGACACGAAGGAATCGGACGATTTGAGGGATGATGCGGTTGGCAACGGAGAGATTGAATCCAGGTCGGAGGAGTCAGACACCGACGATGACGACACGGATACAGGGTGATCTGATCTCCTGGTTCGACGGGGTCTCGACATACTCGCCGCGACGCGATCGGGAAGCTGTTCGTATACCCCGCACTAATAGGGGTGACCCTTTTTAAAGAGAATAGACCGGCTCGTCAATGACCATCAATGATGGAACTGGAAGTAAATACAGAGCATCAATAGACCGAGGTAAATAAATAAAAATAATAAGAATAATCCAGAATAATGCGGGGAAAACGACCGCGACCGAGATCAATCTGGGGATGAAGAAGGGAGAGAGAGTTCTAGCCGGGAGTAAGCGCAGTTAGTGTTTGGTATTGAGTAATGCGAAATGCGAGCACAACCAATGGTGGAAACGACCGCGACGTGGATGAAGACATCGCGGGCATTCGGCGCATCGACTTGCACTTAGAGGTCTAGTCGCATTTTCTTTGTCTTCCATTCCTGTCCCTTTTCGTCCTTTGTTTCTCCACAACAGCGTCATTTGGACAGATATCAACTAGACGGCCTCAGGCTCCACCGGCCTATCAACTTTATTTAACCTCAATTGTCGCCACTGCTCTTACATCACTCTCTCTTTCTCTTTCTCTTTCTCCTTTCTCCTCATTCTTCCCATTCGTATAATAGTCACCTATTTTCCACTATTGTTCAATCAAGACTTCATCCATAGTCCAATCCTCAGTCATCCATCATGGCGTCCAAGAATACCAACGGGTCTACCAACGGCCACTCCCATGACTTCAGTGCTTACCATGTGCCATCCACGCAGGAGGCCATCCAGGTGGAGAAGGACTATGCGGCGCACAACTACCATCCCCTCCCGGTGGTGATCTCGCGGGCACAAGGGAGCTCGGTGTGGGACCCCGAGGGCCGTCACTACCTCGACTTCTTGTCCGCCTATTCCGCCGTCAACCAGGGTCACTGTCACCCGAAGCTGTTGGCGGCTCTCATCGATCAGGCCTCGCGTGTCACCCTTAGTTCGCGCGCCTTTTATAATGATGTTTTCCCACGGTTTGCCCAGTTTGTCACCGAGTTCTTCGGATTCGACATGGTCTTGCCCATGAACACGGGAGCCGAGGCGGTTGAGACGGGTATCAAGATCGCGCGCAAGTGGGGGTACAAGGTCAAGGGTATTCCCGAGAACCAAGCGGTGGTGCTCAGTGCCGAGAACAATTTCCATGGTCGCACGGTATGTCCCATTGATTATCATTGCGTTATCATGATTTGATGTAAGGGGGATCAAGTCACTAACCTGGTATGTCTTGTCCAGTTCGCCGCCATCTCCCTCTCCTCCGACCCCGAGTCCCGTGAGAACTACGGTCCCTACCTGCCCGGCATTGGCTGCAACATTCCCGGAACCGACAAGCCCATCACATACAACGACAAGGCGGCGCTGCGCGAAGCCTTCGAGAAGGCGGGCCCCAACATCGCGGCTTTCCTGGTCGAGCCCATCCAGGGAGAGGCGGGCATCGTTGTGCCGGACGAGGATTACCTCAAGGAGGCTCGGGCCTTGTGTGACAAGCACAATGCGCTGTTGATCTGCGATGAGATCCAGACGGGGATTGCCCGCACGGGCAAGCTCCTCTGCTATGAATGGAGTGGCATCAAGCCGGACATGGTCCTCTTGGGCAAGGCCATCTCCGGTGGCATGTACCCCGTGTCCTGCGTGCTGGGTCGCAAGGACGTCATGCTCACCATCGAACCCGGTACGCACGGGTCGACCTATGGCGGCAACCCACTGGGATGCGCGGTCGCCATCCGGGCCCTGGAGGTCATTCGGGAGGAGAACATGGTGGAGAAGGCGGAAACGCTGGGTCATGTCTTCCGGAAGGGACTGGAGGCAATCAAGAACCCCATGATCCAGAAGGTGCGCGGTAAGGGTCTTCTCAACGCCATCATCATCGACGAATCCAAGACGGGTGGTCACAGCGCATGGGACCTCTGCATGCTGCTCAAGGAGAAGGGTCTGCTGGTACGTATTTCGACCTCGAGCGGGGAGACCGTCAGATGCTAATGCTCGCTCCAGGCCAAACCCACCCACCAAAACATCATCCGTCTGGCCCCGCCACTCGTCATCACGGAGGAACAGATCCAGGAAGCGCTCAAGATCATCTCCGACGCAGTGGATGCTCTTCCGACACTCAAGGGAGCCGATGAGGACAAGGTCATCCCGCCTCCCGAAAAGAAGATCAAGATCGGTGTCGAAAACTAAACGGGTCCATTCCAGACAGTAGACTCGGATCAGTCTCGTCTCGGGATTCACCTGTTGGCCTCCACGAGAGCGCACACACGATAATGGCTTAGACCGTTGTCGGCATTGCTGCACTGCGGGGCGCATTCGACTGGAGTTGACGGTTTGCTCTTCGAGAAACTAGTCACCATGCGATGCAGTATTGTGTGACTAGACAGATACTGCTGTCCATCTCGATCTTAGCGACCGACGAGTAGCTATACTTATGCTCAAGTAGCTGCAGGAGTTGTCCAAGGATACCGGACGAGCTGATCCGATACTGTTGTCAGATTATGTCTTTTTTAGATAATAACGCATGACGCTTCATGACTAGCAGAGTGATCCACAAGTAGAATAAATTAAGATCAGACGTAGAGAGGGGAAATAATCCAGGGTGGGCTCTCCATCTTATATGGAGGAAAAGGACAGGGAGACGAACAAACCCCGCGTGGCTGACTGGCCTGGTGGAAAATCCCTCGTCTCTTCTTCACACTTTCTGGACCATCACTTCTACTCGCATGATTACAGTTAAGCTGGCTGTATCTTTTGGGATTGAAGTGGAACAATTCTATTCAAATATTAATTAAATATGATTGATGATTAATAAGTATATATATAACCGAACTCAAAACGGCAGGATCCATAAAATTGACCCATCCTAAGAGACCAGAAAGAACCAGAGCTTAAAAGAACAAAAGAAATTATTATACTCGAGGCGGATTGTCCTTCTCATAACTCACCTCTAAGTCTGTCGATTTGACAATCGTACGGTCTACCCCGTCAGACTCAGAGTTATCACCGTCCTGAGGGATAGCGCTCTCCACATCCCCCTCCGGCCCACCCTGCAGCGTCCGCTGACTGTCCAGCTCGGTGATATGGTTCCACGACCGGCTGACCTTCTTCCGCGAGGACTTCGGGAGATCTCGGCTATCGGGTTCGGCGCTCATATCTCGGGCGCTGAAAATGCGGGTGCGGATGAGGAGGGGACGGAGGGCGGGGAGCGAGGCGCAGATGATGCCGACGTTGATTTCGACCATGCTAGGGGATGTTTAGCATGTATCTTGAGATGTGGGGTGAGAGTGGACGGGGGATGAATGCGTGAGACTGAACGTACCACCATTTGGCGAGGGTCACTTTGAACCAGGTGAAGTCGTTGCTGTTGATAAAGGGCATCATTGTCACGACTCGGATGATGGCGACGACGCACGCGCTGTGGGTGATCACCGACGAGGGTTAGCCACGGGTTTACTACTTCTGAGATGCCTCGGGGAAGAGCCTACAAAGAACCCATGGCGAAGAGGAACATCAGCAGCAGCTTCTGCTTGAAGGTGGCCTGCAAGTTCCAGCACAGTCTGATGGGCAGGACCAAGGCCATCAGGTCCGAAAGGATATTGAAAGCCGCGTTGGCATAGACGAAATCAAACTGGTTGATGCACTTGGCGTCCGCCAAGAGGGTGACGTCCCAGGTAGCGGCGATGGGTCGGCATGGCAGGGTGAAGATGAGGAGGCTGACCAGGGTATAGATAGCGACGAAGGCGATGATGCCATAGGTGATTTGGCGGAAGCGCTTTTCGGGACTGAGACGCAGGTAGAAGACTAGGATGGCTGTCTTGACGAACCACACCCCGAGGGCGTAGATGTCCTCTTCGACGAGATCATACTGCTTGAAGGGGGTTAACGTGTCTAGGTGCAAGTCCCAGATGTGGACCCCGTAGCCGTTTCTGATGTCTGGTACAGTTCAGTCAGCTTTTGTGGTGTCAATGGAAGAGGGCGGAGGTCTTTACTGATGATACTCAGGACTGTGAAGATCCAGGCACATATCTGGCCACCAATACATAACCCTAGACGAACTCAACGTCAGTCCCATGTGCCGACTATCCAACCGCTGACAGCACTTACAGTCATCGAGACCGACTGCTCGCAATATCACAGCACGGGTATAAAGGCGACCCATCAAGGTCAGAGTCGCGGTCATACATAGGGCAATACTGATCGAGTAGATCTCATATTCAGAGCCCTCAGGATTGTCGAAATTGGGGGTCACCCCCGGCGGGGGCGGTGCTGCTGGGGTTTTGCTCAAGTCCATGATCAGAGTCCCAAATCAGATTGCAGAGATTCAGATAGGAGGTAGGTGATGGTATCCCGTGGACCAGAGGCAATCTTATATGAGCATGGATGGCTCTGTATCTACTCCGCATTGCCTCCATTCTTCCTATAGTCCTTGGACTTTGCTTTTTCAATCCGCGTTCGTACCTATCGAGGGCAGACCATATGCTATCCGTGAATATCCTACATCAAAGTCTCTAGTCCAAACGGATGTGGAAGATTTGTCCCGAAACGCAGCTCTGACCAGTGGCCACACTCGGTGGTGACACGTTCAAATTTGATATCGCATCATCTCCCCCTCGAAAACCAGTCAGAAAATTGCCTTCTTCCCGAAAGTTCCTGCGCTCGAGTGGTCGGCGTTCTGGGGGGTGAGCATCGTGACAAATCGAGGTGGCGTCGGTACTATTTGTATGACAGCTCAATAATGCAAGGGAGAGGCGTGTTTATCATCTGTCTCCCCTGACTCGCGACGTGCAGTGAGATGTCTATTTTTGTGACAAACAGCCGTTCCCTTGGGAATGCTGAAGGAATATTGCTTGATTCTATGTTGGCGAGAGACCCCGCTTGTCCGAGCGTGACATGGTGTATACGAAGTAAGTGATAAAGTCTTTGGATCAGCTGTGGCGAGCTGGTACTAAACCAAGTAGGCTATGATAATCAATCAGGATCCACCCCCCTGCCGATTTAGTCTGGTTTGATCTAAAGTTGACCAGGGGGGTTCTTCACGAATGCCCAGACTTGTTGGATTACGGAGTCCAATGCATAATGGAGTACGGGGTACTCCTCCGACCCGTAGACGCATCATGCAGAGACCAGATCACAGAGCGTTCGGACATGCGGGGCGAAATGTCAGGAACGCATAGAGTTCAACCGACTTCTGCCTGTGGGTAGTGGGCCAATTATTGAACTCTACAGGGGGAACCGTCCGATCGGGGCCACTGGCCAAGACGGTGGGTCATCGTATCGAAAAGGCTGGGATGCTCATTGCTTAGTGGACAACCCCATTGTCACATTGTGCGCACAAGCCACACACTGAACGAGCCAACAGCATTCGTCGGGGAAGCTTTGCGGACTGTCCCGGCGTTGTTCGTCGCCAACCCAAATGGGGAAAAGGATTCACGGTTTCCTTGCGCGTCCAGTCTCACTATCGATGCAATCGGTGACTTAGCCGGGGTGCAGTGGGCCTGGGTTGACGTTGACGAGCCCATCAGAAACGGCACACCGGTCGAAAATGTGTTTGAACCGCGAGCGCACAGACAGGAGACGGATGGACTACTTGGTCCTCATTTGCCTCCGTTGCGGTATGATCATCCTTCGAGTCTGAGTTGATCGGGGAGGAACTAAGCCCCTGCCCCCTCTTTTAGGCACCTAGACTGGGTCCGCGCTTGATCTAGGTATAAAGGTGAAACGTCCTGATGTGTCCCCTCAAGTCCTGCACGCGAGCGCAGCCTTTTCATCTGTATTGATCGTGACATCATGGGTAGTATCGGACCAGTTGACATCCTCCAAGATGAGCTCGATCGAGTTCTCCTCGCGGTGCAAAGGCACCAAGCCGAGTTATCAAATGCAGCCAACTTTAACGCACGGTACAGCCTAATGGCCAAAGCAAACAACCTGCTTCAGACTATCCGCGGCCCGGCGGACATGGTCTTTGCCAACTTCGAGGATGTGAGCTCGGTTTCCGACATTGACCCTAGTTCTAGCCCACGTCCGTCATACTGACCATGATGCGGGAAACAGGCCTCAAAGATGGGGGCGATTCGATCTTTGCTCGAAGGCGGAGTACTCCAAGCCATGCCGACGGGTGGTAAGAGCATCTCAGCCGACGAGCTTGCCTTGAAGACCGGTGTGGATAAAGCACTGATTGGTACTGTACCCGACACGCCTACGCTAAGATAATCCCACGAACTGACTGTGAACAGTGCGACTCATGCGGGCGGTTACCCCCGTCGGTCCTGTCCGGGAAACAGGAGAGGAGCAGTACGCCCACACGCCCTTCTCGGAGATTTATTTGGCGCCACAGATGCAAGCCGTGTATAATATGATGTGCGCATGGGTATTCTCTTCCGATGGTGTCTATATCCGCTAAAATCCATCTTCTAGGGCCGATGAATTCATCCCCAGCATGCTCCGCAATTACGATTGGCAGAAACAGAACGGCTGGAAGCACCGGTACACCTTGCACAACAACCCATACACAACGACCATGAACTGCCAGGGTGAAACGATGTTTGAGCATATTTCCAAATTTCCAGACCGGTTTACTCGCTTCAACGATGCGATGCAGGGGGCGGATTCGTCTCTAATGACCGTTGACCTTTACCCCTTCGGAAGGGAATTGGGCAAACTCGCCAGCGACGACACCGTCACCCTGGTTGACGTCGGTGGTGGGCGCGGCCACATCACTCGGCAAATCAAGGAGACCTTCCCAGGCCTCAAGGGCCGATTCATCCTCCAGGATAAGCCCAGTGTGATTGAGGATAACGGGAAGGAAATCAAGTCTCATGGCATCGAAGCAATGGGGCATGACTTTTTCAATCCGCAACCAGTCAAGGGTATGCTGCCTTAGTTCACTCTTCTCCGCTCCCCACCCCCCTCGCTGATCTCTACTCTTCCCGCAGGAGCTCTGGCCTACTACATCCGGCGCTGCCTGCACGACTGGCCCGATGAGCCCGAGGCGCGAACGATCCTGTCCAACCTAGCGGGCGCCATGGATCGCGAAAAATCCCGAGTGCTGATCACCGAGTTCATCGTGCCCGCAGAAGGCGGGACTATGTTCCATGCCTGGATGGACCACACCATGATGACGTTTGGCGGCATCGAACGCACCGAGAAAGACTGGGCGAACCTACTCGATCGCTCGGGATTGCAAATGGTCAAAGTATGGCGATTGCCTGGTGTACCCACGGCGGTAATCGAGGCACGACTGAAGTAATTATCCAAACAACGTCTGTAGATATAGGTTGCTCTGCTGAATATTATTCGTGAATGTACAAAAGATGGAGTAGTTGATATCAATGCCTCAGGCGTAATTCCCTGCCTCAGTCTAACCGCATCTGTCACTAGCGCGGTCTGCCCATGAAATCGCCCGCTGGAAAAAAAAAACCTCCATTAATAGTTTCAAGAGCGCTTTCCTTATGGTTTCCCTCGCCACATCTCTACCCCGTCTATCTTTTTTTATGCATAGCCGGGTTATTCGTCGCTCTATACCTAGGCTATCGTCTTTTTACACGAATCGAGTGCCCGTGCGCCAGATACCCCCGACCGCATTCTTTAACCCGACGAGGTCGTTCGCATCCACCTCCGGATCGTTACAGCACTGGGAGCCCCCAAGCCTCGAAACACTACCGTTGCAATGGATAATAAACAAGGGAGAGGCGGCGGACAGAGAGATGCTAGTGGAAAGCGTAAAGCTAGAGATATGGGCCGAAAGGAGTGGAGGTATGTTGAACGTGCTGGTATACGACCGTGATCGGCCATCGCTCACCAAGCAAGTCGGCTCCACACAGACAAGCGTGCGCGCAACGATAAACAGGCAGAGAAGAATCGGCGCAAGATAGAGAATGGGGAGGAGGTCAAGGCTCCTGTCTATGCGACGCATTTTTCCCAGGAGGATATCGATCAGGAGCAGAGACGGCCGAAGAAGAAGGTTGCTGTGCTGTTGGGGTATTCGGGGACGGGGTATAAGGGGATGCAGTTGTATGTCTATGATTCCTTTTGTTCTTTCTGCCAGTCCCTTGGTGCTGGTTAGGTTGGGGTTGAATGGTGCGGGGTATGTGGAAGACCGCGGTGCTAACGTTGGACAGGAGTGAAACCGAGAAGACGATCGAGGGAGAGCTCTTCACTGCGTTTGTGGCGGCCGGTGCTATCTCCAAGGCGAATGCGGCGGACCCGAAGAAGTCCTCGCTGGTGCGGTGTGCGCGTACGGACAAGGGTGTCCACGCTGCGGGCAACATTGTCTCCTTGAAGTTGATCGTTGAGGACGAGGACATTGTTCAGAAGATCAACGACAAGCTCAGCGCGCAGATCCGGGTCTGGGACATTCTTCCCACCAGCAAGTCCTTCAGCAGCTACCAGTTGTGCGACTCCCGTGTATACGAATACCTGATCCCGAGTCATTGCTTCCTGCCGCCTCATCCCAGCACGTACCTCGGGAAGAAGATCACCGAGGTCGCGGAGAAGGAAGGGGACCTTGAGGCGTATCGCGCCAGACAGGAGGAGGTTGCTGGCTTTTGGGACGAAGTCGATGAGAAGCACGTAAAACCGATCTTGGAGGGTGTTCCGGAGGACATTCGCGCACTTGTCGAGAAGGCGCTGTACTTTGACGAAGACAAGGGCCCTAAGAATGAGGATGAGCAGCAGACGGAGGGGGCGGAAAACAAAGACGAGGCGGCTCCAGCTGCCACTGAAACAGCCCCGGCTGATGCTGCCTCCGAAGCGGACGAAGCCCTCAGACGCCAGATCATTGACGTCGTGAAACAGGTCAAGGCTGTTTATATCACCGCGAAACGGGCGTACCGCATTCCCGAGTCCCGTCGGGCTCGGATCCAAGCGGCACTTGATCAGTACGTTGGGACGAAGAACTTCTGGAACTTCACTATCCAGAAGATGTTCAAGGACCCCTCTGCCAAGCGCTTCATCAAGTCTTTCAAGATGCACCCCGAGCCTATCATCATCAACGGCACTGAGTGGCTCAGCCTCAAGGTGCACGGCCAAAGCTTCATGATGCACCAGATCCGCAAGATGGTCGCCATGGCGGCGATGGTGGTGCGATGCGGCAGTGATCCTTCGCGCATCGCGGAAACGTACGGCCCCACAAAGATCGCCATCCCCAAGGCGCCTGGACTAGGCCTGTTGCTGGAGCGCCCGGTGTTCGAAATGTACAACAAGCGGCAAGATACGATCGGTAACGGGAAGCAAAGCATCGACTTTGACCGATATAACAAGGAAATCGACGAATTCAAGCAACGCGAGATCTACGATCGGATATTCCGCGAGGAAGAGCAACTCAATGCGTCAGTTGATTCATTCATTTTTTCTAAGTCTTATGCAGCTAACGATTTTCCAGCTTCTCCTCTTTCTTCAACCACATCGACCACTTCCCGCAGGAAGAGTTCCTGTACGTCACGTCCGGTGGTATTGGCGCTGCCAGACCTGCGCTGGCGCCAGGTGCTGCGCCGCAGGCCGCCGAGGCTGGTGAGGGCAAGACAGACCGCAAGTCCCAGCGAGAAGCGCTGGCTGAGGTGGAGGAGGAATCAGAAGACGAGACACTTCCCAACAACGGTGAGGAAGGCGGGTGATCCTAGCACATGGAATAGACGTATATAACGAATTGAGATTCAAATGCCATGTTCCCTTTACAAGATTAAGCCCATTTATATAGACTGTCTCATTGAAGATAGTAGACGCCTGAATTTAGTGGCATCCGTAATACAAGTTACCCGCCTCAGGCTGTACATCCACCCACCACATTCTCTCTCCCATCATTCTCTATAACTTCAGAAATACCATGGCCCTGGTAGAATACTCCGACTCGGAATCAGAATCATCAGCAGAACCAAGTCCCCCACCCCCGGCCAAAAAGGCCCGAAAGAACACCACCCCCTCAGACATCCCCCCCTTACCAGCGGCATTCCACGACCTGTACGCGACGAGCACTCGCGTCAGCGTCAGCGACGATCCCAGTCTCCACGGAGGGCGCAAGAGAGCTATTCCGCATGTTGAAGGGAACTGGCCAACCCATCTGTATCTAGAATGTAAAGTTCCTGCCCCATTTACTAGTTACAGACCCACTAACACGGAAGTACAGGGTATCCAAGTAATGAAGAGTTCGCCTTGCTGAGCGACACGATCAGTCAAATGAGAGCTCAGCTGGGCAAGGCCAGCCCAGAGCCGGAAATACACAGTCTGCTGCGGAGCGACCTCGGCGTTAGACTTCCTCTTCATATTAGTCTCTCACGGCCGGTCGTGCTCCGCACCGAACAGCGGCAATCGTTTACGACGGCGTTCCAAACGGCCATTCGAAAGTCGAATATTGAAGCGTATGCTCCAAGTCTCCTTATAGTGAGCGCTCCTTATAGCGAGCGAAGAGTTATTAACGACATACCACCAGCGTGACAACCACCGTCGAAACCCTAGACTGCGTCTCCAACTTCGAAAAAACGCGCTGGTTCTACGTCCTACGCGTGAACAGACCCGCAGACGATAGCTTGAACCGCTTGCTTGGACTATCGAATCGCTCTCTGGCGCTGTTCGATCAGCCGCCATTATATGCGAAATCGACGGACGTCGACAGAAAGCAAGTGTCGGGTCATCCGTCTGGCGATTACTCTCGTTGTTTTCATATCTCTTTGGCGTGGAGTTTGACGGAACCGTCTCTGGAGGCGAGGGAGCGAATCGCGTCGATGGATTTACGGAGTCTTGGTGATCTTGATATTCGGTTTGATTGTGTTAAGGCGAAGATTGGGAATCAGATTTCGAGTATTCCGCTTTCTTAGGGGTTGGTTGATGTGAACTTGACTGGCTACGAGTATACCATGATTTGATATCCGAAGAGCTCTTCTTTTCTTTTCTTTTAATTTTTTTTATTTTTTATTTTTATTTTTTGGTTCTTGAGTTTTTGCTGAATGCATTTCTATGCAGATAATTTGAGCATAGGACAACTCCAATCCCCAGGCAAATCACTAGCTGTCCGTCAAACATTAGAATTACACCACAAGAAACCGGTGATATCAAGTCTATTGATTATTCAAACGTCATAACGTCGTCTTCTGATACAAAAATGAAAACCGATCATATCTATTTTATAACACGCCCTTGGTGCTCACAACGTCTCCAGCCCCAACCTCACCAGCCACCCTCCTCGTGCACGCAGCACGGATAGCCACAGCCAAAGCCTTGAAAGCGCTCTCCGCACGGTGGTGGTCATTATCGCCGTAGGTGCACCCCACATGGAGGGTGACGCCAGCCGCCTGGGCAAAGCTCTGCAACCCGTGGGTGATCATCTCGGTGCTCAGATCGCCGATCTTCTCGCGGCGGAAACCCAGGTTGATGACGGCCCAGGGACGGCTGGAGAGATCGATGACCGCCCACGAGAGCGCCTCGTCGAGCGGCGCATCGCCACGGCCAAAGCGCGCCAGGGACTGGCGGGCACCGAGGGCCTCGGTGAAAGCGGCGCCGACGGCGAGGAAGGTATCTTCGGCTGTGTGGTGGTCGTCGACTATGGCACGCACGACACATTAGAAAGTGGCATTCCAAACAACACCGGTAACTGTTATGACTACTTACTGAAGAGGTCGCCCTTGGCGCGGACCGCCAGACTCATGCCGGAATGCTTCGCCAGCGCATGCAGCATGTGATCGAGGAAACCAATGCCCGTGCTCACGGTGATCTGCTGGGTCGCAGTGAACTGGGTCGCATGGGCGGCCTCCTTGATAGGAACAACGCCCTGTTTGGCAGCCTCTGCGTCCTTGGGGTCTTCGGGGAAATGCTCCGAGGCCTCAAAGGGAGGAAGAACCCCGCCGTCCAGGGAGAGCGAGACCTGAATTTTGGTCTCGTTGGTGACGCGGGACAGGGACGCGGTTCGAGCGGCGAGCGGCATTGTGGCGGGAGTGGTGGATTTTGTTCGAATTGACCGGTTATAGAGGAATGGGGCGAGGGAGGAGTGAATGGCGAACGATATCTCGGGGATTTGATATTTGAGGCCGCGGGGAAACCTGGTGGTATCGCTCGTATCGGTATTACCGGGCGGGAGAAATGGTTGATCCGGGTATCTCCGAATCTGCCAATCCGCGTCATCCGATCTACTTCAACTCCATCTTGACCAGGATACTTATCTTTCCCTCTCCAGTACAGTCTATCATAACAATGCCTGCTCCATCGTGGGACAGGAAGGACATTGATCCACCGGATCAGGTCACATCCGAAGCCGTGACGGGGTTTCTGGCAGGCGCCTTCCGGGTATGTGCATATCGGCCTCCAGATAGATGAACGAACTCAGCCCATCGTTACGGGATGAAGAGGCACCATAGAGGTCTTCAAAGAACCTCAAAATACTAATATATTATACAGTTTGGCTCTGTCTCCATCCTCGCACATATGATCATGATCCTCCCCCATCCGTTCCGATTCTCTTCCCCTGCATCACCTCCGACCCCATCAGACCCGTCGCAAAAGGCCCACGCGCCCCCTCGAGTGTCACCTTTCTCAAAAGAGCGCTTGCGATCGAAATTCTTCTACCAGCCGCTGGAAGGCTTCTCCGAGTGGCTGTCTCCGGCATCCCGCGTCTACCGGGGCCTTACCCCGCAGTTCAAAGTGTTCCTCCAGATCGCTGTCATGACGCTGGGCGGATGTGTTTACGCGGAAAGGAGGGTTGATCAGTACATCAAGCTCGTGAGGAAGGTTAAGCGAGCGGAGCGGAGGGAGGCCGAAGCGGCGGCTCGGTTCGTGGAGTAGAGTGACTGATATGGTATGGTATGTTTTTGTAGATATTTCTTTTCTCTGTACATAGGTAGTGAACGTTAGCGACAATTTGGTATCTGCTTTTGACGTTTTGCATTACTGGATTGCTATTGGTAGTCTGTACTAATGAGTTGTAGGTGTGTTGTATATCTCTTGAGGGCCTGCCTAACCAAGTCCGGAGTCGTTTAGACTCCTATCAATTCCACTTCCTAGAACGATACTACGATAGAGACGGTTTCTACCATACGACTGAGTCCTCTGGCTACGTACGTTGATTAGTCCAGAGTTTATCTTGGACAAAACTACCAATCTACACACTCAAGGTACATCAACGGGAACAACGGTCTATTCTGAATAACAGAATCATCAGGAAGACACTCACCATATACCAATTCCCATCTACTTCTCATCCTTCGCAGAATACACAATCGACGCTCTTCACATCTGGACAGGATCAGTCAGGTAGCCAGCCCGCACTAATCCAACCCCATCATCGCTGCGAAGTCAGGAAATGGATCATCACACCCCTTAAAAGTCAGCTCAACAGTCTCCGAAACGCCAAAACACCCTCCACTAAACCTCACGTGCATAAGGCCCAGGCTCAGGACGCACCTCCTTATCCCCCACCCACGAATCAGGAAACAGAGGGGCCCCGTTGTCACCACGCAGGTCAAGATACAAAAACACAGTTGTCGCGATCTCCGCGTACGGCGTCCGCTCATCCACAAGCGTCGTGACGAGATGGCCCAGCGGCGCGTCATTGTCGTAAACCGCTCTGTGCAGCAACTGGCCTATCTTGACGGCTGTCATGCCTGCCTTGGCGTACGAGACTAACGTCGCGGGCAACATGTAGACCTGGTCCCGGTCCATGGCGAGCGGGCCGGAAGGAAACTCGAGCTCGGTTTGGTCACCGTCGCCGCTCTCCCGGCGGATGAACGCATCGGACCGCTTTAGCTCCGGGGGCGGTCTATTGAGAATCCTGTTGTGCCTCGTGTTACTTGGCTCTTGGGGATGATCGGTGTCAGTATCACGGTTAGCCATGGTGATGGAATGAGTGGAGAGTCAACCCTGTTAGTATAGTCAGGGATCTGCAAAAAGGATATCAGTATGTATATCGGGAAAAGAAATGCTAGGGAGTAGTCTGGATAGAACCTCAACTGTAAATCAGAATAGCAACTAAAGTAAGGAATTCGCCAACCCTTTTATACTTCCCCTAGCACCGCACAGTTATTCGTCTTCAGTCACAATCCAAACAAGGAGGATGCATATATCACAAAGGACAGGTGGGAGAGATAAGGGTATGTAACACAACAGATCATTCAACGAGCATTGTTTTTCCTTCACAGGGGGATTGTCTCAATTCTGTCAATCAAGTGATGGATAATGGAACGGGGATGTGTGTGGGCTTCGGTTCTGGGGATCATGAGGAATTCAATGGCTTGGACGGGGATTGTGATACCCCAGGGATTGTGGATCCAAGGATAGATAGAGGAAGACGTAGTCTTGATAGAAGAGAACACCCATAACCTCTATAGAATAAAGGAAATAATACTCTGTCTCACTTATTACGCGTTATAATATCTCATATACAAGCCCCGACATCCTAGATAACTATCTGACGATCAAAGAACAAAGAAAAATCTAGAATTGGGTCTAGCGACGCAACGGTAAAAAAGAACACATCTAGAGATACAGGTCCTGGAGGCAGGGGGGAAGAACAAAGGTTACAGGAGACAAAAGAAAATGCTGAATTTCATTTGAAGGGATTTTTTACTCAACTCGCAGGCACTGGAGGCGAGCTTCGGTCTCGATTACCTGTTCAGCATGAGTTAGTATCAAAAGTCATATGTCTGATTTCGTTAAGGACGAAAAGAGGGGAGGGGAATAAATACCTCCAAAGCTTGCTGCACTTCCAACACCTTCCGCACATCACCCAGCCAATCCTTGCTCAGGATCTTGGCCCACCCCTTCAGGCTGTTCATCTCCCGGGCGGCGTCGTCCAGGCGGCCCTGCTCGAGCAGGGTCTCGGTGCGGCTGAGGACGCTCTCGACGTCGTCGCTGCCGGTGACGGCGTCCCGCTTGAACATGACCTTGCTCAGGACCATGCTGGCGGCGTGGCTGGCGATACCGGCATCCTCGGGCAGCAAGCTGGCCTTGCGGACCTCGTCGGCCACGCGGCGGAAGCGGTCGACGATCATCGGGGTCGAGGGGATGCCGCGCTGGTAGGCAGCAGGGTTGATGGAGGCGATGGCGGCCTCGACGACAGGGTCCTCGGCGGCCAGCTCCTTGACGGCGACCAACTCGCGGATGAAGGGGCGGGGCACGGGGGAGCGCTCGAGGACGGTGCGGACGGCGTCGACGGCGACCTGAAGCTGCTGGGTCTTGAGGTTGGTGTCAATGACGGCGCTCCAGCCGGTGGTGAGCTTCTCCAGCTCGGCGACGTCCTCGGACAGCTGGGTGAGCTGGCTGAGACGGCCCTCGCGCTCGCGCTCGACGAGACCCTGGACATCGTGCAGGTACTTGCGGTTGAGCTCGATGGCCTGCTCGACCAGCTCGTTCTTGAGGCGCTGCTCAGCGACCTCCTGGGCACGGTGCAGCTCGGTCTGGACCTTGTCGAGGTAGGCCCGGGACAGCTTCTCGCGCTCAATCTCGAACTCCTCGCGGTACTGGGCGACGTCGTGGGCGCGGGCCTCGTCGAAGCGGCGGATCAGCTCGCGGGCAGACTCGTCGAAGGTGGCGTGGGCCTGGTGGATCTCGTCCTGAGCGGCGCGGCGGGCCTCATCCCGGACGGCGACGATCTTGTCGCCGATGAGCTGCAGCTCCTCCTTGGCCTTGGTGATGGAGCCGGCGTACTTGCCGGCGTTCTCGTCGGCGCTGATGACGGTGATGATGTCATTGAAGGTCTTGACCAGCTCCTGCACGATCGCCTCGTCACCCTCCTTGACCTGCGAGAAGTCCAGCGGGGTCACAGCGGGGGCGGCCGGTTTGGAGGTGGCCTCCTTGGCGGCGTGGTCGGATTTGGCCTGCTGCACGGCGGTGGTCTTGCTGGCCGGGGAAGCGGCCTCGGGCTTGATCTGGGCCTCACCGGCCTGTTCGGCCTTGGCGGCACTCATGTGGGGGCCCTTCTGGGAGACATCGCTGCCGGCGTCATCGACGGAGAGCTTGGAGGACAGACCGCTCCTGCCGGGGATGGTGATCTGGTTGCCTTCCTCCTTGGGGGGCGAGACGATGCGGTTCTGGGTGGTCAGGGTGTTGGGGAATCGGCGGTAGAAGTCCCGTTCCTCGAAGTAGAGCACGGTCTCCTCGCCATAGGGGATGTATTCGGTGAAGAAGTCGTGGAAGTTGTCGGACTTGAGGGCGAGGAAAACACCACCGCCGTAGGCGAGGCCGGAGGTGAGGATCAGGTAGAGCAGGAAGCGCCTAAAGCGGCCGGACTTGCGGACGGGGGCGGGAGGCGGAGGGGGGGGGACACCTAGACAATCGTTTAGTGGGCCATTGACGTTTGGAATTGCGTCCATCGACATCACAGGGGCGATCGTACCTTGCTCCGTGGCAGGCTTGAAGACGGTCTCCGGGGGAATTGGGGAGTCGGAAGAGGGGGAGGCCGGGGTCGGGGCGCTGGGGGGAGGCGGTCTCGCATCGGCGAAGTATCTCTAAACGATCATTAGCTACATAATTCTCCAACAATGACCATGGAAGTAGATAGAAGGGGGAAAAGGAAAGCAAAGAAAGGACATAGACTGATGTCATCGTCATACCTGACCGGATAGTCGGCTACTGGCGCCAGCTCTGGAGAGCCATTGCGAGGCAGACCGTTGACGAACAGAGGTCAGCAACAATTGGCGACCCGGGGCCACAGATGAGCGCAGCATGAGGGGCTATCTGGTCAAACGGGGGAGGTGAGGGGAGGAGGGAGATGGAGTGGAGAGGGGAGAGAGAGAGAGAGAGAGAGAGAACGGATGATGCTTTTGGTTTTCCTTCTTCGTTCTCACGATTCTCTCCGATCGGCTTCACCGCCTTGGCTGTGGCTGGTACCTCGACTGCACCGCCACACCTCGGCTTGCGATAAAAAAAAAATCATGAAAACTGATAAGGGAATAACTTCATCTTCACTTCTGTATACCCCACGGTCTTGGAAAGAAAGAGACCAAATGGTGAAACGAAAGGCGGAGAAGCAGCAAGCCGCTGGTATGTACCTCTTGTCCCTCCAATTCGGCAATAAGTCTAACTCAAGTAGCTCCCCTCAGCGCGGTGGCAGCCCGCAAGGCTCGACAGCAACAGGCTCAAGCTCAGGCCCTGGCCGCAGAGAAACCCTCCCAGGTCGATTCGATTCCAGAACCTCCGTCTAAGAAGCCGCGACATGAACCGGAGAGTCAGGAGCAGGAGACTCCCGCCAAATCGCCCCGCAATGACAACCCCCCGCTGCGACGATCGTCGAGACGCAGCGATGCCATAGACCGTCGCGAGAGCGTCGAGAGGAAAGAGACGAAGAAGGTCGAGGTCGCGCAGGAGTCGCTCGACCGTCAGATTCAAAAGGAGATTGAGGATCAGGTCCCGTCGGACTCGGATATGAGTGAACCGGAAGCAGTCGAAGAAGACACCAGGATGGACCCCATCGCTGCTCCAGACGAAGAATCGGAGGAAGAGGCTGGGTAATCTTCCCTCGTTCTATTGGGAAAAAAATTCAGAAGCGCCTACTGACCGATTTAGTTATGAATCGCCGGCGGAGTTCCCCGTGCAGGTCCAGGAGTTCCCGCTCTCCAAAACGCGCCTGAACAAGTCCAACGTCGTGTACAGTGACGAGGAGACGCTGTGCGTGCGCATCAAGGAGAAGATGAGTCTGGTCTTGGTGGGACAGTACGATCTCTGGGTCAAGCGCGGTCTCGTCAGTCTGATGGGCGCAAAGCTGCACCCCTCACCCCAGGTCTACCGAGTCTACGCCCCCTCGACCCATTCGCTCCCCGTCATCAAATGCGTCGCCGGAGTGGACGGGGTCGCCGAAGTCGAGATCAAGTCCTGCAGCACGGGCATCACGCGCCTGGGGGATCTCTCGCCCCTGTACCAGTGCGTCTGGAACGGCAAGAAGACGCCGGCGGACAAATTCACGCTGAAACAGGCCCCGTCGTCGTGCCGAAGATCATTCTCCGTGGTATGTTTCAATCCCAGGCCTCCTTCACATGAAGCTTGCACTAACCCGCCCAGTTGAATACATCCGCGGACGATTCCCTCAAGCGCCATCTGCGGCCGCTACATCTCGAGAAGCAGTGGAGCGCCGCCATCAAATCCCTCTCCCAGCGCGGCGGGCGACTCCGCACTCTCGTCTGCGGCCCCAAAGGATCGGGGAAATCGACCTTTAGCCGCTACCTCCTCAACCACCTCCTCAGCCCCGCGCCCCAGACCGAGACCAACTACTGCAACACGGACGGTGTCGCCTTCCTCGACCTGGACCCTGGGCAGCCCGAGTTCTCACCCATGGGACAGGTCTCGCTGACGCACGTCCGTGCCCCGGTTTTCGGACCGCCCTTCACCCACCCCTCCCTGGACGGCTCGCGCCAGGGCACCATCGTCCGCGCGCATCATATCGGGGCCACCTCCCCCCGGGAAGACCCCGATCACTACATGCTTTCCGCCGTCGACCTGATGGACCGTTACCACGCCCTCCTCGCCAGCTACCCCCAATGCCCGCTGATCATCAACTACCCAGGCTGGATCTTCGGCCTCGGCCTCGAGGTCGCGACCTGGCTGATCCGCACGCTGGGTCTCTCCGACGTCGTCTACATGAGCGAAAAGGGCCCCGGCGAAGTCGTCGAGCCTCTCGCGCAAGCCGCCCACCACGCCGCCATCCGCCTCACCACGCTCCCCTCCCAGCCCACCGACTTCGTCAGCCGATCCAGCGCCCAACTCCGCGCCATGCAAATGCAGTCCTATTTCCACATGGACCGCCCCGACCCGCTCGCCACCCCTCTCTGGTCCGCGACGCCCCTCGCCCGCACGCGCCCCTTCCGCGTCCGCTACGCCGGCCCCACCCCAGGCATCCGCGGCATCATGGTCCTAGGCTCCGCAATCCAGCCAGACATCCTCCACGAGGTCCTCGACGGATCCATCGTCTCGATCGTGGCCCTCGAATCTCCTACCCCGATCCTAGGACATTCCTCCTCCACATCCTCCTCCGACCCCGACTCCGAATCCCCCGCCACCCCGCTCGACACCCTCATCACACGCGCCCCCACAACCAACCTCCCCTACCTCTTCTCCGGCTCCGGCAGCACCAACCCGCCGGACCCAAAAACCACCCGCAGCCTAGGCCTAGCCCTCATCCGCTCCATCAATCCCAACACGCAGCACCTCGAGCTCATCACCCCCATCCCACCCCGCCAGATCCAAGCTGCCCTTACCGACGGTGAAAGTCACGGTATAATCCTCGTGCGCGGCACCCTGGATAACCCCAACTGGGCCCTCAGCGAAGAGTACCACTCCGCACGGGCGGCCCAAAAGCGCCATCGTGACCAGACCAGCGACAATCAGGCATCCAAACCAAGCAGCCAAGAACAAGAGAAGGAAGACCAAACATCAGCCCTCTTGAACCACCGCATCCGTCAAGCCAGCAACGTCCCCTGGATGAAGGTCATCGAGGACCACAGTCGCTGGCGGAGGGAGCAGCAGCAGCGGGGGTCTGCGCATTTGTGGAAGTTGAAGAAGAAGGCTTACCCGGGGAGTGAGAGTGAGGGGGAGTGGTAGGTTGATTTATGTTCGTATATATTTAGTGTGTATTCTACCTGGATTAGGATATCCTTGGGTTGGTGTATATCTACGTACCAATACATATATATATATATATATATCTCCGGCTTTGGCTTTGGTCCAGGTTCACAGATATACTATGAGGACTCTCTTGTTTTCAATAGAGTTAACCTTGTGAGGCTTCTCCGGAGTGGGAATCTAGGATTACTAGTTCGGAGTATATTGTTGATAGAGAGAGAGAGAGAGAGAGAGTTGCATTATACTTGATTTTATCTCCGTTTCCGGGATCCTTCCGAGACACTGACGGCCGAAGGGCCTGAATAGAGCCGGTCAGCTCGCATCAGTAATATGGTCATGGGTATGTAATAGTCTTGGATACTTGGTATAGGAATAAGAGAGCAGTGATACTAGCAGGTTATCTAAGCCTCTCTACACAGGGCCGAAACTGTGTCCCTAAGTCTATCTTAGCTTTAAAGGCCTAGAATTAACTATAGAAAGAGAGATATAGCCTGCCAGACATGTCTGAAGTTTTGGTATTACACATATTTCATATAAAAGATGTCGTTATTTTGACAAGATTGAGATCTTATAATATATGACCATAATCTTGAGATCTTTTTTAGAGAAGAGTTTGTCTGGGTATAGTGACAGAAGTATCCGTGACTTATAGCTTTAAGAATATCTAATAAGTCTGACTCTAGATATATGACACCTATAGTTGTTTAGAATTCTTAGAGACTTTGAACAAGCCTATAGATATACATATATTAGGTCGAGTACCCGGGATAAGAGATTTCTCGCTGTATAAGCTTATTTGGCAAGGGGTAGTCCTATATAAGACCCCTAAGTATGTAGCTAGGGAGAACCCCTAGGCATGTAGCTAGGAAGAACCCGTAGGTATGTAGCTAGAAAAGAAGATTTTCAGGGGTATTACTAGTCCCCTGGTAATATTAAGAGATATAAGTATCCCCTCCAGGGATGCTGGTCGCGCTCGTTTCAACAGTTTCGAAGGAGGAGACGTGTAGAGACAGGCGTCTGCGAGGTTGAAAAAGGGTGCAAAGGAGGAGACGTGTAGAGACGGGCGTCTGCGAGGTTGAAAAAGGGTGCCAGTATATTGTTGATATAATGTAATATACATCATTGTCGTATCTTACTAGGCAATTTTTATTGCACACAGATGCGATTATAATAGAACGAGGTATGAATAGAATGAGATCTACTGCTGATGTGTGTATGTAAGAATGTATAACTGAATTGACTACGTCAACGAGGGTATGTAGTCAAGGGTATAGATATAGATAGGTATAAGTATAGATAATTGCATCCGATAACACCCCAACCGATCTACTCCAACAGGCAACAACCAAATCACCACATATTCCAGACCGTCCATATCCATCAAGCAGTGCCCTCCTCCGGGATCTCATCATCACCCACCTCACTCGCGCGCTCGCTAGGCCGCTCGCTCGTCTCGCTGACGGCCTTCTCGGACCGGCGCGACTTGCGACTGAAGAAACCCAGGCTGCTGCGGGACGACTTGTCCGCCGAGAGAATGCTGGAGACAGTGCTATCCACGCTCTTGGCGAGCTGCGCTTCGCCGTTCGTGTCGCCGTCGTCGCCGTGTACGGATTCGCTCTTCTTGGAGAATAGCCCCGACCGGTCCTTCCAGGAGCTGAATTTCCCTGAGCTCCCCTTGCGCGTGATCTTGCGGATGAAAGACTCCTTTGAGCTGCTGTTGTCGGCGGATGCGGCGGATGGCATTCGCTCGAGTGATTCGTATGAGTCGCCTGCGAAGTTGGATAGTGATCGGGAATCCCGAGAGACGCGGGAATCACAGGGTGAGCCGTCCATGGACATGTTGAAAGGGCCTTCCAGGTCTCGGTCCGTGGGATCTTCGTGCTCCTTGCCCTGGCCGGACTTGAAGACTGCATTGAAGGTGGGTGCTGCGGGGTTCAATCTCGGGGTCATTGGTCGATGTGAAGACGACGGCCGGGTCCCAATGGGCGCCTGCAAAGGCCGTCCCTGGCGCTCGTAGGAAGAATCCTGGAGGAAATCCGGTTCGCCCGTCAGTGTGAGGGGGAGATGGCCGGACGAGCCGTACTGGGTCGACGGTCGACGCGATTGGACCCTAGACCAGGTGGATGGCGAGGCCCAGTCAAAGCCCAAGGGACTCCGGTGTTCAGGCTTTTCTGCCGACGGCCAGCCGAAATGCCGATTGTCCGTGGATGGGTGGGGGAGTTGGTTATCGAATGAGAACGTGGAGGACGGACGGGGAGACAGCGAGCCTCGTCGCACGGTCCCGAGAATCGACGATGGGTCGATAGGGTCATGTCTTGGGCTGAATTGATTGTATCCAGTGCTGAGGTCCGAGTGATCTCCGGACTTAGCCAAGCCGTTTCCACCGCCGAAACCGAACCGGCTGGGAGAGAAAATACTGGTGATTGCGGCCCGTCGGGACGGCGCGTGGTCGGACGAGCTATCGGCCGTGACACCGGCCGTGTTGCTCCGAGGGAATAACGACATAGGGTTGGCCCAGTTGCCAGTGTGACTCAATCGCCGGCGTCGGGCACCGATCGGATCCATTTCGTCCAAGTTCCGCGGGAAGGACTGGCTCTGCCCGGCTTTCAAGGTGCCCAGCAAAGGGGGCTCGTCAGCAAGTGTCTTGCCACGCGGCCGATGAAAGCCAAAGAGACCCGACAGTCGCCGCGACGCGCTCTTCGGGGCCTCTTCCGCATCGGGAAAATTAGCAGGCTGAGAATCCGTCTCCTGACGGGGGTTTTCGTGTGGACTCGGAAACACACTTCCGGGTCGACTACCAGAAGAGACCGGGGATGGTGGACCGTGCGGGAAGCCGTCCGGAAAGCCGTCTGGCGGAATTTGTTGCTGCTCATAGCTCGAGAATCGAGGACGAATCACCGGGCGGGGAAGCTCGGGCGATTCCTCATCCCCAAGAAGATCGGATGGGAGGAGCGCGTCTGCCCGAGGGCTCATTTGGGGGTTGTAACCGAAAGAGACTTCGGACTCGGCTCCGCGAATAGTCTCTGCCTGGCCAGACAGATCCGGGAGAGTCATCCCATTGTTGATGTTGAAGAATGCCGAACTGGGCGCAAACGTAGGCGAGCTCGTGGTCGGGGGATTGTAGGCGATGCTACCCGAGAACGACGGCTCCATGGTAGCAAAGTTCATAGGCGAGGAGACGTTACTGGCGAGCGAGCTGCGATGGCGACGGGGGCGAATAGTTGCTGTGTTGGACAGATCGAGATCCAGGGCTGGCAAGGCGAAGGGACCGGTGCTGCCGGGTCTCTGGGTGGTGAGCCACTTCAGACGCTCCTGCGCTTCGTGGTACTGCTGTTGAGCCTGTGCGTGCAGGTTCACCAGTGTGGCATATCGTGCATGCAGACTGCTCAATTTCATCTCCCACTGCCGGGCTCGTTCGTTGTCGATGCGATCCAGCTCCCTTCCATCCTCGCTATCCGGCGCCTGGGTGGTCTTCCTCTCGTCTTCGAGCTTCTTCACGCGTCCACCCTTATCCTGAATCTCGTCGTCGATAACCTTCATTTCCATCTGCTCCTTAGCAATCTTCTCCTGGACTTCCTCCAACCGGTTTTTCTTCTCTTCTTCCACTCGGGTCTTCTCCTCCCTTGCCTGCGCAACGTCATTGGCCATCCGCTCCATCTGCTCTCGCCATCGAATGATATCGTTCTTCCGTTTCTTGCGCTCGGATTCCTTGCGTTGCAACAGTCTCTCGCGTTTGACCTTTTCACTTTGCACGCTGCGATTGACGCTCTCCAACTTGTACACCTGCTTCTTCAAGTCCCCGCTCGCCTCGTCCTTTTCCTTGACACGCTTCCGTAGATCGTCCCGTTGTTTCTCCAGATCTTTGAGAAGAGCAACGTGCTCTTCGTCCTCGTCGCCAGTTTGCTTCTCCACCGCTTCATTCTCGTGCTGCAGTTGCTTCAATCGGTCGGCAAGCCTCTCCAAGTTTCCATCGCGGTCGTTGCTTGCCTCACTCCGTTGCAGTTCTTCGACATTCGTCGTACCGTGGGAAGAATCGGCGCCACTCGCGGGGGATTGTTTGCGCCCGGCCGACGACCGCTTATTCGGCACTTGACCTCCACTATGTTCACGGGACATCACCGGGGCTGACGGAGTCGGAAGTCCAGCCGTCGAGCGGGGAATGGAAGCACGGATCGTAGGGTTACCGACGGCGGCATTCTGCTGAGCGGACGACAGGGAAATGGATTTCGTCCGTACATGGATGATAGCACTGGGAGTCTGGAAATTGGCCGCGCTCACGGACAGAACGCAAATATGATAGATACTTCCGGGGACCAGATTCAATATCTCAACAGCGGTCTCTGCCCGTTTCGACTCACCCACTTTATCCATTCGTTAGCCTGGACAGTCCCGCAGGGTCGAAACCCAGAGACGGTTGGGGCCAGTCCTTCAACGTACCTTTGGCGCCATTCACCTGGATTATATGCTTATGAATAGAATTATGAAACTCGGGCTGTTTCCAAGCGATCCGAATCTCACGAGCGGTGATCTCTTCCAGGGTGACCTCCGGCGGCGGGGGGATATCCAAGCCCAACTTTTCGACCAAAAGATCATTGGGGGTCTGGCATACCTGCCACGCACGGTAGAGTAGCCTTGTAAGTAAGCACATGCATTAGCTTATTCCAATCCAAATCAATATAGATAAAGACCCAGGTATAACTCACCAGATAAGGGCCCACAAAATGGAGACAGCGAGGAATAGAGCCATGACGCCTCGTACCCTGACACGGGGGACTACGGTCGGGTAGGCGTCGAAGGAAAGATACAACGGCTCATACATCCCCGCGTCTAGCATCCATGAAGACGGGGATGAGTGAGGAGAGAAGAGTGGGGGGAATGACAAGGGTGAGAGAATGGGGAGAGAGGGAGAAAGAAACGAGGTTTGAAGATCGAAACGCAAATGGAGCGAACTAAGGACGGTCCGCGGAACTTGCCTGATTGGGTGGGTCGGTCATGTGACTTAGTGCTGACTCAGGACCCTATCTTACTTCCTCATCGGGCAAGTTTCTCTTCTCTCCGCTCCTGTCACTCCTCGCACCTAGTCAATGGAGATCACCGGTTATGACCGTGGGGGCTCTTGCGCTGAATATTACATCAGGCGGGTCTTCTCGAGTGATAGTTACTTTACGGTTTGTCCGAACTGCAGATGTATGTTGATCTTGAACATCATGGAGTAATAGGTGATGCCCACCATCACCTGGGCATATCAACACCTCGCACGGCATTTACGAGTCAAATAAATAGAAGAAAACCAAGAACATGGGTAGATCCACCTTCTACCTAGCAGATCTTGTCCCCTAAGAACCCATGGTTCAATGGAGAAGTCGCCTACGAACTATACCAGAGTCAGCGGGTCGGAGAGGCCTCTGATCAGCCTAGAACCACGGAGAGGCGAAGATGACAGTGTGGCGTTAACAGTCAGTAAGCGCTGACGAAGTCTCGGCGCTGGGAGGGACTTATGGCGATAGACAGGGACGCCAACTAATCCTTACGCCGAATCGAAGGCACAACCACCGAAGCAGCATGACTCAGACCGCTGCTGCCTCGGAGCTCCATCACTCCAACTAGACCAGCCCAGCCATACTTCTCTTGGATGACCAAAGGACGGCATGTGGGGAAGAGAAGCCGGTGGGAATCCATCCGGTGGGGTTGGGAACCTGTTCGTCCTTTACGCATAACCCATTGAGACCGAGGGAAAGATACGAGGGTACTTACGGTGCGTGCCGATCCAACCTCATCTATGAGGCTGCATTCGGGGGGGGGGAGAAGAGAAAAGCGGGGGTTATTAATTATTTTGTATCATGTCTCGTATTCGGATGTTCTAGGTGATGGATTCCTAGCCTCGAGGACCGAACGAAGCCAGCCCGGCGGTCCGCCCCCTCCCCCCCACCCACGAAGCAAGGCTAGAGCTTCGTACCCAGAGTCCACACTAGCTCAGCGAAGCCAATAGCCACGCCCAACACGAAGGTACATCGCCGGCTCTTCTCGGACAGATGGCATCGCCTGGTTTGTCCGTCGCCGGTTGACCGGGGGACAAGGGTGTGTCATGGGGGCATCGGACAAGTCGCCGATCTTGGGACGTTCGAGTTCAACGGCCACCGAACGTCCGTCAGAAGCCAGGGGCCCCGTCAGGTCCAGACGCTTCAGGCCCGGTAACCGCAGAGATGGGTCGAAGTTGAGGAGCACAATTGCCTGATCGCCGGGGGTCAGCCCGTCCTGGTCGACGGAATACACGAGGGAACGTTCATCGGCCATGGCGTGGACCCTGCCGGTGCGACGGCCGGGACACAGGAGCTGGTCCAGCTCCGGAGGGGCGTGGTCGGGGGGCCAGAGACTGGTCCCTCGGGAGACGAAGCGCTCATCACTGTCGTCGACGCTCCGGCCATCGGGGTCCACGATCTCCGGCCGGAAGAGCAGGCCCGGTTCCCCTTCCTGGCCGTCGGCGTCGATGGGAGATTTCCGTTTCCGGGAGACGACGCGCAAGCGCAAACGGTCGCGGGGCACCAGGCTGCTGGCGCATGGGGGCCGCGGGTCGTTGACCAGGTCGACGAAGGACGATGTGGAGGGGTTGTAGGTGCGAAACTTGGTTTTGGCGAGGATAAAGTCGCGGCGGCCGCAGGGATCGTCGTCGCTCTCCACGGGATACTCTTGGTGATAGTTCCGGCGCAACCGTTTGCGTGGGGGCTCGTACGTAGGTTTGTTGGATGAACTGATGGTCCGGGCCAGGGGCTCGTCAGGGAGGGGGGCGGGCGTCGAATGGGCGGGCGAGTAGGACCTGGGCTGTTTGCCTTGCAGGATTTCGGCAGGCGACGGGAGAGGCTGTGCGTAGTAGGTGCGGGTATTTGCACTGCCCCCATCGAGCCACTCGCGGCGGCACTCCAATATGGTCAGGCGGTTGGTCGCCTCGTCATGCCGGAGGGTCAGGTCTGACCACGAGTCGTTGATCGGACCCTCCCGGTGCTGGCGACGCCACGTACTGTTGGGTCTCACCGACGATCCTGCACGACCGTCGGGGGCCAGACAAATCCACATGTACAGTGACGTCCAGTCGACCTCCTCCTCCTCGAAGTCGATGAGCGTCGACACGGCGTAGAGATGGTCTTCATGCACGTCGAAGCAGACGGTCTGGCCGATCTCGGTGCCGGCAAAATTGTGCAGCACCACCGTGTGCGGGGCGGGGTCAGGACCGGTGTCCAGACTCACGCAGTCCACGGACCACTGCGGATACCCGTGGTATCCCAAGGCCGAGTGCGTGCCATAGTAGAGGTAGGAGCGGTTGTTGCGGACGAAGAGGCGCCGGGTCGACTGCAGCTGGATCCGGAGGCGCAACCTGCCGGATCTCGCGCATTGCTTTCGGGGCCGCATGTCGACTGCGAGGAGCCAGGCCTCCTCGCGGTCCACGACCTCGGCCATGAAGGAGAGGATGCCATGGCTGTAGTGAAGTAAGGAGATGGACACGGCGTTTTTGGCGGGGTCGCAGCCGGGAAGGGCGCGGGACAAGACGGTGTAGATGTTGAGGACCTGCTCGACTCGACTGGCGCCGTGGACGTCCAAGCTGCGGATTTCATCCTCGAAGATGTAACATAAGGAGCCACCACCGTAGAGGAAGGCGCTGCCGTAGCCTAGGATGGAGGCGGAGTAGGGCTGGGCCGTGGCGAAGGATTCTTTTACATCAAAGAGACGACCGACGGCATTGCGATAGCCCTTGCTGGAGCGAACAGCCCGTTGCCCTTCCTTGGTGTAACGCAAGTTCTTCTGACACAGGAGTTAGTTTGTTTCATTCAATGGTGCCATGACTGCTGCGTAATGATGATTCTGGTGATGATCATATTAATAACGTAGAAGATAGACGATAGAGAGGAAAGTGAAGATAATGATAATAATGAAATAATAATAAATAAAGGTAAGAGTAAAAATCAAAGAATGGAAAAAATAAAAAATAAAAAATAAATAAATAAAAAAATAAATAAATTAGGGAAAGAAAAGATCAAATCGAGTAAAATGAAATAGAGTAAAGAGCTGCGGCACAGTAGGGGGGAGAAGAAGGGGGATATACTTCAATAATCTTGCGGGCAATCGACTCATTCCGCAGCAAGTCGTGCAGGGCACCATTGACACGGCTCAGATGGATCAAGTCTTGGCAATCCAGCGTGGAGGCGATTTGATAGAAGACATCATATGGGACAGTGTCCAGATTCGTGGTGGTCATCTCTAACATGACCGTGGACGAGCCGGATGGGTCTCCCAACCATCGGAAGGGCAGGGGTAAGAAGCGATCAAATTAGATGGGACACCTGATGGTAAACCTAATGATGGAAAAGGGACAACAGCGACCACAGCCAGATGGAGCAGCAAACGACAAGGGCAGTGGCAGATTCATGAGGCTCATTTGTGACTTCACCGATACTTTGGTGGATGGGGCTCCAGACCAGGTCTCGACCAGCCGCTGGGCTGTGGGTGGTCTTTTATTATTTGCGTCCCTGAGCCTCATCGTAAGAATGCTGATGCGGCTCTGGGTGGTTCCAAGATTGGAAAACCCGAAGAGCTTGCCGGATGCATGATGAGCTTGGGAGAGAGGGGGGCGGCACAGCGAATCCGCAGACGAAAGCAAGCCACCAAAGGTCCGCATTGATAGTTGATCCCAAAGACGCGATCGGCAGACGTTTGAGAGGCGAGATGAGAAGGAAGGGAGGAGAAGGTTTGGGAAGAGCCTCATGATTCCACGACCACCGAAAACAGAGTGGGCCCCCAATTTCAGCCAGGAACTGTGACTAGGGGTGGCCCAGCACTATAATCATCATCATCATCCACCAGAAAAGGAACAATCCATGGGACCCCACGAGAGTTGGAAGTGGATACCAGTCGTGTTACAGGTGGGTCGTATGGAATCCAATAGCTGACCCCAGATCGCCGTGGCCAATCTGCGATGAGAGGGGGGCAAATACACCGCTATCAACAGGGGTCACGACCATTGCGGCTCATCTGAGTCTTCTCAATCATTTTCTAGATTGTTGTGGCGGGAAGGAAGAATTGGATTAGACCAGAGTGAGTAAAGTGGAGCTGAAAGAATGATTAGTCCGAGTTTTGACTCCGACTTCACTCGCGAAATTCCCGCAGGCTGCAGGCCCCGTGACCTCCTCTGATTCTAGTCCAATTCTAGTCTTATCTTGCACATAAGAACACTAGGAGATGATTCGAGCCTTGTCGAGACATGCAATCACTTCAGACCAATTCTATAAATATCCCCTCACCGGATCTTGACCGACACTGCATGGAAGATGAAGAAAAATGATGCATCCGAATCCCTCAGGCACCCAGGCGGCTGATCCCGCCGGGCCTGATTTGGATCCGGATTTTTGCCAGTTGGCTCCTACAAATGGGTCGATATAATCAAGAATATTCAACTTCAACTTGAAGTAGGTAGAGGCAATACTCCGCAAAGCTATCTAGAATGAGGCGGCCTCGTCATCTACAGGGACCTATCCAGAACGCCACCGATGATCATCTGGCATTGGAGTCAATACTCAAGGAATCCCTCCATGAGGAAGCACAAGCAATCTCACCACAGCCAATGGTGACAGGACGAAGATGACCTTCAGTCGAAAGGATCTGACAAAAGTTGAGACTAACCCCG